TTAATTTAATATTAATATTAATACATTAACTATGTTTAAAGCAAAACAGCAGCAAGTGTCTACATTTTATTTTCGATCTCATACACCAGTGTCTATTACCACATCATTGCTGAGGCAGACAATATTTATCTGAGAAAGTTAATTCACTCAAAAGGAGTTTTAGCATAGATTTAAACGGTTTAATAATTCTTTTGCTCAACCTCTATTCTAGTAGAGCATAATAGAGTACTTTGGAATTATTTATATTAAAAGTCAATGACACCAGGTAATAGTATATATCTGTATGAGAACAATGATGATGAGACAAATCGTGTGGTAAGGTTTTGAGAACTTTATAGCATAGAGTCTTTACAGTTTCAATAACTACATCATGAGCTCTTGTAATGGTACCTAAAAGGTTTGCCTTGCATGAGTTATTACAGAGAAGAACAGATTAGAGATATTGATTTCTGCCTGGAGATGGGACTCGGTCTGAGATCAGCAGCAAGTAGCACAGACAGTTTGCAAAACTATTGATTCACTTTGGCAGTGAACCAGCACTTCAAAATGAAGATCAGCACACTTTCATCCCGGTAATGTTGCTCACAGGAATGCTCATCGGGGTGTTCTGAGATCAGTGTGACTTGTCTCAACCCTAGCCTCGAAATCCACAAGCTGTCTTGTAGTCACTGGTTTATAATGTCTGACACTGTAGGTGGATGTGACAAGTTACATCTTAGATTTTTCACTGGACAAGCAAACAGCAAGTGACCAGGGATGATACCGTTCGTCAAACCGATTATCCAGTTTTCCGCGATGAGTTGCAATGTCTCATTAAATGCATCAGGGAAAATGTTTCATCATGACAGTTTTGTAGCTTTTTGTACAGTAAGTGCCTGAACTATATCAGTTTCTGCTGAAATCATTCAACATTCAAATTGGCAAATATTAAAAAAAGATTCTGTAGACCGAGTCAAAAATTTGGTTTCCCAATATAATTCAGACAATTTAACAAAACAGATTATTCTGGCAATATGGAATTGTGTTCAGAATGATTTTACTAAAGTTCTCCTTACATGATAATACACGATTAATTCAAATGCTCTATTTTCCATCTGGAAATGAAGTTAGCCAAGTTATGAAAAATGTAAAATAGTTACTTTAGTAAAATGTTGGGAGTTATTTGTATTGACCTGTATTCCGAAGCTTGTTGTTAGAGATCTGAGAATTTTTTGCAATGAAACATTTACTCAGTATTTTGCTCCTGAACCCCCAGAGTGTACTGTAATGAAGCAAGATAGGTTGAGTATGGGTCGTACCTAAATAAGAGAAAGTTGGTTTCAATTCAATCCATTTGACGTAACATTTCTATATCGTACCTAATAACATCCATTATCACCATTCCTGATGACATAAAGATAAACACAATAGATTCAAGAAAATATTTCCTTTTCTTCAAGGTTGAATAGATTACTGTTTACTGGCAGTTCCTGCATCCACATTAATTTAAGACTTACTATCCTGCAAGTTAAAAGAATATAGCAGCAAACTCAAGCCGACTAACACAACAATTAATCATGCATCAGGAAATTGTGGATTCTAATTGACTATATTTATGTGTATACAATATTCCTGTTCTTGTTCCTCTGCAGAAACGGCTGCAGAATTCAGCACTGTCTGATGGTCAGCACCAAGTGGAGCACCTGCTTTCCTGTGATAATGGTTCAAATGCTAAAGTTTAGCCACTCGAAGTTCACGCCTTTCCTTCAGCAACAAAGGGAGGTGCATTCCCTTGTGAACCATGCACTTGGATGGCAGTGAACGATAAATGCCGCTCAGCAGACTGTGACAGCATGTGGCTACACTTGTGTCTGTTGTGGGACCTGTGGTGGGATTTTCCAAATGCTATCGCCACCACACCAGCTTCATCCTAATTTAGATTTTATGCATGGCTGAAGCAGGGGCCACAACATGAAATTTCATAAGTGGAAACTAATTAGATCAGATAAATATGGAATGACAACAGATGTTTTCACATTTAAATAATTTACATGAAACACTCTGTGCCAAAAATCCTGAACAGGTCAGGTAACAATTATTTTTTGTGTATTTTAAAAGCCTTAAATGGTAACAATGTTGATGATATGCAGATAGTATGCACAAAGATTCAGTTGGTGTATCAATTTTAAATCTTTTTAAACACTAATTTGTTTAATTTGAAAATACTACTTCACATTATAACTACAAAACTGAACCAAAAATCTGTATATTTGCAGAGAACAATACAAAATGTAATTTACAAATCTGCCAAACATACACGCAAGTAAAACGTGTTAGAATCTTGATTGAATTAGATATGCTTCACTCTTGTTCAGATCAAATTTACTGGCAGCAATACTTCAAGTTTCTTCTGTAGACTTGCTCATATCAAGTGTGCATATTCATATACGTGTCCCCATTAGCTGAAAGCATGCTGAATTAACCAGAACTTCATGGTAACAGCACAATGTGAACTAGCATTTTAAAGTTACAACTAGCCCAATCATGTTTTTGTCATGCAAAGTATCATTAACTTCCACTGATGTTCTAATTGTAGGTAGCCTTTTGTTTTAAATCAACAGCACAAATTATTGATGGCATTGCAACATGAAGTGGTCTGTTCCAGCATCCAGTGCAAACCTACAGGGAGAGACTGTTGTGTACCTTTCAGGTTACCAATCCTCGGCTAATGAGCTTCCCCACTGGCGCTATACAGCTCTTATACCAACTCCTTACACTTTTGTATTTTGTAAATCTCAGCCTGGTGCATTGACAAATAGTACTTTGCACATATTTTCTGCCCATTTAAAGATATTTAAAAAAAAACTGAAACATAACAATTGGCTTTAAATCTTATTCAAAAATTACATTTCTTTTGAAACACAGCTGACTCGAAGCTCACTGAAAAAAAAGTAGTTTGTAAACAAAATGCCCAAGAAGAATCCCCCACTGTGCTAATTATATTAACTCATTTCAACTCATTTTTAAAAATGTCAGTGCGAGTTGGACTCTTGTTAGTATTCAATGCAAATGAAGTGTAAAGATCTACCTTGCTCAGCTTCATAGTGATAGAAGTGGGTATGTAATCGCAACTCCCTATTCATCACTTCTACAATGAACCTGGTACAAAACTGTGTGACGCAACACAAAAGGTACTTACATTTCACTGGAATAAGTGTTGTCAGAAAGATAATTTCTTCTCTTTTATTCCTCTTCCACACTTCAACCTTAAAAAATTGTTGGGACGGGAAAAGAAATAATGCAGTACGTGATGTGATACTGATCACCAATGAGCTGAAAAGTCTTTAATAAGAACCAGAAGAATTGGATTTTTTGTAGAATTATTGGTGGCTACAATTCAAAACTAAGCTTCCTCATGGAGATAAAAAATTCATACCACGAACTTCTCACCAAAATTTTCCCAACTATCTTCATTGCATGGTCTTTTTGATTGCCCAAAAACAAATGTACATGAAAATCCTGACTATGGGAAATAAGTTTGGGCAGACTTATTTATATCACACATCTGAGAACTATAGTACTGCAAAATAGGCACAATAGTGGAACTTCAGTTACAAGAACACTACATTTTGAAGAACAAATCAAATATTTAAAGCTATTGCAAATTTAACTCCTGAAGCAACAATGCAAGATCCAAAAATCTATTTTACCTACTCATTTACTAACATTAGTACATAACATTTTTTTTAAAAAAATCATCAATGCACATCCTAGCCTCAACAAAGAGCAACCAACCTTCAGGTTGCTGTGGTAACACATCCTCTGACATTGTCCTCCAGTCAGCTGGAGTATTCAGTGTTCGTGGGCTTTTTGCCTGATCAGATTTCTTGTGCAACCTGCTGGCTACAGAGTGCAATCGGTTTTCTCCTACTGCTCTCCAATTGAAATGCAAATGAATCTCCTCTGATGATTATATTCTCCTTAATCTAACTGTCAAGTGCAGATGTAATCTGAGTTTACAGTTCCAGCAATAAAAGACATCAGAATAAGGAGATACTTTGCTCTGGTGAAATATAAAGAGTAAACAAGCATATTGCGGATTTTTTACTGTAACCTTGCATTTACAATGGTTACAAGGTGTTAAATAAATACGCTGTACAGACATTCTTTAATTCTCCATGTGATATTGCTAGAATGGAATTGGATGTTCCATAAGCAAAAAATGCTGGTTTATATTGCACATTGCATTGACAGCATATAAAGTAGCAAATTAGCATCCATGTAACAATGAAATATTTGAATATACCATCATGAAAATAATATCTACACTAGAAAGCTATAATTCCTATCATTTTATCAATGACAAATTGTCTCACTTTGTAATTGTTTACCAGGGAACTGAACTTAAACTAAGCCCATAAAGTTGCCCATAAATGAAGACAGTTACATTTCACACATTTACTTGTTTTTAAGGCTGAGTGACTCCTCATTTAATACCACTATAACTGATCCTCAATTCAGTGAAAAACACAGAGATCTCACACATGGCATATTTTAGAGAAAAGATCACCCTGGACAAAGAAATTCAGGCTGCATTCTCAGTACAGGATGCAGGGTCATATGATATTATTACTGACCTATATTACTTAAACTAAAAAATCTACTGTCAGCTCAAAATGTAATGCTTAAAACCTGTACTGTATTTAAAGTAAATTTACACACATGGTGTACAATTAATGAACACATTATTAACCTATGGCAATGATACTTTGATATTTAAGTATTTAATACATCAAAATATTTTTGGGACAATTGATGTCCAAACTAGAGTGAGTACTATGTGCTCAAGTGTGAGGAAATAATCCCAAATCAGTTAAGAGAGAAAAAACACCCATTTGTCAGAAGCTATTAAATTAAATCAAAATACTTCATTTTTCAATCAGGGAGTTAAATACATTGATAACACAAGACAGATACTTTAGAATGACTCTACCAACACAGTATTTCATAGAAAAGGATACAAGCCCTGGTAGAGGGGTATGAGAGTCTTCACAGCTCGACTGGCATTGATGCCTGTGACACGGACAAGACTAGGAAGAAGTTTTCCATTCACAATAGCTCCATCAAAGAGAGGACCAAAAAATGGGACCTGAAAATAGATGCACGGTTTACATTTGTGTCATTAAATATGCATGCTAATAATTTTCCAATACATATAATCTTCCAAAGGTCGCTGATTTTGGTATTTTAATAATAATCCTTCCATTTGGTATCGGGCCTTTCACATTGGGAGGACATCTCAAAGTACTTCACAAAATTTACTATAAACTGTAGCGACTGTGAATTTTGTAGAAAAATACAACAACCAATTTTCATACAGAAATGACCTGAAAACAGACATGAAGTGAATGACCAATTTTATTTGGGGGATGGTTGGGCAGGATACCAAGAGAAACTTCCTTCTATTTTCAAAAAGTGACATGAAATCTTTAACTTCACCTGACCGGACAGATGGTTCATTAGTTTTAACAACTCATACGAAGGACTGCACCTCCAATAATTGAGCACACCTCCAGCTTTGTATTATTACAGCAATGTGAGTTAAACGTGCCGAAGTAGGGCTTGAACCCACAACCAAATTTACAAATAATCAAAAAACATTCAAATAAAATTCCAGAGTGTATATCAGTTCCCTGATCTTATTTTATAACACAGCACTGCACAGACAATAATCCCTAGTCACCCTAGTAACATAAGAATCATCACTTATCCATAATGAATTGAACAGAAATCATAGCATGAACTGCTTTTCCTAAGTCTGTTTCACTTAAGTATTACTGTGTGCGTCTGTGTATGTGCGCACGTACGTCTGTGCGTGGAGGAAGATTTTCCAACCTACAGACTCATTAATGTTGATTCTGATCTAATCTAATATTGTTCAATGCTCAGACTCAAGTCAAATAGCTTATATACATCAACATTTGTGTCTTTTGAACATGCTGCTCTTTATTCTGTGTGACAGCTGAGATTTCAAGGCAGCATGTAGAGTTTATGGATGCAAACCCATAGGGTTATTATTTTATTATCCGCAGATAAAAAGATTCATTGGTGTTCACACATGGAGTGCTGCATTGGTCAGTCTAGACAAACAGTTCCGAATTCCAACAGATTTATTATATAAGCAGCATCTTTAGTAGATTCAAACCTCTGCATTTAATCATCCCTTACATTTGAATTGCACTTATGCAGGAAAATACCACACAAATCCTCTTTTTAAGAGTGCCTGATATTACACATGACAAAACTCTTGGTCTATTTGTATCTTTTCAGTATACAACATTTTAAAAGTAATCAATTGGAAAGCTACATAAGTCGTCAACATAAGACTCAACCTAATTAAAAGTGAAATGATTATACCATTTATCCATACAGTTTCTTAATAGGACTTCTGTATTTATCCTCTGACTTACTAAGAGTAAAAGCTTTATTAAATGGAAGTTTGTTTGGAAACTACCTTGTGGGTATTTCCACTGAAGGAGTTGTCAGTTTGGTAAGTGAGCAGCTCTCCTTGTGTAAACGACAAATACTACACTACCTAATTAAATATTCTATTGTTTTTGAACCAGGTAAGTTCGGTAAATCTAAAATACATCAACCTTTAAAAATCCAATGATGTACCCAGCCAGTTTAGGCCATAGAAGTAATTACTTTGTTTTCTCTTTGCCAATGTTCATTTGGATGCATGGCACCCACCACTTGGTAATAATAATAATCTTTGCATTTGATATAGCGCATTTCACATCTTCTAAACTTCTCAAAGCATTAAAAGATCTCTAAGCATTCTGAAATATTCAGAGCAAAATCCTATTTTTCACTTCTCCACAAGTGATCTCACCACAAAAATGAATATATTTGTTAAGTAAGTCAGTGCTCAGGACAGAATACAGAAATCTTCCCTCGCTTTTCCTAAATCCTTGATTGAGATAAATCAATGAGATTAATAATTCCCATATAGAGAAGGATAAGCAACCTGCTGGTATTTTGTTTTAGTCAAGAGAAAGTTTTATGAGCAATGGCCTTAAATTGTGAAACTATACTGCAACTTTATGATTATTTGTTCAATTACACATTGATAACTTTGCATAGGTTGGTTCTTACTCATATTTTGCGATAACTTATTTTTGAGTCATAACTATCTGCAATCAACAATTTACATTAACATAGCTCCTTTCATGTTGGGAGGATGTCTCAAAACCCTTCACAAATCACTTCAACGATCCAGAATTCTGCAATCCGCAACGACCCCCGCACCCTATCCCTCTCATCGTTTGATGGTTGAAGCAGGAAGTGTTGATTCTTTCAAACACAGATGAGATAGTTTTCTTTTAGGAAATAACATTATGGGATATAGTACATAGGTAGTTTGGGACATATGTGCATGCGACCACCAGCAAGGTGGAAGGCGAACTAGATGGACCTTGGTCTTTTTTCCCTATCCCCCATCTTTAAGATACTTGTCCTTACCTTATAATAATCCTTATATTTGATATAGCCCTTTTCATGTCTTCTAGACGTCTCAAAGCAATTCACAGAATATACTGTAACATGAATTGACTTTATATTTGGGGACAATATGCGGCAGCCAATTGTGCACTGGTTGTGTCCTACAAACAGTCATGAATTGAGGGATCAAATTATTATTTTGTTTTTATTTTTTTTCTTGAGTGACTATTATCAGGTGTGTGGAATAAGGAACCTTTCCCAGCTACATCACCACTGTATGTTTCTACTATATGCCTTCAAATGCCAGCACAGCCTTGCCCACCATACCTCTGTGAAATTCGACTGCTATTCTGGCCACTCCCTCCACTCCCATCAATCCTGGCATGCTTCATGCGTCCCACCTACTCCATAATCAGCAGCCAAACTTTCAGCAATACGCCACCCCCCCACCTCACCCAGATCTCTCCACCTCAGCTCCATCCCTGCTTTCAAAGCCCATCTAAAGACTTCTAATAACTTAGTCAGGAACATTGTGATTTGTAAGTCACTGGGAAGGTTGCTCTCATATGATAGTCCTTTGATTTAGTGCCTTTCATAAGGGTGGTGGTGGTGGGGGGAGTGAACGTCTTAATTCTTTTGGCTGTAAGGATCGATTGTAAAGTGTCTTGTAGGATTGTCTAAAGTGTACTGACTATTTGTCGGCTCTCTGTTGACTGTATCTTTGGCTCCTTCAGTTCCCCCATCCCTCCCAACGCTCAAGCTCCCACTCCCTTTGTAAAGCCTTTGAGACATTCTCCTCGAGTGAAATGTGCTGTAATGAGAGCAATTGTTTTATATTAAGGCACTAGTAAATATGCTATTTTTAATTCAAGAGTTACACGGTTACAGGATTAAGATTAAGATAGTACAGGTTCACATATGCTCGTCTCAGAGGCAGTCACATGCATTTCATCAAAGCAAGTAGGCATTTTCCTCTCGACTTCTTTGCCTGCAGGATCTGACTCATGACATGTGGAACAGACAAAGTGGTACAGAAATATAATATTTTTCATGAATCTGTAACTACTCCAACAGCTGCTTATTTTTAGCAGCTTCAATCTCTTGAAGAAAAATAAACTATAAATACAAGAGAGAGTCAGGCTTCCAATAATTATCAGCATTTTAAGCCACAAATTCTTCCATCTGGACATGGACTTATTGAACAAATAAATGGCACCTATTATCCTCCTGTCGTGCAATTACTACCGGATGACTGCGACAGTCATTGAATAAGGAGACAAAAGGAATAAAAAAGATCTCTTGCACCCAGGGAATTCCTCTAATTAGAGTTGGCAGCAAATTTCAACAGGAATTCAGTTTTGCTCAACATCTGCATCTGACAGCTGTCTTTCCAAGCAGGTCTCGTCAATGTAATTCTCTCAGGTTGTGACCTAAATATCTTGACTGAAGCTAGGAAATTTGACCAAACTGAAACAGGGATGTCTGAAATAAATCCAATGCATATTGTGCCAGTTACTAATTTGCATTTTCTTTCATGAAGGTTTACAATTGTATCCTTCAATATAACTTCATACAGTGAGTTGAAAGATGGTTTCATCATTGTACTTCAAACCTGCAAAGCATCAGCCGAGGAGTAATGAAGGAGTTTAGAATATTCTCTTTAGGAATGTTACATAAAACCGAGTACAATTAATTCCTTTTTTTAAAAAAAGGAAATCACTGGTTATGCCCACAAACACATGCTTTTGCAGTAAAAGCTACATCTTCTTTTGGTTAAGTGCAGAATTTAAATCTTATCTTCTGCAAATTGATGACTATCATATGATAGCAACCTTCCCAGTGACTTACAAATCACAATGTTGTTCCTGAATAACGCATTGTATTGCTTTTAATCTTTAATGACATTAAGTCTAATATATAAACAGTATATCTGATCAAAGTATCGAAAAGAAACATTTCTAATCTGAATTGAACATACTGAACTAGCAAATTTGCTAGCTTGAAATTAATATCAAAGAGTACAAACAATAATCATCCCAAATACTCAGCTGATATATGCAAGGGATTCAGTTTCAGAAGTGCAGTTACTTCAAATAGAAGAGATTGTTGCGTGAGAAGCATATGCCCGTATTTACAGTTGCTCTGAATTTTGTAGAAAAAAAGTAAAGCGTCTGAATTAATAAGCTGATGACTCTGCCTCAATTTCATTTAACCAGAGGTCTGGTAATATTAGACAAGTGGGGCCATTAACGTGTTGAACTTTATAGCAAATGGGTGAGAATTAATCTCACTTGACTAGCTGCAAACTAACAAGGCTCTGTGTCCTGGGGAACCCATGGTATGTCCCTAGTGGTATTTGCAGTGCAGTGAGCCTGTATGACATTCTTAGTCCTATTCTGCGGGCAGCTTCTGCTCTCATTGTTTGCTCTATCCTCTGTGCATCTGTGACGCGTGGAGACCATTCGTATTGACAGATTTCCTATTCTTCTGGAGTAAGTCTTTGTTTGATGGATGGGGTTGCAGTTCATGATAATTGCATCACTTAATTATTGAAGACAAAAACTGTGCAAATCAATGAGTGGTTGCCAAGCGGTGAACATAAGACAAAAAGGTGGATATTCGTAACAAAAGTGAAGGCTATTTGATCAGAAAATTCTTCTATAATGTTAATAAATAGAATTTAAAAAAATCACTAACATTGTCTACATATCCTGCCTTCTGTGCCAACAAAAAGGCTAACATCAGTTTCACAAATAAGCAGCATGTTTGAAACCTTGTCCACAACAATGTCTGTTTCCATGGATCCTGTAACTTGATAAAGAAAACCATTTGATGAGGGAAAGCAATTTAAATGTCACAGTCCACAAAAAACACAATATGCATTACTCCTAACAAGTCTCGTCCTCCAGGTTATCACTGGGATGAATCCCTTTTAATACTTAAGTCTGCAAATACTCGTGAAATTTGCAGACTAAGTGTTAAGTCTGGGGGGTGAAGAGTTTTCTTTCTGCCCACTTTCGTTGATGAGTAGAAAGATTCATTTTATTTGGAATAAATGAATTTTATGATCACCTTCAAACCTGGGTTGCTGTCTACATCTGAGCTATCCAAGCGGGAAGATGAAAACACTTTTGGGAAAAAATGTGAAACGTGATCACTACCTGATTTTATTAATCATTTGCAAGTGTCAAAATGAATGTTCTCCCACCAATAAGGACTGGAGGGGATTAGGGGACTGGAATACAGATAGAGTGAGTGTGTACGTGTGTGTGTGAGAGAGAGAGAGAGAGAGAGAGAGAAAGTCAAAGACAGGGGGAGAGGAAACAGTAAATCAACTTTGGAGGAGGCATGGAAGAATTCTCTGATCAAATACCTTTACTTTGTAAAAAAAAACTTTTGTGTTAACCTTTTTGTCCTATACTCACTACCATATTTTAGACTTCAATAGTTAAGCTAAATGTAAAAAAAAACTAGAATAACTAAGATGCACCAAGGCAATAAGATAGTTTGAGAGTTTTCCCTTTACACATTGGAGATGGCCAACGGTTGGATTGCTCCAAGGAAAGATGGTTGAGGCCAGATCACTGAACTTATTTAAGGAACAAAGAAACAAAGGGGATCAGCTGGGTTTTTTTCTCAAGCAAGAAGCAAAAGGTAGAAAAAAGAATTCATATTCTATTCTTATTTGAATGCGCAGATCATTGAAGACACGAGGATAAAATGGATAGCTATATTTTGAAGGTTTATGTTGCTCCGCTTTTGGTATATCACTTTGCTGGGCTAGTACTGTGGAGATGCTTCATCCTTGATCAATGTCAAAACCAACTGACATAAATGTTCATGATAGGAAATGAACTAATATCTTCAAAACCTTGGATCAAATCTTTGCATCAGATATGAAAGACAAAGCAATAGTTATCGAAGAGTGGTTAACCGGCAGAAAACAGAGAGTAGGGATAAACGGGTCCTTCTCAGATTGGCAGGTTGTGACTAGTGGGGTGCCGCAAGGATCAGTGCTTGGACCTCAACTGTTTATAGTCTACATCAATGACTTAGATGAGGAAATGGAGCTTAATGTATCTAAGTTTGCAGACAATACTAAAACGAGGTGGGAAAGTAAGGTGTGAGGAGGACACAAGGAGGATGCAAAGGGTTATAGACAGGTTAAGTGAGTGGCAAGAAGTTGGCAGATGGAGTATAATGTGGGGAAGTGTGAAGTTATTCACCAAGGTAGAAAAAATAGAAAAGCAGATTATTTTCTACAGGGGGAGACGAGATAGTGTTAGTATTCAGAGGCGCTTAGATGTCCTTGTACATCAATCACAGAAATTCAGTATGCAGGTACAGCAAGCAATTAGGAAGGCTAATAGCATGTTAGCGTTTATTGCAAAGAAGTTAGAGTACAAGAGTAGGAAAGTCTTACTGCAATTGTATAGGGCCTTGGTGAGACTGCACATGGAATACTGTGGAATACCTACGAGGAGAGAAACTAGGCCTATATTCTCTGGATTATAGAAGAATTAAAGAAGAATTATGGAAACCTTTAAGATTCTTAAGGTTCTTGACAGGGTAGATAGTGTGAGACTGTTTCCCTTGGTCGAAGAATCTAAAACTAGGGGTCATAGTCTCAGGATTAAAGGTCAGCCCTTTAGAACTGACTTGAGAAAACATTTCTTCACTCAGAGTGAAGGTATGGAATTCTCTACCCCAGAAGGCTGTGGATGCTCAGTCATTGAACATATTCAAGACTGAGATCGATAAATGTTTAAATCTAAAGGGATTAAGGGATATGGTGATAGCGCGGGTAAACGGAATTAGGTTAGTAGATCAGCCATGATCTTATTAAATGGTGGGGCAGGCTTGAGGGGGCAACTGGCCTATTCCTGCTCCTATTTCGTAGGTTCTTATGTTCTTATTAGACAATGGGTCTGATCTGCACTCAATTTTTGCCAATCTGATGAGTCTTCTCATGAAGATAAATACTGTAATTCACAGTCACTTGACATCTTCAACACTCTCCAAACAAGTATGGTTTTGATGGTGCTTACCTACTATAGCAAACACAATATGGGTGAAATAGTGGCAAAGCAACACACCTTCAACTGCCTGGGTTCAATATTTGTCTCATTGTTCCCTCTCAGGTTAATTAGTGATCTTGATCTGGATCACAAACAACTCAAATCTTCACAGTTTAGAATTTTGCATATGCTTGCCCAACACTTTTTTTGATGCCAAAATAAACACTAACATCATTGGAAACTTGGATTCAGAGGAGGAGATTTTGGGCAAACTGTGTCTTTTGCAATATGTCTCCCCCAGTTTTTCATGCATGAATGAATGAGGGACATTTGGGAGCCAACTCGGCAGGNTTTTTGGACTGAAATGCAGAATGTATTGCTGCTTCAGGCGGTCTGGATTGTTCAAGCTGCTGGAACCTCAATTCCTGGACCTTCCAAGAGATCTGTAGAATTTACACAGTGCCAAGTCACAACAAACTAAAAACCATCAGTTGTGGCTGGCCATCTGTCAGAGGAGTTGATGCAGATTTTGAAAACAGAACTTGTTCTTCATTGGGAAACAAATTAATATTTATGAATGCCACATAAAATAATTTTCAGTTTCCCGAGATGTAATCTGATTATTTTAAAACAGGGTCAAGACACATCCCCGGAAACTAATCAGTTTATCATGTAGAAATAAGATTCAAAATTATTTTTAACTGATCGGATGAAAAGTACAGCTTGCTGAATGACAGCCATCGTGAATTCAAGAAGCAGAGGTCATGTTTAAGTAACCTGGTGGAATGATTCTGTAAATATTATTGAATGACAGAAATGTAGTCCATGTTGAATGCCTAAGATTTCCAAAAATAATTCATCAACTATTAATGGTTAAGGAAGCATAGAATGGAAATAGAATCCTGGATAGAAAATGGTCTCAAACAGGAATTTGAGCATCGTAAAAACTGAAAATGTTTCAAGGTGGAAAGGTGTTGCAAGGAGGCTTCTCCAAATCTTGAAGCCATTGCAATTTTATAAATTATTTAAATATGGTTAGCAAAAGCAAAATTGGAGGCAAAGTAAATAAGTACACAAGAAGTATTTAGATATTTTAGGAAATTAGGTATGTGGCCTGATTAGCTTTATAGTTTAGGAGTTTAAAAAACAAAATATTGAGTATCATACTGAATTTAAAAAAATGAAGTGTACTGATTAGCATTTGCGTGGAAAAAACATTGAACCATCTGCCCATTGTGCCACAGCATTAAAAACAGCAAAACTCTTGTGCGATTGTGAGTGGGTCTCTCTCTGCTTGTGTGTGCTTTGGAGTTTCTCTAGCCATTGTGCTTAACTGTGTCTTTATTTCCCAATCTCTTATCCCTCCGTCTCCCTCCCTCACCTCATTCAAGGTATGTCTCAAGATGCATCTCTTTTGGGCATATTTCTCCTTCCCACCCCATTTGACTTCCACACCCAGCTCTGGTGCACAGCCAGCAGTGCTAAGAGCTTTAAGACATCCCTACAGAACATGAAAGGCACGATACAAAGGTAAATTTTTCCAATTCTCAGCGCACCATTAAATTACATACAATTTATACATTTTTGCTGACATCACAGCTCGATTCCAATTCTGTGAATAAGAGGACACATGGACACGTGTGTGGTTATGCAGCATTCCAAAGGATGGATTATAAAAAGTTTGCTGTAGCACCTCATCAGGTCTCTAGTTACCAAACACTTGACTTTGAGGTCTAGTGACAGTTATGTAGTAAAATGTAAAAGCTAATCTGTACCAACCATGTCCAGACAGAAATAAGATGAATCATCCATCCTATTTATTTGATTTCAATACATTTGGATGAGGGAAGAATATTTACCAAAACACTGGGAACTACCAGCTCTTTTTGAAATGGTTTTCACAGAAATCAGCACATGTGGTGCACAATGAGAGTTCTTCAAAAGGCATAGACATCTTTTATCAAAAACACAAAGTATTACTTGAAATTTACGAAGGATGTTTTGACAGAATAGCACTGCCTAGAGTTTACTTAATGAAGGAAGTCATGTTTTACAACAACAGTGCAACTTTCAACAAAGCACAATAAAATTGAACTTACTTCTGGCTTCTTTAAAATCTGTATGTAAAACATGTGATTTTTCATTGGATAGATGATGATCAAAACATCTCCGAAATCCGTAGGAATAATGCCCCTGCGGTAGTCCCTTGTATGCTCAGACCAGATGATGTGAATTTCATCATTCCCCAGGTGACGAAGCTGCAATGGCAAATTGGTTCTTGATTAATTGTTGGGATATAATCTGGCTTGATTTTACCATATTAAAAGGTTTCAATTAATTTTCACCAAATTCTATACAAAAGTGGGATTGTTTTTCCAGAACAATGGTTTTCGAGGTTTGATGCAAATTTGGCCACTTCAATTTGCAAATCTAAGTGTGTTGTATTCAGTCAAAATATTCAACAGTGCAATGATGAATATGTTGGTAACAATAATAAAATTTCTGACTACTAAAGTCGTATGCACACATGCCTAATTATCAAGATATCAGCAGTGATTTGTTTATCAGAAATTAAGATGCTTAATAAAGTTGAACTGTAAACTTCGTTCCAGTTCATTTCTCATTTCCGATTTTTATTTGAAGGTATGTCACAGTTTGCTGACTATTAAGGAAATGTGAGATTTATCACAAAACACTTTAAAAGGCCCCACTTTGATCTTCAAGCCATTCAATCCTAGCATATAAATGATAGATGCTTGGAGTTGACTAAGTTATGCCCAGTAGCAGTATCATCAAAATGGCATTACCTGCATGACAATTTCATTGTTGAGAATTATAGAAACTGATTTAATACCAACACTCAACAATTGGATCACCAGTCACCCCATTTCACTTCCTTCATTAATCTCTCATTTTATAGACACTCATTTTACAGACAGGGCCAAGTCCCAGATACCCCAACCAAGTGCAAATTCTTCTTCTTGCATGAGCGTCTGCAGACTATTTGTCTGTAGGTAATGATAAGTTTGACCCAGTGTTCACACACATACTTCCAGCAAGGAGTCAGTGAATAGAAATCAAGAGCAACAAACTGCAATCATAATGTATCTTTCACATACGAAGAATATCTTGAAGGGCTTCAAAATCCTGAACAATTTTTTTTATTCGTTTTCACCCAGCACTTGAGATTGACTGTGGCATCCCTACTGCTGCGCATTGGAGATTAGTTCATAGCATCATCCACTTTATTTTCATTTAATGTAAAGAAACACTGGACCTTTAATCATCTTTTAATCAAAATATCATTCACCTTATTTAAAGGCTAGGCTTTTGTTCTGCTTCATGAATCTTCTGAGATGNAAAAAAATCAAGAAAAACATGATTCTGCTAAACTTAAAAAAAATCTGAATCCTTGTTTGATCAGGCGCGTGCCACAGAAATCCATTTACTAATGCTGCTATTCTGACGGCTGTGAGCCGGGTGGCTAGCAAACCATTCATGACACTGGTCAAGGCACCATGCCCAAACGCCTGACCTCTCTTCTGTTAATTGCATTACAAAGCCAGCTGGCTCAAGTATGGAGTCGTCAATTTGATTGAAAAATTCCTGCTGTCAAGTAGGCATGGTTGCCCTGTTATTCAGTCACTCTGAAGCCTGACCACCCCTTTGTTTGTGCTACAGTGCACTCTTCCTCAAAAACTGAGTTTTATTTGTAAATTAACTAAGAAACTTCCTGCCAGAATAGCAATGCCTGGAGACTGATAATGTGTGCCTTTCATTCTGCTCCATTCTCACTGTAACCCTGCCAATTTGTTTTCCTGCTCTCGTCCTGCCTCAGGCTAAAAAAAGCCTTGTAAGACATAAGTGCAATTACAGTTCTTGGAGCCAAATGAATTGTACAAATCCAATAGCACAGCTCTGTCACAGCTTGCAACCCCTGTCGCGGTAAGATTAGCTGCTAAAAATCCAATCTAACAAAGCTAACAAATTTCTACTGTAAGAGCACAGGGTTCAGCATGGGGTCGGAGGCATATAACAAAAACGAGGGCTGCAAAACTACTAAACATTTTATGACAAATCACCTTAGCAGTTTTTGCAGCTCATTTAAAAAAAACATCAACTTGGTGATTTGGTGAGAGAGTTGAAGACAACTAAATGCTGATGCACAAATTGATTTTCATTTTGATCAATCCGATCAAAAAGTTCCATGAGTAATAATGCTACACTTTACAATACCAAGGAACAATACGATCATCATCTTTTTATTGAATCTGTGATGCTTGCTACTCATTTGAATACACATAACGTTTTAGACGGTTATATTTATTTGACTACTTTCAAGAAACCTACATCATTTTATACTGATGTGAACCATTTTCAACTAACCCTTCTTGTAGTAAAGGCTCACTCCAATACTTTGTGATCCTTTGAAAGTTTATTTGTAAATTGCAATCTAACATAATTTAGTTGCTAAATTCAGCATTTGCAAGATGCAGTCACTGTTTGCATAAATTCAAGAACATTTCATTTCTATACATTTCAATTTACTACAAGACCGAGGCCCTCCTGAATGGCTCCCGTCAGCGCCTCCACACCTCAGGCACTGACAGCATCACTATCCAAGGATGCACACGCCACCTTACTAAGCCAGTCCGGAACTTTGGGGTCTTGTTTGATCCTCAACTGCCTTTTCTACTCCATATCAGTGCCATGTCCAGTGCCTTCCCCCATCTCTGCAACATTGCCCGGCTCCACCACTGTCTCAAACCGCAGGCCGTCGAGACCCTTGTATAATATTCATAATATCCATGTTTGACTATGCAAACTCCATGCTTGTTGGCCTCCGCAACTCCTCCCTCCATAGGCTGCAGAACATCCAGAACTTTGCAGCCCGTGTCCTCTCCCGCACTAGGCTCCGCGACCCCATCACCTCCATTCTCGCCAGAATCCACTGGCTTCCCATCACACAGAGGATACAGTTCAAGATCTTGGTCCTCACCTTCAAAGCACTCCATGGCCTTGCTACCCCCTACCTCTGCAACCTTCTAACCTTCTACCATCCTACCCACTCCTTCTGCACAGTGGCCTGCAGTCTACTTCATGTCCCTCACCTTGCTCATCCCACCATTGGTTGGCAGGCCTTCTGCCACTCTGCCCCACACTCTGGAACTCCACCCCGCAGTCCCTCGACCTTGCGCCCTCCTTTGGCTCTTTCAAGACCCTCCTCTTCGACCATGCCTTCCGTCACCCTCCTTCACCCCCCTCCCCTCCCCCTGCCCCCACCTCCCCATGCCACTCCTCCCCACACCTTCAAGAGTGAGGTTGATAAGATTTTTAGTAGGTCAGGGTATTAAGGGATATGGGGAGAAAGCGGGAAATTGGAATTGGAAAGATTAGTTGAGGTACAGATCAGCCATGATCTAATTAAATGGCGAAACAGGCTCGAAGGGTTGAATGGCCTACTCCTGTTCCTATGTTCCTATGAACTCATAGGCTGACACTTCAGTGCAGGGGAGTACTACATTGTCAGAGTTGACCTTTTTCAGATGAGACACTAAAACACAATCCCGTTTCTTGTTCAGGTGGATGTTAATCCCATGGTTCTACTTAAAAAGAAAAGAACATTTCTCCTGGTATCCTGCCCAACAATCATCCAGTAAAATCGATCATTCACTTTATGGCTGTTTGTTGGAAATGCCGTGTGCAAATTTGCTACTGCATTAATCTACAAGTACAATCATTATATTTTATAGAAACTTTGTGAAATGCTTTGATAAAAGTGCAAGGACTATTATTACATTTCAGTGCTGAATCAGTGCTACACTCTGTCATGGGGACAAATAATTATTGTGGAGTCCATTGACTTGTTTTTATAAGCAAACATGGCAGCCATAACAATTTACATAGATACTTTCACACAAAGCGAACGACTCAAAATGCTTTACAAAGATTAAGCAGGTATCCGAGGTGGGAGGGAGACATGAGTGATAAACAAAAGTCTGAAAGTTTAATGAAAGAGGTTTTTAGAACTGTTTTGAAAGCTGACAGGGAGAGGGCAAAGCGGATGGATCTGGAAAAAATTCCAATGGGTGTTCCAGATATCAGAGAAACAGCCATGAGGTGATTGACCAACTAATCTGGATTAACGATATTTGTCTGCTATCAACCACAAATGTAAGTTATCATGTGAGCTACAGCCTAACCAACTTTTTTGCCCAACTATTCAGTGTATAAAACTGTAGAACAAATGCATAAATAATAAGATGTTTAGTGATAAGCACAGTACACAGTAGGCAGTACACAGTACACAGTAGGCAGGGCGAAACCTTGGGCAAGTTTCCTTACTCCACACGCCTAATAATAATCCCTCCAAAAACAATAATAAATTGGTTATTTTCAATCTTCGACTGTTTGTGGAACATTGCTGTGCGCAATTGGCTGCCGCGTTCGCCCACAAATATACAGTCAATTCACTTTACAGTGTGTTCTGTGAAGCGCTTTGGGACGTCTTCCCGACGTGAAAAGCGCTATATCAAATGCAAGGATTATTATTATTATTACATTTGAATTATTATGATTTAACCTAGCGTAGCTGTATGAACTACAGGAGTCCTGTAGTTCAGTGGTTAGAGCACTCGCCTCGCAAGCGAAAGACCTGGGTTTGATTCCCGACAGGGCAAAACCTTGAGCAAGTTTCCTCACTCCACACTCCTGATAATAATCGTTCAAAAAAGAATAGTAATAAAATTGGTCACTTCAATCCACGACTGCTTATAGGACACTTGTGTACAATTGGCTGCCACGTTTGCAGACAAATATACGGTCAATTCACTTTACAGTCTATTCTGTGGAGAGCTTTGAGATGTCTAGAAGATGTAAAAAAGGGCCTTATCACATGCAAGGATTATTATTATGTATACTCAACCAATTCTAACACCGCTCAAACGATATCATTTCTGGATTTAATATAGAAGATTCTCTATGAAGCCGGTCTCAGATATGGTCATAATGGAAATCAGTGTAATGGCTTCCGAGTTCAATGCAGGATGATACAGCAATTTGCCATGAGATTGAAAAACAATAAAAGCTGCATGTTTTTAAATTACAATTGAATTAGATTGAAAGCTACCAAACCTTTTATTTAAATAAGATCAGATCTTAGTATACTCAAGTTTTGATGCAATAATACTACCACGGAGTAAAATTTTACTCATCGTAAACTTCAGCAATTTTGATGTGCACTTGTAATGGCATCTCCCAATTCTAAGTTGCTAAATCTGGTAGCAAGAGGACCTGGAGGTTGCTAGTTCAGATGGTGCGAACTACATTTTAAACTAATTTCTGTAGTTTAAAGTAATCTAATAAGAACAAACAAAATCGTTATTTTTTTCCAAAAATAAGGCCTTTGGTCAATCAAATTGGTTCAAAGGGATGCATACCTTAACATTGTGAAGTGTAATGACTATTTGTGGATAAAATAGTGAAAGCTCCTTGAGCAATTTACATGTATTAGCATACAATTGGAAGATTTTTAACATGCTTAGGCTTTTGAAAATGTCAAATGCTAAGATCTACTAAAGATATTAACTTGGATTTTTTTTATTGTGGTTGATACCTGTGTTACATTTGAGCATTTTTAAGTATGCTCCACTGAATACAATACAGAGGGAGGATACATTCTAAAGCTATGTGGAGGGGATATTTAAAATCAGATAACAGGGGTCAACATTGAGGCAGTGATTAAGAGTCATAATTTGTACAGTTACAATGTATACATTGCATAATTAAGTATTGTTGATCTGTTTTTGAACTTATAGCCCAAATCTTCATTGCACTTGTTGGAGACAGACACATACTGCACAGTGCTCTGGGATTCAGACTCTCTTTCAAGTCTATATGAACGACAAAAAATCCTTTCACAAATGTTGCACAAGATTTACAAACCCACTTTATACATTAGACTGCGTTAAGTCAAATGCACTGAGCTTCAAATATATAAGTACAGCCAGAGTTAAGGCCATGACCAGATGATTTTATTTTCATTGAAGTTACCAGTGCACTCATTAGAAGGGAATATTCTCACACCATAGTTATAGCAAGTGCATTGCAAAAGTAAACATCACAACTGTTAATGATTAATTAATTCAACTAATTTGCAGCTGCCACTACTTTAAGTTGAGAGGTTTCCTAGGTACAAGCAAACAAGTTACTCTGCTGGGTCTTTCTGGTCACTTATCCAGATGCTGTCAAAATTATGCATTTGTATGTAATAAAACAATAATTGCAGTCTCAGCAGAAAGATTAGATTATGTGATTACCTCTATCGTGGCATATTCAATATGGAACAAAACTTTTATTCTAGCTAAGGGCCTGTCAACGTGCATTGTGCCTTTCTAAGCTCCACCACTCAAAACCTTAGTTGATTAATTTTAGCAAAGTGTGTTCATGAATTCAGTAGCTTGCCCATTACAACAACACAAAATTACATTTGTATAGCGCCTTTCACGTCGGGGGGACGTCTCAAGGCGCTGGACAGTCAGAGCTTGGACTCGAGCTGGGGTTTAGGACTATGAAGTGGGATCATTGTCTTACATCTGAATTTTTTTAATCATGCATCATAGAATGGTTAATGTTAAAGGATGAACAAATGTATCATTTCTTAGTTCTGCTATTCCATTTCCTTGAATTGGTGTGGGAACACATTAAAATAATTTTCGGCAAGCTGTCAAATACATTATGCACTAGTTTACATTCCTCATTCTTACAAAGCCTACCACGAGTAATATATTTCAGGAATATTTACTCAACTTCTATACCATTCATTCATCACTTTACCTTTTTTGTTATCGAATCATCAGAGTCCGATGGCATTCTGCTGGAAACATGGAAGATGACTTCCACAGTAGAGGTAGCGTAGTAAGGTGCAGTTTGCCCTGTACTGCCATTCCGCTGCAAACCGCCCATGAAACCACAATGTGTGGACAGGTTGATCTGGAGAACAATAAATAATCTTCAGAAATAGACAAAACTCACTCTCAATTTAGAAATAAAGTTATTGCAAATATAAGAAAGATTTTCTAGATACAGCATTTTGTTATGGTTACACTATTCTTGCAGCCTCTTGTAATGTGTAAATAATATGTATATAACGATATATTTTTAAGGGAAATGGGGAAGTCTGCCCCTTTAAATGAGTTCTGTGAGATATCAAGTTGTAAGAAGCTGCTTGAAGCAGTTACCAAGCAGCCTACAGATTTTGCCACAAAGCATAGATCCAGGGCTGCTTGATGGGATAGTCAGCTAACAAGCAACTTGCAGAACAATAATACATGGGCGCTAGCGCAGGAAAATACCCTTACATTCGCATCATACGGTGGGCGGAGCCACACGCCTATATAAAGCAATGCTTGGTGTTCCTATTGTCACCAACTAATGGTCATCATCCGGTATGTACTGACATGTACAGGACTACTGTACAGTCAGGGTTGGTTTTATAGTTCTTTTCTAATGTATTATTGTGCTGCCAGTTGTTATAGTTGTGTGATAGGTTTGCTCCCATTCTTGTGTATCTTCCATTGTTGTATTCCTTATATGCAAGGAAGACTAGGGTTGCTAGGTTTTAATAAACAGCTGTTGTTTCTACCGAATGTATCCCTGACGCTCTTTAGTATTCTAGACAAAAAAAAAGGAGTAAGCACTTTGGAGGGTAGTTGTCAACCTTGAAAGTCTACTTGTGCAAGCAGACTCCGATTAGACATTCCAGTTACTGGGCATTGGGATTCACTGGAAATACCTGTCTGTGCATGACTCTGACTTGGTTGAGTCACGTTTGAAATAGGGACTCACACCAGCAGGGATAGGAGAGAAGCAAAGTCCACTTAGTACGAAAGCGTTACCGCAATTTGCATTCAAGAATGTCCATTGCAGCCACTGTGCCTGTTTAAAACTTCAAACAGTTGTAATAATAAATAAAAATCCTTGCATTTGATATAGCGCTTTATCACGTCATAGTGAGAGTTTAAACAAAAGTGCAAAGATAAGACCATTTTATATTAAATCAAATACAATTTAGCACTCTACAAGATCTTGTATTCAACCATGAATAGTGTTGGTGAAATGAGGACAATGAGATACAATGCAGTAAGATTGCAATTAGACCACACTTATCCTCTAAACTTTCCATAGGTTGCTTAAGTGGGAGTATTCACGTTTTTTATTAATGGAAAGATAAACACCAGATGTTGGCTGCAATGTGCTAAACTCATAATTTTTGCTAACCAGGTTGGGGCATCAAATTCTGCTAAGACTTTGAATTGTGACGACAGGGATGTGCAGTAATTTTTTTAAAAAAAATGAAACATGGATCGGATTAAAACTGTGGAATTTTGAGTACTCAAAGTGCACATCTGTTCTGTATGAAATGTGTCAAATATATTCTCCAAATATTTGAGATTAAATGGAAAACTATCAACTGAATAGATCTAATAACACCGAATTTTATTCAATTCTTACGTTTAAAATTTCTGTCTTCTACCGCAGCTTTTTACAATGTTACAACACTCACATATTGATATTGCTTCACCAATAAATGTTTTGATCGTATCTAAAAATAATTGAATAATAAAAATTATACCATCAAATGGGCAGATTCAGCTCATCAAGCCTAAACTTGTGCTAGATTATCCACTGGAGCTAACTCCTTATATACGTGCTCTTTCCGGATATTCTTTTATAGGTTTTCTTTTCAAATGTTCATCCAATTCTTTTGTAAATATGGTTATGGTCTCCAACCCAAAATTCACTTGTAGCAAAGCATTGCAAAACAGCTTCTTATTGATAGGTTTCTTATTCTGCAACATTCCCAAATGATGTTTTTATCTTCCATATGATTAAATATTTGAACAAGGGGAAGTATCATCCACTGCATGGGATATTCATTGCAGTTTGATGTGATAAATATCATCATGGACTAACCAGCATTTCCATGTTAGCAATTGTTTGGTGCTAACACTAATCAACCGGGATGGACAGACAACCTCGTACGTCTGGAGAATGGTTTACGGGCTGACTTTTGTCTCAGCCCAGAAAGTGATTTTCTGATTGGTTACGCCAAATAATGGGACAATTTAGTTGAATAGGATTTCCTTTTAATATCAAGAATGTTTGGATACCTCCCAGCCGAGCCCAGATACAAAATCTTCATATGCTTGGCTTCCTCTAGTGTTTGAAAGGATCGAGCACTTGTCTTCTTGTCCTTCAGCAATGTAAAACACTGCAATTTTATGAGTTTCACGACTGAAAAATAAAATATTAATAAATGTGTCTCATTAATATTAGATTTTGAACAAGGAAATAAAAACATTAGGTTCAACACTGTCGTAAGAGATTACATATCGGAATTGGAGACCAAGTTATGATAAATGTAGTCTAATGATTGCACATTTTTATGAACATATTTATGGACTAATACTTTATATTATTTATAAAATATACATTTATAATACTTAATCCTGAGAGAATATTATTTTTGTGCACAGACATTAAGATTACCTAATGAGTTACTTGTATTTATTTTAAAGGTGACATCCCAGTTAGCCTCTTCAAAGAAAATAATTAATTTTCAATTACTTCTATTTTTAAAAAACAAGGATAACAGGGGTTTCATCAAATGATGCCACAGTACTGTGTATAACTAAGCAGATAGAAATTAAGTGGAATCTGTTCCATTCAATATTTGCTCCATGGGCAATATAGTGTATTTTTTAAAAAATGATTTTGTTTGTTATTTTTAATGAGAACATCAGGGTTAAATGGCAAAGTGTGCTATGTTAAGAGATGCAAATGATATTAGATGAAAACATACATGGTATTGTATGAAAAGAATACCAAAGTAAAGCTGTGTGTTTGCACATAATAATACACAAGAGTTTGTGAAAATCTGCATCTTTTGGGCCTGCCAGTCACATTTGGGTTGCAACACATTTCCTGTCATTCATTTGATTTAGAGTTTGGTCATAGTATTGCACAAAGTAGCTTTTACAGTGAATGCTCATTTTCCTATAGTGCTAGTTATAGTTCTGATAAAAGTCTGCTGGCTCATGAATGCTAACAGTGGTTTAATTTTTTTGAATTAGTGGGCAAAAACTCTCAATCTCCTGTAGACAGATAATATGAAGTAATGTCACATTTTACTTAGTTATTCAATTGCTGCTATTTACCAGTTCATAAATTAAGCCTAAACCCAAATTCCAGGAACATTTTTAGCAGATATGAAAATGTTGCAAAATTAAGCCTACTCACCATTGCCTGGAATCCAAATTTTTTAATTCCCTTAATAGCTTTGAATTTTTCTTCAGAAGATGAAAACTGTTCCTTCAAGCAAAACATATATTGTTTAAAATGGATAAAAGAATATCAATACAACACATATCAGCTAGTTCCTATAATACCTACTTAAACATTAATACAGAAATAATTGAATGAGGATTCATACTGTACGATGGACATTGGTGCCCAAACCTTTCAATGAAACAACAGTAATAACCATTTACATTTATATAATATCTTAAAAGTAGTTCACACAAATAAGTGGGTGCGTGGAAAGCAAGGGTAAGGGGGCTGAAAGCACAGTCAAAGAGATAGTCTTCAGCTGGGCTTTGAGAGCACAAGAATCTTAAATTCAACTTTCTGCACAATGGGGAGCCAGTGGAGCTGAGCAAAGATGGGGGTGATGGGCTTGCGGAACTTGGTTTGGGAAAGGAAGTATGGTGCAGGCTTCTTGATTGTTTACAGCTTGCATAGCGAGGAGCTAGGGAATGCGACAAGCAGGGCATGAAGAGACATCAAGCTGCTGGTGATAACAGCATGCATGCGGCAGGGTAAAAGGTTAGGGAAGTAAGCAGGTGACAACAAGATGGGCCGAATGGCCTTCTTCTGCACCATAAATATAATTCTAAATATTGCAAATTGCAAGGACCCTATTATTGGCTAGAATAGAATATAGATATAAAAAATGCAAAAACTTGAATGTAATTAGAATTTTGGAACTATATTATCAATCCATACAAAATGTCTGCCATGAAAAATTTGGGGGCAGTAGCAGAGTTAACCTTATTTGATTTTTGTTGTTCTTTTTTCTATTCAAATTCTAGTATGTACAAAATATTAAAAATCTGTAAAATTGTAAACTTCATTGGCTCAAACTATTAAACAGTAATTTTTACTGTAATATTTTCTTAGAATAATTTCACTTGAAGCCTATTTGCTTAAGGTTGTTAGTGAATGACAACCAACTAATTTCACTTCACACTATACTTTAATTCTGAAAAACTGCACGCTGATACTTCTTATTCTTTAAGGACTAATATTCAAGGTATGTAAATAATATGCACATGGATTCTTAACACCTGAGCTGAGCACAGAAAAGATGAAAACGCTGTTTTATCTTTCATAAACGATTCTATTGAAATATTCATACAATTTACTGAAAAAAATGGAAAATTATCAAACCTTTGCAAACCAACATCAAAGGTTTTGCAAATGCCTTCTAGAAAAAAACTCTTTGGAAACAATTCAGTTTAATCTTGAAACAAGCTGCCACAATGTATAAAATGTCATTGATGGTTCTTTTTTTACTGCTGCTGGCATGCATCAGATGCATTAATTCAAGATGCAACCCTCTGAGTGAAGATACTCACCAACCTCTCTCCTAATTTTTTCTGTTAACAATTCAGATATTTTATCCCCTTGTCAAGGATTCCCCATCCAAATGTAATATATTTTTCCTAATTTAAATTCTGTATAAACCAAATGTAGAAGAAAGGTTTTCTTCTTTGGATGGGCCACAGTTCATATTTTTCTCCTCTTTTCATGGCCATACTTACTATTTTTCCCACTCCCTTTTAGCGAAACCGACTCAGATAACACCAATTAGCTACTGGAGTGAATGCCTTTAAGTGCACGGTTGTACTGGCTTTCTTTTATTATTACTCTTTTCTACCAGTTTCACCAGCATTGATACCATTTATGATAGTTTTAGCAGGTTGACTGTTTAAAGGGTGGCACTTCCCCCCACCCACCCCAACAAAACCCCTAAAACATACATTATCTTGACAATAGGAAAAGATTACTACTTTAAACTCAATTTTCTCTTATTGCTAAATATGCTAAAGTGGACAATCGGTTTGTTCTGAATGTGAGCATTCAGCAGAACTGGGTAAATTTATTCAGTGGATTTGATTTGATCAACCTCTGTCATATTTTCAGTTGTAAGTTGTTTGTCCCAGAACAGCAAAGTACGAAAGTTAAAAATACTGAAATGTAGAAATGTGCTCTCCATACTTGTACCACAGTGCAATATCACGATTTGATCATAAGTGAGAAACGTAAACCACAAAAATGCATAGGTGCGAAACCAGATAGCCAGGTGTCAGCCTCTCACCACTTAATAATAATAATCCTTGCATTTGATATAGAACGTTATCGGCATTGAGACATCTCAAAGCACTTCACAGTATATACTGTAAAGTGTACATTTTGGGCAGAATGCAGCACTGTTCTTCAAATGAACGTTAAAGATCTCATGACACAATTTAAAAAGAGAAGGGTGTTCGTCCCGTGTCTTGGCCAACAATGAATATATAATGCACAAAGAAGCAGATGGTTAGGGGTTGGATTACAGTCGTGCATGGGAACACTCAATGATTTTCAGCTTGTGTTTATACTTGTGGCTATGGCACTTATAAACACACTAGCCCTAACCTCAGGACTTGAGACTTAAAAATAATTCATTAATTTTTCTATCTGCACAATGTCAAAATTTCAAAGGAGCATCAAAACTTTGAGGGAGAATACAAAAAAAAACAATGTGCCATTTTAAATATTAGTACAGTTGATATTGTTGCATTGTGTATTTATAAACAAAGGCAAACAAGTCAGTTAAAAAAAATTACAACGCTGACTCTTTAAATATTGCTGAATTCATTCTGATTATTAATCTCAAACCAGTTTTGCTTTTGTTCATTATTGGTAACAAAATAGTACCAGCAAAATAGTTCTTGTGAAATTTCAGCAACTTTGAAATAAAAGATAAATAAAAATGAGTTCCATTTTTATATAATAAATATCAAAATTAAAATTGGGGAACAATCTTGCTAAATAAGATCATCACTGGTCACATCACAAATTGCACCCCCGCCCCCAACTCCACCCTATTATATATACTGCTTTGAAAATGAAAAAGCAAAATGCACCACAAAGCACACAGTGTTATGTATCCTTGCTAACTTGAGCAGAAAAGCAATGACGTAGTACAATTTCAACCAACTTTTATACAGCAATTTAAAATGTTAGGATTCATCCGAACTGAACCTGATAATCCAATCATTTTATAGCTTTATGTACATATGGATACATCAAAAATTGTATATCCAGAATTCTATAAAATAGCTTCCGTGGGGAAAATCAAGCACAACATAGACCTCCTGTGATGAAATTTTGTATAATTCTATGTACAAGACAGGTTTGCAATCTGGTCTGAGGAACACAGTATGCATACGCAATCTGTGGCAAAAAACTCTGTTGGGAAATACATATTGTAAATGGTAGCTGAGTAAGATGGCATATGATGTAAAGAGGTTATGGAACGTATACATAAATGGGTTGAACATCTGTTGAAAACTAAAGAAAACAGATACTGCTTGGAGCCGTTCAAAAGCAGACTTCTAATGTTACAAGATGAAAAAGGATATTAATTTCACAAGTAATGCTAAAAGCACTATTTAAATGTTAAATGCATTATTTCTGCCATACTTCCCACAGCAATGGCAGGACTGGATTTTTGATTAATTTAATTTTGCATTAAGGATTTAAAGATAACACACTTTTTAATTCAGGTAAAATAGTCTGCAAACTGGTATAATTGTGACTAAAATGTTGCAGCATCAGAGTTAAGGAACATCTGGGTGATTTAACTGTATTATTTTGAAACTCCCACATGATGGGCTGATTGAGTTCAGAAGACTTGAAGAGTATTGTGAACTTGAACCTAGGAATCACTCTATATAACGAGTCAACAGTAATAACAATAATCCCTGCATTTGATATAGCGCCTCATCTCAAAGCGCTTCACAGAATATACTATAAAGTGAATTAACTGTATATTCTGAGGGCAAAACGCGGCAGCCAATTGCGAGTAGCAGTGTCTCATAAACAGTCGTGGATTGAGAGGCTTTTTTTTGAAGGAGCATTACACCCAGAAAAGTGAACTGCCAATCGACCAACAACGGGCTCTTACTCACCATTGGGCAAACAGGTGTGTGGAGAGCAAAGAAACCTGCCTACCATCTCACCCTTATTTGAACAGAAATATAATGGTACCTGCAGTTCAGTCTAGCAACAGATGCAAGGATGGTGCCTGGGAAACGTCATGGGCCTGACAGATACCATTCACAAAAAAAAATGCATTTTGATAAGGGGGAATTGGTACCTTCCAGATTTTTTAGTTTTGTTCATTTAAAAAAACACATCCAAGATTTGGGGCAGGCTTGATGGTACAGTAATCAGGAACTTACAGATCAAGTGCTCATTAGGTCAATTCCTGGTCTGTGTGGAGGCTAAATTGGCCTCACCCTTCCCAAGGTTAGGGAGGGGGAAACAAGAGAGAGTTCCTGGTTCCTCATAAGGATGGCTGTCATGCTCTCCAGAGATCAGTGGCACACTGACACTCACAGCCAAGGCTCACACGTGAATAATAGCCATGCAGACTGCATCCCTTTTGTTAATTAAAATGACCCTTCAGAAGTTCAGGGCAGTTTATAATTTGTGCATCCAATAAACTGTAATACAATTTAAATAATACCTTTCATGTCCAGAAAATGTCTTAATAGCATTCATACACCTGACTAGGAGCTGTCCTTCCATAGGGCTATTTTCATAATGATACTCCAAGCTAAATTTACAATACTATTGTCTTCTGATCATTTCTCCACCGGCATAATAAGGTTTAAAAAGTGAGACTTATGGCTGGTTGTAACCAGCAACACAGAAGCTGTTTTCTTTTGGTGAGTAGAGGAGGAAGGAACACTGATCAGTCTATCTTGGGTGTTCATGGTAAAGTGGGAAACTTGGAAAGGACACTGCTACTTGAGCAGCAGAACCGATCAGGATGACTGTCAGGAACAGAGAGTGATGAGGGGAGGGAAGAAAACATTATGATCTGAGCACCACAGCTAGTTCAAATTGTGGAAAGTGCAACAAAACATTACAAGAAGCGGGGGGTGAAAAGATTCATAACAGAACACCTCAAATATAATATAAAATAATCCTTGCATTTGATATAGCGCCTTATCACATCCTCGAGAAGTCTCAAAGCACTTCACAGAATATACTATAAAGTGAATTGACAGTATATTTTGTGGGTGAAACGCAGCAGGCAATTGCACACAGCAGACTCCCACAAACAGTCATGAATTTTTTAAAAAAAAAGGAATTATTACCCCTCGAAAAGTGATCCGCCAATCGATTAGCAACCAGGTTCCTACTTGTAAGGAAACTTGCCCAACATTTCGCTCTGCTGGGAATCGAGCCCAAGTCTCTCACTTGCAAGGCGAGTGCTTTAACTACTGAGCTACAAGACTCTAAATAACTGATAAATATCATGATTGAATTTTACTTTCAATTTTATTTAGTAGACACCTGAAAGCCATTCATAATTCAGCCGGTGGACTGATATAAAAGCAGCGACACTGGCAGCAGCATGCCCAAGTAAACTAAATTCATAATTGAGAGGTAATTGGAGCCCTTTATTCATTTAAGGAAATGCATGCAATTAGCAGCAAAGGGGTATTGCAGCGTGGAGGTCTTTGCCTGAGAAGCTTTTGACGGATGAACCACTCTCCTCATAGCATTTTTCTAAGGAGATAAGGAAGTCTATTTGGATATCACGACAATTGAAGTTACCAGAGAGAAAATCGCTGTTACTGTTATTTTCTGGTCCCTTATGTGGCACCAGTACAAAATCATGAAGGTTCAGCAACACCTGAAAGCGTTCCTTCATTGCAGAAGCTGCTATAGAATCCGATGAAACAAGAATAGTGTAGGCTCATCAATCAGTTAGATCCTTTTTGTTTCTTTGTTGTATATGATCAAAGACTTGCTTAGTCTTACAATGTTGATAACATATGAATTGAACATCCAATTAGCATTGAGTGGATTGTCTGAATTAGTCATTAACATTGATTCAATAATTATGCAAAGGAACTAAACAATTCACACAAGCAAAAATGGATGTGGCAAAATGCACCAGACTTGGAAATCTCATTAAAAATCAAAGATCTGACTTCAAAGAGAAAGCCTCTGTGATATTGAAATCTGATTTTGATATAAAGAGGTCATTCTAGCAGTCATCAAGTTTTCTGATTGCCAATGCAGCAGGCAGCTTCAAACTAGATTGGTAAACTCAGATAGATGAATGAGACAAAGAATTGACCTCTTAGAACAAAATGTGAGAAAAGAAAATCAGGTGCACCTTTCATATGGTTTTAAAAGAACCCAGGTACCCAGTTGTAGCTTTAAAAGGATTGAGCCGCACGAATGGGTACATGAATTGTAAAGCATTTTCCATTTGATAATATAATATATTGCATTGAAAGCATTGTTAATTCTGTATGTAAATAAATTTGTTATCTCCCTTTAGTCTATTAACTTCTGGTCCGATGCAATATTCTGTTCAAAGTGCATATGGTTGTGGGGTACGTGATCACATAAAATCTAGTCAGAACAATTGGTACAGGATAATTAACCCCTCGGGCATGCACCAACAAGGCTGTTATGCATAAGCATAGGTTCCAAGGTAGAAGGGGGAAAAAAGAGTTTGCTTGTGGGAATGGTTGCTAGGTTGTTAGAAGAGGTAACAAAATAGAATATTCCAAAAACCGTAAACATCCATCAAGAATCCTACTCTGTATGGAGATAAGCACTCAACACCAGTGAATCTAACAGAACATTCAAGGAATTCTTCAAGTCCTGGGGGCTGGGTCGGGGATGTTTGCTTATTGCTGTAAGAAGTGTGCTGGCGTTAAGAAAAGCACTCAGCAGTCAACACCACTTATTCTGGCATGGTTTCGGTGTTGATATTGGATCCTGGCTTGAACATTGGAGCTGAGCCAGGGACCGTTACTGTAGATGGCACTAAGATCCGTAGAAATGAGGGCATAACATTCACCAGTGACTGGTACTGTATTAACAGTGTCTTTTACGGAAATATTGGTCAATTGGAAAAAGCAGTTTTGAAGATGTGAGAATGGTGCAGTTTTCTCTGAAATATCTTGTCTCATTTTAGCATAGAAGTTCATGAAATGCAGCAAATGCAGTTCAATGAAAACTGAGCTGTGAATGACACAGGAAATCAGTTACCTGAACACATCATAAAACAAGTTGGAAGTTTATGTAGATTTGCTGATCAGAAGCTAATCTATATGGACGGGTAGCCAATTTGTGCACCAGGCCATCCAGTGAAAGTCCAATTTACCTGGTGGATTGTTGGCCAGAACACAAAGAAAAAAAAATGTTTTTGAACTAGAAGAATTGTATATACAGCACAACCAGTTACATACTCAGCTTCCCAGGTAATGCACAAGTTTCACAAGTGAATCTTCAAAAAAGTCTTCTTCTGTTGTGTAACTTGGCAGGCTAACAAGTTGGGTGCAACAGAGGCCTGACAACAGGTGCTCGTTTTGTAAATTTGTACATCCAACAATCACAGGATGTACAAATTTGTAAACTGATTTCAGTGGGTGCAATCCTTATGATGATATCAAACATACCAGTGAATTTTTAATCGAGCAAAGCAGATTTCCAAAACTGAAATGTATGGGAAATCAGATACACCTAAACCAGTCTGGTTCTATTCCTCACCTCATATAATGGTAGCCATGACAGATATAATTCCATTACTATCCTTCTGCTGTTATTTTGTCTGGCTCGGTTAATTCTCATCTTTCAGTGAGAAGCCGATGGGTTCAAACTCCACGTTTGAACTTTGAGCTCACAATGTTCAAAGACAACTGTCAACCTACACTCTCCAATTCACTGCTGGGGTTGAGCTGCATAGTCAGATGTGTTGAACAACAACAACAACAAGATTCCATTTATAGAGCGCCTTTCACGTCGGGAGGACGTCCCAAGGCGCTGTACAGTTGGGTCAGGACCCGAGCAAGGGGGAAATAGTCAGGGTGAGGGGAGGGAAGGAGCGAGGAGGGGGTAGAGAGTCGAGAGGGGAGCTGAAGGCACGGTCAAAAAGAAAAGTCCTGAGACCGGCCTTGAAGGAGGAAAGGGAGGAAGCAAGGTGAAGGCTGAAGGCCCGGCTACCGATGGTAGGGCGGCTAGAGCGGGGGATGTGGAACAGACCGGAGCCAGAAGAACGGAGGGTACGGGCAGATAAGTAGGGGGATAGTAGATCAGAGATGTAGGAGGGAGCAAGGCCGTCAATGGTCTTGTAGGTGAGGATGAACTTCAGATGAAACATTACATCAAAGTCCTGTCTGCCTGTTCAGGTGGATGTTAAAGATCCCATGGCACTACTTTCTCCTGGTATCCTGGTCAACAGTCACCCAGATAATTGGTCATTCACTTGATGGCTGTATGTGGGACAATGCTGTGCACAAATTGACAGCCATGTTTGTCTAGCAATACAGAATTTACAGTAAACTCCTGTGATGTGTTTTGAGACTCCTCCCACCATGAAAGCAGCTACATTAAATGCAAAGATTATTATTATTATGAGCAATGGCCATGAGATGGACAAGCATTATTTTTGTGAGTGCCACTGAGGTGATCAGGAATAACATGACAAGTATCCCGTTAGCTTAAACTGACACTTATTTTATGCAATGTTGAAACCCCCATGCACAACACACTGATTTGTTGCACATATTGGAGTCCTGTAATTCAGTGGTTAGAGCACTCGCCTCTCAAGCGAGAGACCTGGGTTTGATTCCAATCAGGGCGAAACCTTGGGCAAGTTTCCTTACTCCACATGCCTAATAATAATCCCTCAAGAAAAAAACCCAATAATAAATTGGTCATTTTCAATCCATGACTGTTTGTGGGACACTGCTGTGCGCAATTGGCTGCCGCGTTTCGCCCACAAATATATAGTCAATTCATTTTACAGTATATTCTGTGAAGCATTTTGACACATCTAGAAGAAGTGAAAAGTGCTATATCAAATGCAAGGTTTATTATTATGTAAAAAAATGTACTTTTATAATATTGTCAGATAATAAACATGGTAAATCTTACAAAGAAGTTCTCTGTACATTTGCCATTGTATCTCACTCCCAATTTCCTTGATGTATTTTGTAGATCAGAACAGATTTTTGCTCAGATCACCCCTTCTGACTATCATGAATGGAAACAATAGACAAATCAAAAGAATACAAATCTTACTGCATCAAATACCCCTAATAATACATGGACATTCAAGCCTCATTAATTTCTGACGATAAAATTCTTAATTGTTTCATGTTCAGTAAGGGATTTTCTAATCTCTTCATGGCAGTTTCGCAAGGTTCTTTCACAAGCTAAGGCAGTAGACAGCTCCACGGACACGCATCTAAATTACATGCATTGTAATTTATGATTAAGATGGGCATTGACCAGCAAACCTCTGTGTTAAACTGCACTCATTTCTACAAGCCTCCATCCTACAGAGAAAGACAGGCTCGTAAAGTGCTTAACAAATATTGTCAGGATTAATGACTGTTTTTGTGGCCAAACGTGGCAGTTATTTGTGCCAGCAAGGTCCCACAAACAGGCATGCGATGAATGACCAATTAATCTGGAGGATTTGTGATTTTGTTGGGAAAACCACCAGCCATCCAAATCATTACAATAACAATAGGTCCATTACATGGAAAGTGAGAAACCTACTTCAAATCACTCTATAATTTTCACTAAATAATTTCCATAACCCTGCTGATAATCCCATTTTGACTTTTAGACTGATTTATAAATAGCTTGCTTACCTTCGGTCCCAGGAATTCATTCCCATATCGTTAAGAAACAATTTGCAATAGTAGAACAGTGCCTGTGGTTCATGATGAACAGATTCTTTCTGACAGGCCACACTCATACTTGGATCTCTGTTCCATCTGCGAATGTACTCCTCCTCCTGATTGTTCTGCCTGATTATAGAATCAATGATGTCTCTTTCTTGTTCACAGCTCATACCAAGTGGTGCTGGAGAAGGCTCACTTATATTTAGCTGTGGATGGGGTAGGCATTCTGGACTGCTGTTACCCAAGTCTTCAAGTAGCTTATCAAGATCATCATCTTCTTGAAAAAGACCAGGGTCTGATCTCTGTGTATCTAATTGGTTGCCAAGCATCTTATTTATGTTTGACGATACTGATGTTTTACAGTCTTTACAACAAGGCATCTGATTGTCAAAAGGTCCATACAAAATCTGACCATCCCAAGAATACTTTCCAGAGATATCACGCACAATTACCCTTACGTCTGAGGCAGGAACCTTTGGTTCACTGCTTAAAGTCCTTTCTTCCTCTGCAGGAATCTGAAGGTAGGAAATTAGGGTGCTGTCGTTAAGCACAAAGAGTTGCAAATTTGGACTTTTAAAGACCTCAGCAGACAGATCGGATGACTCGACGTGGGGATTATCATGATTCTCACTAATGAGGCTGTAAAGTATGGCCGGACCTCCACTTAGTGGGTAGTGCCCCAGATGGTTGATGAGGTGTGCCATTACCATCCGCGCTGTAAGAGGGATCAGTTCCAAACTTCGTTTCTTCTTACCTGAAATACATATTAACCATACATAAATTGTACAAACTAGTATTGCCATTTGAAAATATACCGTTTCCCCTCTTCCTAATCACACCTCTGTCCGTGATTAAGTTTTTTAGTTTAATGGCAACACAACGTATGAAGTCCACACTCATTATTACACATGCTAATTTATGTATTATTCTCAACCCAAGACCACATTCTCTTTTGCTGAAGCAACATATTATGACAGATGACAGACGTATGACAGATGTAGCATTTTCTATTTTCAAAAAGACTGGCAGAGTTGGAGGGATACAAAGTAACCAGATTCAGTCCTGTTATCTATAGGAATCCTTGTATTTCATAGGAAAATGGCTTGAATAGAGATGAAGGAAAAACAATAAGGAAAGCTGTTAACCTACAGGGAAATCAGGGTGAAAAGGAGAAAAAATGTGTTCTGTTAATCCATTAATAAGTCATTGACAGGTTGCAGTGAATTTAAAAGCAGAACATTAGAGAATGTGTTCAACAGTACAAGCAGACTGTGTAACCTCCATGGGGTGTAACCAAATTAGCAAGTTTTTAAAAAAAATAATGCATGGGAAGTGGAAATGGCACTTGTGGATTAATTAGATGCAGCAGTCTCAAACTGTCTCAAATCAACAGGATATATATTTCACCATTCAGCAAATATTGTATTCCTTCCACAGCTTCTAGGCTTTATATATAAAAAACGGCTTCTAGTTGACATAGAAAATCAACAAGAAAGCTATTTATATTTTATTGTCCGTAAGAAAGTACTCACATTTTATAGCACATGAAAAATATCTCAAAGCTCTTTTTGGTAATTGTTAAAAACACTTATTGTATTCTGAAGGCTAATGCAGCAGCTATTTGTGCAAAGATCTCACAAACAACCATAAGATAAATGGCCAAGACACTAAAAGTACTTCATTTAAAGGCAAACTATGGGTCTAATATAGGACACTGAGATAAGTACTTTTTTTTAAAAAAAAGGCAAAAGAGAACATACTATAAATGGAAGTAAAGTTCAAATTATTATTAAATTCCTCCTTTATATGCATAATTCTGTACTGCTGAGAGCCTTAACATTTTACTAAGGTGGATAAATTTTGTTGATAACATTGCTGGTGCTCTCAAGATGCAGTTTCTCAAGAAAGAATGGCATTTGACAACATTTTACATGCTAATCAGGAGTTGTGATTTGCATTATAAAGTGGTGAATAATAAAAACATTCTCAGCACTAGCTACATTATAAATCACATCTTTTCTACTTCACATTAATCTACGTTAAAATAGGTGTAGTAGTAATAAAATATAGACTTACTTCCATAATTAATATGAATAGATTGCTAACCATTATAGGCAAAGTTTGTATGTTTGTACTGTAATATTTTTATTGTACTATGAAAACCTACCATCAGAATTTGCTATACAATTTAGTTTGTGAAGATCACTATGGAATCATTCACTGAAAATAGGGCTTGGTTTTATTGTGAATATGAGGATGTAAACAGTCCAACAAGATAGCTGTTAAACAAACCTTTACAGTGAATTAATGTATAATCACGGCAACCTCTTAACTTTTAAAAAAATCAAGGTGTGTGGCTGTGGTGGTAGTAAGCTATTATTACTGTATTAAAGAATTAACATTCACAGGAAGAGGATTTATATGAATCTGAATGAAAGGACTCTAATCCGCAAGAGCTAGTACGAGGAAGCCTCTCTGCTGGAAGTAGGCTGACAAGTGCAGCTCAGGAGGAAGCATTGTAAATTTGAAAAGGTGAAAGACTTGTCAGAGATGCACACCTTCAGTGACAGTAAGAAGACTAGCAATATCCTTGGAGACGTACGAATGAGTAGATTCAGAATTCTTGACATTTCCCAATGTCAAAAATGGATCGTAGTCCGTAGAGGACACATCAGCAAGGGTCAGGAGGTATTGACTTTGTTGGGTGAAGAGGTGAGAGCCACAAACACAGGAGTGCAATACCTGTAAAACATGGAGAATAAATGTGTGTTATAAGTCTGATATAAAGCAACCTTACAATCCAATTCAAGTAAACTGTATGAGGTCCAATAACACTACTGTTCACTGTTAATTTGGTTAGCAAACAGTGCATTGAAAAAGCAGCACAGTTTCCCTCTTCTGTCAACCTTGTGCCCTTTTACTCCTCCAGGAGCTAATTAAAACCGTGGCTCAAGTACAATAATTAATCATGGCTAAGACTGCATCTAGTAATTATGATTCTCTGGCGCTGCAATTACAAGCATGTGAACAGTGTAAAGTTCATCCTAATTAAATAAAACTGAGATGGGCTTGTAATGTGGCAGCTGATGGAATTCTGAATAAATGTCCATGTGGTATTTTACATTCAAACAACATCAATACCACTCATCATGAGAAGACAGCCCCCAGACATATATATTCAATATGTTTTAAAGAGGACAGTTCAAAATGTTAGAGCACTAATTTTTAAAACTCTGAACATGATGGGATTAAATTCCTACTAAACCAATAAAAGTAGAAAAAATATAGAAATCCCAGGATCCCTTATGGCGATGGTGCTCCTGAAAACCCATGATAGCAACCCCGATCCATCACAGCCCTTTAACATTTTTTGACGTTAAGGAATGAAATATTTCCCCGATTATAGCAACGAATTAGCTGAAAAACAGCCTTTGTGAAGTCCAAAGAGCAGTATGCTCTTCCCATCATCCATTTTGGATCTGGGACCATACAGCTGAAAAGTAAAATCAGTTAGTCAAGTAAACCATTAAGGCTGGCACTACAGTTCAGTAGTGGGGGAGATCTGAATTGTCATCCTTCAGATGAGACAAGATCCTATCTACCTATTCAGGGATACGTTGGGAGTTGATATGGTTCCATTTGTTATGGTATCTCTCATTTTGAAATATCTCTAAGTTCTTCTCAGAGTTGTTGTTAAATGTAATAACGGGGAAAAACTCTCTTTTCTTTTGAATGGGGTCATGGAATATTCTACATACACCTAAACATATATATAGTTTGATGTTGTAACATCTCCTTGAAGGATGCCACCACTAACAATGCAGCACTTCCTCAGTTCTATATGAGAGTGTAAGGGTAGACTGAGATCAGGGTCCCAATGTGGGGCTTGAACCTACAACCTTCAGACCCAAAGGCAAGGTTGCTACCAATTGTGCCTGGCTGATGCCTAGATCTTATGACACCATTCTAAAAGAGAATAATAATAATAATAATAATCCTTGCATTTGATATAGCGCTTTTCACGTCGGGAGGACGTCCCAAAGTGCTTCACAGAACACACTGTAAAGTGAATTGACTATATTTGTGGGCGAACGCGGCAGCCAATTGCGCACAGCAATGTCCCACAAACAGTCGTAGTTTGAAAATGACCAATTTATTATTGTTTATGGTTTTGGAGGGATTGTTGGTATTTCCCCAGTGTCCTGGCCAACAATCCTGTAGATAAATTCACTTTATGGTTGTTTGGGGGACCTGCTGTGAGCAAATTGGCTGTTGCATTTGATGACAAATACATAGTCATTGAACTTGATAGCAATTACTTGTAAACACTTTGAGAGATTCTGATGTTATACACACTATGCCAAATGGTAGGATTATTATTACATTATGATTTAACTGATGCTATTGTTTCGACAGTGAGAAACAAAAGAAACGAAAAGGGATTTTAATAACAAAAACAGAAGTGCTGGGAACACTCAGCAGGTCAGGCAGCACCTATGGAGAATGGAAAGTAAGTCAACGTTTCAGGTCATGGAACCGAAATGCTGACTCATTTTCCTTTCTCCACAGATGCTGCCTGACCTGACGAGTGTTCCCAGTGACTTCTGTTTTCGTTTCAGATTTCCAGCATCTGCAGTATTTTGCTTTAGGGATTTTAACATATTCTGTTTACAGTTTTACGTGGATATGCAAGCACTTAATTAAGGTATGGAATAATACTAACAAAGAAATGGTCACTCTGTTCCAAATGGCAGAATCAAACCCTCAGGGTGAATAGAGCTGTCACACAGTAACACAGCTTTCCCACACCTACTGAAAATGTATCCTAGCTACAGAAAACCACCTCCAAGTATGATACTACATATCTATTTCTCACATTCCTCATCCCTGTGGATGTCATAAGCAACACTGGGAATTATAAAAGGAACGCAACAGAGTTTGTTTTCTCTATCTCCCTCTCCCCCCGACCCCTCCAGAAGTAGATAGACGACCAACCACTTTTAAAATGTTTCTACAACTGTAGCTGGACACTCAGTGTATACATACCCTGTAAATATAGTCCAGCAAAGGTGCTCTTCGTGTTATTTGGTCCTCCAGAATAGATGCACTAATAGGTTCCAGGAGGGTTTCTACAGGAATTGCCATGCACCAATCCAAAAGGCAGAGCAACAGAGATACTATTAACTGAAAGGAAGAAAGAAAATATTATGTTATGTACCTCTTACTTTGCCCCTAATGTATTATCTTGCACCTGAAAAGTAGTAATAAAGAGCCTCATGCTTACCCTTTTATCAATATCCACTGATGAATGCTCTGCACTTGGCAGAAGAAATGCAATCGTGGCTACAAGGATCTGTATATAAAAAATAGATATTTCATTAAGACACAAGTGAAAATTACTAAACGTATGCTAACCATAATATATGCTTGATTATCAAAGCAACTCTAATTTCAATACATTCAAAAATGCTTGAAAGCAAGTGACTTACTTCAGTAATTTTCTTGGGAAGCTGAAACTCATACTTCTTCATCCTTTCCCAATGAGTCACCAGCAGCTGAAGAACGTCACAAGCTACTTCTGCAACAACTTTGTTAGAAAACTAGAAAGAAATAAGTACACCATGTCTGTATACTTGTCATAAAATTGTCAATACAATCTAATCCTAATTGTATCCTACGCTTGCGCAGCAAAGATTACTCTTTTTCTATATCTATTCCTATATATTGTCTTCTATTGTTTGCTAGCTTCTTGGAATCTCAACATGAAGTGCACTTCACTATAAAAGCTTTTTCCCTCAGCAAGTCTGCATAATGTACTGTTCTCATTTTTGAAAAGGCTCCATCTGTGGCAATTTGAGTTCTGCTTGCTTGCAAATGGCCATGTTGTGTTCAACCAGCAGCTGCAAGCAGCAGAAATTCAAGTTTCAAAAAATAAGTAACTAAAGAATTGAATTCAAAAAGTAAAGTGATTAATACTTAGCTTTAGATGGACATCAAAAGTATGCAGTTAAATTGCATCAACTGGATTACTATATTTTAAACTGATAATGGAATTCATGCATCAGGACACAATGTCTCTTCTTGATGCATCACTTTATAAGAATAAGCAATTCCACAAACATCAGAAGAGTTAATACTAATGTAATACTGTTTACTAAACACAAACTATGCCTACTAATGTATATTAAAATAAGTTTACATTTTATTCCAGTTTATCACAAAACATTAAAAACACATTTTTAAAAGTATTGCTCAATGGTACACTATTTTGAACACAACACATATTCACATATTCACATATCTGATTGTAAACACATAGTAACAGGTTCTGAACACTTACTACTGTTCACACTGTAAACAATACTAATAATATTAATCTTTGCATCTGCTATAGCGCTTTATCATGTTGTTGAGACATCTCAAAATGCTTCACAGAATATACTGTGAAGTTAATTGACTTTGGATTTTGTGGTCGAAACGTGGCAGTAAAATACTAGCTTAAACCACACATACATTAAAATCAGCAAATTTTCTTTTTAATGTAAGTTAGCAGGCTCTTCTTGAACTACAACAATTTGCGTTTATATAGCACTCTTCATGTGGGGAAGCATCCCGGAGTGCTTCAGTGACTGAGTCTGACTACGAAACAGGGGAGAGAAAGGTGACTGTAAGCACGATCAAAAAAGCAAGATCTTTAGATGGGATTTCAAGGTGGGGAGAGAGGGGGTAAGTCAGTCGGATCGAGGGAGAGTATTCCAGAGTTTCGGGGCGTAGCGGCTGAAGGCACGGCCACCGATGGTGGAGCGGAGGGCATGAAGGACAATTATGAGGCCAGAGCCAGACAAGTGGCAGGTAAGTAGGTTGGATAGGTAGGGAGCACTGTTCTCTCTGAGCTGTGTGTGCGCGTGGCCATACAGCAGTCTGTTGAGTGCTGTGCACTTTTTTTTAAACGGCAGCGCACACAGCCTTTAAAAATTAGAGGGAACATAGGTAGGGAGGTGCAAGGGAATTAAGTGATTCATAAACGAGTGAGAGGATCTTGAAGTCGATCCGTTTGGTGATTGGGAACAAACACGATTCATCAAATGAAAACTAAATTCCTAAATTCAGGGGAGGGGATGAGACCGTACTTCAGTTTGAAAGTAGTTCCTCATTTTACAAAATAAATTAAGTCTAAGTTGAATACTTTGAAAGGTTTAAAAAAAATGTTACTTGCTTGGAGGAAGTCTCCTTCCCTGCAAGGTTGTCTGGTAAAATTAATGCCCTGATTAGAGCATAACAACAAACAGGGAGTACATCCAAATAGCCTGAGAGCCAAATGCACCTCAACAGGGACATGGGAAAGAATGTTGGATACACTTTATCTGCAGTCTATTAATGATTCTCTGAGATTCTTAGTCATTCTCTTCATGGCTGCAGATAGTTTCCAACTGGTTTGTGGCACAAATAGCAAAAGTTTTTAATGGAATTTCTTTGGAATGCATAGGGATATCCCTAGTTAATGACACCAGTGGACCAGTCTTACACAGGAAGGAGACTCAAGTTGTTGCTCTCCATCTGAAAATGGAATATTTCCTAAAGCTTAAAAAATGTTGTTACAAATATTTTCTTCTATAAAATCAAGAGCGCATTAAAAAAACTCAATTTGTTATTCAAAAGAGTATATCTACTGAATATTAATATCGGTATGGAAATTATTTATACTTCAAATGATAAAAACAAGTTCTAAAATCAGATAAAAATGCAGATTTGGCTACATCTGTTAAAGCTTTGTGCTTGCTAATTAGAAGAAAAATGCCGACAGTTTATAAATGTCAAGTGTATTTTCATGAGTGTCAGCATTTATTAACAGGCAGATCTGAAGAAACTGCATCCTGTGAACATTTATAGTGTACCTGAATAATCTTATTTTTCTTTGAGCCAGTCACTCCTTTTAAATGCTAAACAGCATACAGAATTACACACTTCAATATTTTTGCAACAAAGATACTGCTAATACAGTGCTCATTTTTTTAATACATTAGTTATATTTCAACACGTGCAAAAATAAAGTACGGACATGGGTTCATAACTAAACCTCTATTCCTCATCAATATGTATAATAGTTGTACGGTAGGAGACAGCCACCTTTTTGCTTGCCATTCTGTTTTGGACTTTTTCTGACTTAATGGTTTGCATTTCTTAACCCAGAAGTTGCAAATAAAATAATAACATTGTTGAAATTACCTTGCCTGTTTTCTATTGAATCATCTGCATTGAATTAAAACCAAATCTGCAATTCCAGGTTGAATCTGTCGGTAGGCCCTTTAAATGTATAGTACTGTAATACGGATTGTGAATGTTGCAAATACTGACCTCATTATAATTAAATGGAAATATCTTGCACTTGAATGTTAACTATAATGAACGATCCTAGTAACACCACTACAATTTTATTTCCTTCAAAGTATTCACAATTAAGTCTTCTTTTCATGAAGTATGGCATTTCATGGGAATGGTATAAACTATTTGCCCACAAAATACAGTCACACCACTTTATAGTATACCCTGTGAAGGGCTTTGAGACATCGACAACATGATAAAGTGCTATATCAAATCCAAGGATGGTTATTTATAATGCATACACTATGTTAAATTCAGACTTCGACACTGTTAAGCTCTCCGGGATGCTACCCCACGTGAATGGTGCTATTTAAATGCAAGTTGTTGTTGTAAATTGTTGAGCAAAGTTTCCTTGCTCCACAAATGCCTGTTTACCTAGCAGAAGACAGCAATGTGTTTGTGAGTCGATTGGTGGATCGCTTTCTGGGGGTTATAATCCCTCCAAAAAATAATAACTTGGTCACTCAATCCATGACGGTTTGTGGGACACTGCGGTACGTAACTGGCTGGTGTTTTCACCCACAAAATATACTCAATTCACTTGCAGTATATCCTGTGAAGCGCTTTGAGACGGTTCAGCGATATAAGATGCTACATCAAATGCAAGGATTATTGTTAAATTGTTGATGTACTCCATGGAACACCACTCTGTTGACTATATTCAAGTTCATTTGCTTCCTTTTTTGGTGAGGGAAACAGGCGAATTTAAAATTCTATGGAAGCACCAAAATACCACTTTGTAAGTAACATTTATATGGAACACAGCAAGAGATAAAAGCATTGTACATTTAAACTACCCACAAATAAATTTACTGGGGCATTTTGCAGAATTGGCTTTAACTCAGTGTAATTTGTTTTAAAAAAAAGCAGGCAAGATAACATCAGTAAATTCTATCATTAGTTCAATACAAAAACATCAGTTCGCATGTCACAATACTTGTGACATAATATTGCAGAGTTGAACAGAGCACAGTGACTGTAACTGTGAAACTTCCAGTCAAGCTTTTTTTTTTGCAGTTTGATGGCTCAGGATTTACAATTTGCTGGTAATGAATTTCACTGAATATTTGCAGACCAAAAGCTATAATTAATGCAACAAAACCAGTTTATGAATATCACAAATGGGACCCAAATTTTGTTTGATATTTTATTTCCAGTCTTGATTGTGTTACTAAAGCCAACAATGTGCAAGTTGCATCTTAATTCATTTTAAAAAATGATTTACCTACCGCTGGGAACAAAAATCTCATTTGATTCTATTAATCGAGTATTTGCACTTTAAATGATGAGTATGTCGTACCACATTACCTTAAGTGTCACTCCTAACACATTCAATGCATCTTTGACCTGAGCATGGTTTGTGCACTCCACCAATTCTTCACAAATCCAGATTCCAATACTGCACACTGCTATACATCTAAATACAATTTAAAAAGTTGCACATTAAAAACTCAAGTTCAACGCAACGTTCTTCTACTGGGATAGAACAGGTTTTTTGCCCATTATCATAGCCACTTATGCTCTCCCAGATCATTCAGCTCTTTTTGCGGGTGAGCAAATTGCTGACAGATAACTTACAATGTGTATTAAATTTATAAACTGGTCTTATGTACTCCATTAAAATATTCTCATTAAAACTTAATTTATTGAGTACAATATGCCTTGTACAGAACATTACATTGCACAAAATTAATGTTACAAAGATATTTTGTACCAAATAAAATCCTGTTGAATGCTGGCTCCAACAATAAATGTGCTTATAAACTAGTGGCTACCCTTGGAAGAGGGGTGGGGGGGTAGGGGTGAAGTAAGCTGTCTCCTTGGAGATGATCTGGCTTCAAGTGACGCATTTGGCAGTCTCGGTCGTTTGGTCCCTGATGCAGGCAAGTCCACAGTACTCAAATTCAAGGCCAGCCACCCTTGTTCGTCGGTAGGAAATGGAGGATCATATGGTCACTGGAAACAGGGATTCTTTCTACTTGGTTCCTGTTAACCTTGCAAGCCAAAGCCCAACAGGTAAGGTGGACTTAGCTGGATAAGTAGCTACGAGCTTGCCAGACAGTGTTTTCAATGACAATCGTTTCTGTTTAAACGTCAGGAATATTGAACATGTGGTCCCTAAGCCTTGGCCCTCACCAACCTGAACCAGATACTTAGGTAAACTGGATACCCTGCAGAGAGAGTGTCTATTCCATTATAGACAAAGTGAAATTCCATTTGTAGGCACATATATGGAACTCAGTCTAGTTTGGATATTCTTAAGCACGTTGATGAGTTTCTGTACTGTCAAAAATCTTTCTGTTCAAATTAAAACTTAAATTAAAACAAAACTTATTACCATTACAGTTTTTCTGAACTTCTATAGAACATTTGTATTAATGAACAGCATAAAATTCTCTTCTTACCGTGCAGTCTCACAAGTCTCATTCCTGGCATTCCTCATTAGAATGTTTATCAAATAATCCTAGAAATATATTGGAATATTACCATTTTTTAAGGACAACTCTCCTAACTTATTTTCAGTTTAGTCTTACATCATGAAAGTTAAAAATTAAACTTACAATTCCCAACAGAAGACTTCTCAAATAACTGTTAAATCATAACAAAATGTACACGGCACACTTTTCAAAGTTAAATACTGGAAGGAATTCATTAATGCTCATTCTACAGAAACAATAAAAGATGAGGAATAAGAGAACTTTCATTATGAGTGAAATGATTAAAAAAAACAGGAATTTATACTTAAAAACTTGTCCTTTGCAAGAATTTTTGGTAAATGTTCTTTTTTTAACAGGGAAGTAAGCATAAAGGATAGATGACAATACCAAAAACAAGGGCTTGAAGGAAATAGTTGACACAAAGCAGCAAAATGTTTCCAAAAACAGATGCTTGCTTGAAAGGGCAGATTGAAGACCCATTATTTGACAGATCAAATCACTTAAAACACTAAAGTAATCAACTGGTGCATTAAGATCCACTGACCTCATTAAAACTGTATGATAAAATAATAATTCCTAGGTACTGTAAGAAAGTACAAATTCCATTTCTACCAATTATTGCATTTTCCATCATGATGTTCATAAACTTTGGTTCTATGAAGCCTATTTTGTACTCTCAAAGGGTATTGGTGATATCTTATACCAATACAAATATTTTATGATAGAGAATTCAGAAAATGATCACTTCTCATTCTGTTTTAACATATTTTAAGGTTATTCCAAAATCTGAATATTAAACAATTCGATACGGCAGTAATCAGACAAGTTGTTCAGCCTTGCCATCTGGACATAAGTATCTAAATCCTCTTGAATTTCATTCTAGAAAATAAAAACTCAATTCAATGCCCTTAGGAAGCAGAACCTCAGTATACAAAGCTAAGCATTATCTGCATTCTCATCTTCAAGGGAAAAGTTGGTGATCCCATAACCTAAAAATGTACTTTAGAAATGCACAGCATTTAGCCATAAACATATCCTCAATATGGTGCTAAGTAAATATCTCTGAACAGCATCAAGAGGCACTGTGATAACAGAACATGATGTTCTGTTTTGTGTAACAAGATGGCTAGGTTCAAGGGCTCCTTTCCACTTATTCAAGACTGAGATTGATAGATTTCTAAAGGATAGAGGGATTAAGGGATATAGGGATAGGATGGGTAAATGGAATTAAGTTAGAAGATCAGCCATGATCTCATTAAATGGCGGGGCAGGCTCGAGGGGCCAAATGGCCTACTGCTTCTCCTACGTCTTGTAGAACCATAGAAATGTACAACACAGATAATTATTGAGAGGATAAATTTGCAAGGCTGCAGGGAGAGAGCAGGGGAGTGGATTAATTTGGATAGCTCTTTCAAGAGCCGGCATGGGCACGGTGGGCTGAATGGTCTCCTTCTGTGCTGTATAATTCTATAAATCATACCCTGTATCGGTGTTTGCTCCTCCAAGAAGCCATCCATTCTAATTCCGTTATTTCCTGTACCCTCTGATATACTGCCTCTACATGTTCTTGTCAAATTGACTGCTTTTGGCCATCTCTCCCCACCCCTTCCTCAGGTGCAAACCCTGGGCTGCCCTGCACCTCGCAATGTCCTTCCAATGTTATAGATTCTATATTGAATGGAAATTTTTATTTTTGTGTAAATTATTTTTCAAATTTCTCCATTGAACTCTACTCCAACAACCACCCCTCACAAATCATTCTATCCTCTAATAAACCTCTTAGAAAAGAATGCCTTCTGAACATCTCTTTTACTCCCTAGTCAGAATCTCAAATTCACACCCTCTTGTCCTCTAACAAAAATTAAGTATTTGTCACAATCAGTTCTTTCAAATCCTTTCATCAACTTAAATGCCTCTATCATATCACTTCTCGACCTAGTCTGTTCCAAAAGGAAGATTCCAAACCTTTCCTCATAGCTACTCTCTGCTATCACGATGATTCTAATAAACCTTTGCCACATACAGAACAAACTTGATTTCCTATTAGATTGTTCTAAAAGGTCATAGAAGCCAATTTGCATTTGTGTACCTTTCTACCATTCTGAGTGCACTATGAAAGAAAAGTTTTTAGCCCTAACTTTGTTAAATATCAGTTCTCCCATGATTTGAAACAATCATAATTCATGTCCTATGTAAAAAAGCAGTAACAAAAAATCCTTTAATCACCAATCTTGTTTCAGCATCATTGTGTATAGAGCAATTGGAAAAAAATGCGCATTACCAAATGCATTATACGAATTAATAGCAAAAAGCGCTTTGGCCCTTTCAAAATATTAATTTTAACAAAACATACAAACAATGGACCACATAGCTCAGCTCATCAAAATATTTCACCATCAGAACACAGAGTATGATGTACAATAATGCTGATGCAAGTACAACTTTAAGGTTTCAAATAATTTTCAATATTTAAAATAATGATAATAATAAAAGGATATGTGGAAAGCCTTGCGGAAGTTGCATTTTGAGGAATTTCAGTTGCACATTTTAGTGTAATTTCTTGGCAAATATTTTATTTTAATATACCAACTTATTATTCATTTGCCACACTGTCTTTAATGCACCAAAATTATGTGCGAGGACAAGAACTTACTGTTGACATGGTAAGATTTTACTTCGATCTGAAAGTTCCATCTATCCACCTGGTATGGACATTTAATTGCAAGTCACCTCAGACTCCCACAGCACAAAAAATAACAGATTAATCTTCCTGCCAAAGGAAGATTCTATCTATATGCAATTAGTAGAGCCAAATGTAACAAGATATGCAAGATCCTGATTGTGTGCATCTTTTAAGTATCTTGTAATTTGAATTGCATCATATATTACATCAACCCTCAACTCAAATAAATATGTTTCTTGCTCAAATCTTTAAATAAATAAAACAAGTTAATGGATGCAAAGCACCAGTGGAGAATTAGCATGAAAATAGCTAAAAATCTGAATTTAAAAATCTGATATTATATCTCAACTGTATCTTAGCAGCTGCAAGTACATGAGGAAAGACTTGTGTAATTTCTCGTTCCATGAAGTAGTGAATTGGATTGTACACAATCTCTGATCTGTATCCAGATAGACAAATGAAAGTTGAAATTTCATTTATAAATCCAGGGTAAGTAAATATGAGACAAAGTGGTAACATTGATGAGGTGAAACTGAAAACTAATATATGCCATTTGAAATAACAAAATAGTTTCAATATTTAAGCCTGACAATTAAGAATGTTAATTCATATACTAAAATCAAGACCTTTACTAATCAAGTTAATTCATTTTGCGGGAGTAGCCCAGTTTTCTAAGATATTCTTTACATATTTTTCCAAATTATCAAAGCAATTCTAAAATTAATAAGGCAAGCAGGTAAACAACAAACAAAAGGCTCTGAAAAAAATACATGTGGTCACAGCAACAGATTAATTGAAGCACAACACAATTTCAGATTGCAATGCTAATCTTTGGTGTAACAATTTTCCCTCTATTCCAGGCAGTTAACCTGCATTACCTTGATGTCTTCATTTCCTGTGATGATGTCAGTGGCACCAGCAACAGGCTGCAGCAGCAGCATCTGGTGGTAGAGATTAGGGAAGCAGACCAGAGAGCCAAGAAGAATCTGCGCTTCACAACGTGGAGCCTACACAATACACACCAAAATGCAGCGCATTTTAATAACAATTACATTTTTACAATAATCATATTTAGAACTGGACGGCTAAAAGAATTTATAAAAATAATTTTGATTTTTGTTTGTGTGAGAGGTGCTGTAATATTGGCAAGTATATGGTTTCTCATTCTTAGCAGTTTGATGAAACATCTTTGAGCTGTACTCTCTACCTCCCACATTAGCTGCCATGGTATCTGCTCTGAGCACCCAGTCTCACATTGCATTAATGAGAAAACACCTGTCTGAGTGGAGAAATCTGAACCTTGTTAGCTGTCGTGCAGCCCACTGGGACAAAATGATCATACTTACATCCAGGGTTTCTAAGCTGAGGACTTTTGTGGCAGCTGTGATGAAATCTCCTATCATCATGCTGAAACCAGGTAAACCAAACAGGAAAAAGCGGGGTGAACAGTGCTTAATAAGTGTATTCAGGACATCCTAGTTTGGGTAAAAAGATAAGAGGTTTATGCATTCAGAAAAATGATTAGTTACAAGATACAAAAATTAGATAATAATTGTTGCATTTGATTTTGCACCTTTCACATCACGAAGATGTCTCAAAGTGCTTCACAGGATATACTGTTAAGTGTAGAAACTGCATTTTGTAAATAAATATTTTACATTAATTTTTGTGCCTTGGGATGTCTTTCTGACATAAAAAGGCACTATACAAATGTAATTTGTTGTTTTGATTACTTTTACATTAGGAAAAAAATATACAAGAAACAATGCTTTAGAGTTAGATATTGCAATAGTTTGTAATCTCACTTTAATTAAGAGAAAACAATTGTTAAACTACAAATGTAAGCTTCATTCTAATGCAAAATGTACACATTTGTGCAATCTGACAGGATGAGCAACATATCTTGTGAAATCTAACTGAAAAGTATAAGTAGAATATGTATTAAAAAAAGCTTGATCTGACATTTTTTTCCTAATTAGAATGCAACCATCAATAGTTTCAGACCTGTCTCATTAAAACATAACCTATTTTACTGCTCTTCCTGGTATATTTTGAATGGATTAATTCCAGGGTAAAATTGATAAATTGCAAGAGGCTGATGGCAATTTCATTGGCCTAAAACTAGAACAGTCACTTAAAAACATACTAGCCAAATGTCAAATGTTTTCTTTAGCTAATCAATAGAAAACAAATAACCACTATTCAAGATAAAAAGTTGCTAACATCAAAACCTTACTCAAAGCAACAAGTGCAGTTATGTATCGAGCTTACATTTTAAAAAAAAATAGAAAGTCTACGCTGCATTTTAAATGCTAATCAGCGTACAATGTCATTCATAGAATGGGAATTGTAGCCTTAGCAAACATAGAACTTCCTTAACAAACATGATCACTCTAACTTGTTACCATAACTTGCAACTTATCTAAAAGCTGCAATTTGTCAGGGAAAACCCCAAGATGAGACCATCTGCCCTTTATCAAAAGGATCATAAAAATCAGCTATTCAAATACAGGCATGTTTTTCTTTCCTTTTAAAGCACAGTTCGGTAAATACAAAACGCAGCAGGCTGGTTGCTACCTGGTAAATGAATCACTTTAATTGAATGCTTTGTACATAGTGCTTCCAGAAATCCAAGCGGCAGTGAAAACATATGGCTGCAGCAACAGGCGGTTAGTGAGTGCACTTTGTTACTGTGGCAATCCCTTAGTTCCTGGATGATTGACCCTTGATGCACAAAATGTGCAAAACAATCCTGCTCATTATCAACTTCAAGTATTCAAATTAGTGCAGCATTTCATTTATTTGGGTGGGAAGAGAAGCAAAGTGATTGTAGAATAGCTATAATTGCCCCCATGATTGCGCATCCATGATTAGATGGGCATGTTTTTCTAAAAACAAAATTACTTTTATTACTACAGTTATTGCACAGAATTAATAAACACACACAAACACATCCCTGCGACCTTTAAACTCTAAAACAAAAATCAAAGCCCTTAAGGTAAGCAAGCCTATATGCAGATACGGGTATGAAGACCCTGCCAGCCATCATATAATTTTAAACTATTCATTTTTATCAACAGAAAAATTTCATCTGTAACCGTAGCATAAGTTATGGTGAAATATTTTAGTTCAGACTAAAGCTATCATAACATTTTTGGTCCTGTATATATATATTTCATGAAATGCTAAAAGAATATAGTCAAGAGAAATATAAAGTACATCCTTTCAGTCCAGTTAAAATAAGCTCAACACCTTGATTGGTTAATTTTGACACTGAAATGTGGGGTGGTCCACTAAATGTTATAGCATGTTTTGTGACCTTTTCCTACTGAGAAATTTCTCATTCTCATTTTGAGCTCCCAGTATCAGCATCAAACAATTCAGAGTCCAATACTGTATGTTTGAGGACAGATTCAAACTCACTCAATTCTACTGCAACTGTATCAACCCAAGAACAGCATCCACTATTGCAATACTCCGGTGCCCACTGGGATTATTATTTGACATCCTGTGCCACTCCAAATGAATACTAATAATTAAGCACAACTTTAAGCACAAGTCCACAACAAGTGGAAACTGGATTGCTGGTCCTCAAACCAATCTCACATTCCAAAAATAACTCACGGAGGCGACGTGTTTATCCCACAGACTGGGATGCAATCAAACCCAGGTACCAGGTCAAACCCACTGCACCAACCAGTCCTCTGCAATGCTACAACCAAAACCTCGGAGTAAGAAGACTAGATTCAAGTGACATGTCAGGATTTTGAGCACAATCTAGTTTGACACTCCATTATAGTGCATGGAAAATGCTGCATTGTCACCCATGCACTTTATGAAACATTAAACTGAGTTCCTATCTGCAGGTTCATGTCGACTTAAGACTCCATGCATTATTTCAAAACAGAATTTATCGTAGCATCCTGGTCAACGATCCTCTAGATAAAAATCTAGTCTTTCACTTTATAGATCTTTGTGAGACACTGTTGTGTGCAAATTGGCTGCTACGTTTGCCTGCAAACACACACAGAAAATTTCTGGAACGATTTGAGATGTCCACTCTATCAAATACAGGGATGCTTATTATTATTATTAGATTCATTGAAGAACTTTTTCCCGAGTCAGTGGGCCCCATGATAAGATAACTTTATGCAATCTGTGGAAGGGTGGGATTAAATGGCTGAATGGTCTTCTCGTTCCATGTTTTGCAGTTTTGATTGAAAAATATGCTTCAAGAATAAGTGCTCAGTGTAAAACAAAAAAGGGAAAAGAGGCAATATAATATGCTTGAAAATGATAAACTACAACTTGAGATTACACAAAGACTTCTTGTCATAAGTGTCTGCTCTACATTTATTAAGGAGCTTAATTTTATAATTAAATATTCATGGTTGGGTTTTCACAACACAGCTGCACAGAAAGTTTTTTTTAAAAAAAACACAAAAGTTCAAAAGAGCAACTGTTAGCGTTCCATACATCTTTATAAAAAAAATTCAATTTCTTTACATTCAGACTACTGTCCAAATGGCAGCAGTCTCCAATCAACTAAAGAGTCATACTCTTACAAAAATGAATGGGTTACAAAACGTCCTGTGTCATAGCACTGAATCATTCTGATGTTATCTGCTGCCAGCCTCAGGGTAAGAAAAAGGTCAGTCTTTCAAAACTGAATTTGTTTCACAGCGCACATAACGGAAACTTCAACGGTAAGACAGCTTCTTTGTTTTAAAAAAAATTAAGAGCAAAAACATGACGCCACTTAGAAGTCTGCAGGAAAATACAAGGAGAGGGATACTGAACCAGGATATTGCACTAACTCACTGGTTAGATTTAAGCACGGAGAATGGTGGCTCAAGTGAGGTACAGGAGGAATATTTGTACATGGAATCATATCAAAACATTAATTGGTGCCTTAGGGGATAATGTGTCAACTTCTAGGAAAATGAAGACTGAATTCTATAAAACATTTTATAATAATAATCCTTACATTTGGTATAGTACCTTTTTTGTGACAGGAGGAGGTCCCAAAATACTTCACAGAATATAACTGTTTTGTGGGTGAACATTGCAGCCAATTTCTGCACAGCAATGTTCCACAAACAACCATGAAGTGAATGACCAATTTTATTTGAGGGATTGTTGGCCACGACACTGGGAGAAACTCCCTCCTCTTTTGAATAATGCCACAAGATCTTTAATGTCCATTTGAACAAACTGGACCTTGTCTTAACGTCTCATCCGAACATCTCTAACAATACAACTTCCCCCTAGCATTGCATTGGACTGTCAGCTTAGACCATATGGGGCTCTTCTGACTCAGAGTCAGAATGCTACCATCTGAGCCAGCCAGTCTCACAAATGGTATTAAGTTGAGTTTACATTTGGAATAACATATAGTACAATATAATTCATGAATAACCACTTCAAAAAATAATTGGTTTATTCATTACTTGATTTGCATTACAGTAAATATGTGGCATATTTACACTTTCTATAATTCATCATGCTGAAGAAATTTCAGTCAGATCAAAGATCCACAACAACAAATTACATTTGTACAGTGCCTTTCATGTCGGAAGAACGCCCCAAGGCGCTATACAGGAATTATACAGGAGAGTAAATATGTCCACTCAGATTATACTGTGTACAAAAAATGGTTAGAAAGAGTCTCATCTGGATATAAAAATACAAACTATAAATCCTGGGAATCTAAAATAAAAACTGAAAATGCTCAACACAGAAAATGTTTTCCTTCAATTTGAATGCCACAGAAAACGCTGAGTAATGTACATATTCTCATATTTACAAATATTGTTATCCTTATTTACTGACTGTAAATATGTACATGGCCACCTGGTTCACAAGTGCATACTGCCAGTCGCGTGTATGATTTACAAAAATAAGCATGTGATATGTAGATTCAAGACATGATTCTGCCAGGTGCCTGATGGCATGCTCCCGCTCAATGCATAGTGCGGCCACTTTCTTCCCACACATGCATGTTCTGTAGAGAATTTCGTAGGGGTCCTGTAGCTCAGTGGATAGAGCACTCGCCTCGCAAGCGAGAGGCGTGAGTTCGATTCCCAGCAGGGCGAAACCTTGGGCAAGTTTCCTTACTCCATACGCCTGATAATAATCCCTCAAAAAAAATAATAAAATTGGTCACTTCAATCCATGCCTGTTTGTGGGACACTGCTGTGTGCAATTGGCTGCCGTGTTTCGCCCACAAATATACAGTCAATTCACTTTACAGTATATTCTGTGAAGCGCTTTGAGACATCTAGAAGATGTGCAAAGAGCTATATCAAATGCAAGGATTATTATATTACTGTTACTATTAGAATTGCATATGTAAGCCTGACAAGAATACTGCATGAGACCAACTCAGTTGGAGAGTAAATGGAACAGTAGCATAGAGAGCAGTGCCCAATTGCCAGGCTCCCTTCACTTTTGAGCTCTCTGAAAGTACAATATAAACATGTCATTAGGAGGCAGGCAGAGGCGGTACCACTATTGAAGGCATATGTCAACTCCATCACCACAGTGGTAAAGTCCTTCCAAGGTCACACAAGTTTCTTTTGTGAAGAGTGATGTTGAAAGCTAGGCTACTGAGACGGCAAAAAAGGGAACCAAAGTGGGATATTGTGACTAATTTTACTAGCTGCTGTGTAAATGGAGAGACCCAGCAATGCTTAAAGAGCACTGCTGTTTTAATTCACACCCCTACATTTATTATTGGCAGTTACTCATTTACAATTAATTACTGGTTGTTGATACCTCAGCCATCTGGCACCCTATGAAATGCTATTATTATCTAACAATTGCAACAGTGGATAAACTAAGCTTGAAGAATTCCCCAGATCATGTGGGAATTTAGAGTGATTGTTCATCAATCAGAACTAAAACTATTTCAGAATTTAATCTTTCTTTGTATTCTTCAGGCATATGGTTTAAAAGTTTTATTTTCAAATCATTCAATGTATGTTGTGTGCAATCAGTATTATTCTGTATATGTGTTTGTTACAATTGATCCAGGAGTTTTCTCTTGAAGCCTAGTTGTAAAATACATACATGTAAAATCAATTTTATAAGTAAATGCAATTTTCAAACAACAACAAATTTTGCACACCAGAGCTAGGATCAGGCTAATGTAGCATTGTATGCCATCTACAGGCAGAAATTAATACATCAGTGGTAGTAGGATTAAACCTGCAGAGGGGGTTTGTTATGGTACAAACACAAATTAATTCACTCCAACTTCCCTTTTCGATTTACAATTCGCATCCGAAATGTTAACCTATCTTCTCTTTCAGATGCTAATCGAGTTGCTGTGTATTTGCAGATTTCTTTTATATTCAAGAAATGAGTAACTTAATTCCTGTCAATCTCCAGGATTTCAAGCTAAAGTTTCCTGTGTGGTTTCTAATAAACTAGAATTCTCAAAACCACAAAATAAGCATTTAAAAGTAGACTGTACAGTAAACTGCAGGGTAGAGAAATATTCCATGATAAAGGCCAAGATTGTGATGGCAGAGCTGACAGACAAAGGTATAACATTTACAAAATTCAAGTCGAACAAGAGACAAGACATTCTCCATTTCGAGAGTCCTGGATAGGTTTTGATTAGTCCCTTCAAAATTCTGAACAGACATCAAATTAAGAATCAGATCAAAAGTTGTAACAACAAGTGTAGCCAGATGATCAAATGCTCCACAGAACTTAACGGCTCTACACTTGTACCGATTTTATACAAGGCCAATTGGTCAGTTAAAATAATGAAGATGCTTTTGTGCAGATATTTAATGTCACAATCAAATCAATCCCAAACAATATTTTCATACTCCATAGCAGCATTTCCAAACAATGCATCCAGCACTTAAAAATATTTTCTATATTATTTATTGCTTCATTTTAATTTTTTGAAGAAATTATTTTTCTCCTCATTCAGCCAACTATGCAGTGTTGTCACTTATCTTACAACGTATTATTAAATGCATCAATCAGGTGTGAAGTTTCCTGTTATGAAGAGTTGAATTAATATTGATATAACATCTCAAAGTTGATTTACCTGATCCTCATATACAATCCCTCTGTGCATCACATGATAAAAGTGCACTAAGAAATCGATGTTTGGCAAGACATCTTGACGCTTTGTCATTATGTCACAAATCAGCTTGTATGCCTGCAGCTTGCCCTCTTTATATTCAATGGACAGAGTTGTAGCCTAAAAATAAAGACACAATAATACAATTAAAATGCCAGTATTCTTTTCAAAAGCTGCAATTATCAATTTAATATGCTGCACCGCATTTAGAAATTCAGTCACTTTTTATGTGGCAAAAGAACAACACTGCAGAAATGAACATGTTAAATTCCAAAATTACCTGACCATTACATTAATTAAATGAAACAATAGGTAAAGTGATGGAAATTTTACAATTTCACTTCAGATCAACTTCAAAGTCTTTCTTCAAAATATGATTAGTACTGCCAATAATTATTGAAAGCGTTTTATTGTTTTTACCTTAAACAACCAGGAAACAAACATACGAAGAGGTGGAATCAACACTGGAGACTGTGGTGAAGTCTGATTATCTAGACTAATACCCAAGTTGTCTCTGATCTAAAAAGGAAACAGAAAGTCCTAATTAAACTTCTCCAACAAATAGTGACTTAATAAAATAATGAAACATACTCCATACATACTCCTTCAAATTAACCAGCTTTATTAACCAAGCAAAATCTACATTACTAATGGTTGTTCTGAAGCTTTCTTTGAGAAAATCAGTCTAATAACTTGAGAGGCCTTTAAAAGCTTTGATGCCTGAGCCTTATTTTAACCTTATTAGTAACATAGCAACACACCGCTGAATTAAATATTTTATCACAGAGCAGTGGATTTTTTTTAAATGATATTTATGCATAATAAAAAAAATCATACAAGCTGAATGACTACCGTCTCTTTAATCTAGGTTTCCTTAAATACCTTTGTTTTAAATCCAAGTTGTTTAATACTATCTTTCTTACAACACAATAGTGAAATTATAAAATCACCCAAGTAAACCAACAGAAACAGAGATAACTATCTCCTTAATTCACAGGTACACAATGTCCAAACCTTACAAAATCTATCCCAGTCAGTTAAGATTTTAACCATCTGTCTATCTTTTTCAAATACATTTAACACGAATAATTGAACACAGAATAATGACATTGAAATATTTAATACAAGTTTAGCTTGAACTAATCAGAATCGTTTTTAAATAGAACTAGGATGTGTAAATGCTTAGTTAATCGTTTAAACAACAAAATACCCTACGTTTATGTTGAAATTTTTATTCATAAACAGCGACTGTGAATTAAATGTGAGACATAGAACTCTGGATGTGATAAGAGTCTCAGGCTGCCCATAACAAACAGATCATCAAAACATCTCTGGAATTACCCGGAATTAATGTCGTCAAATTTGTATGCAAAACAATTCACAATCTGGAGATAGCTGTATATGGGTATAATAAGGAAAATACCTCTTGGTGACACGAAATAAGTAGAAGACTATGGGAGTGGGAAGTGGAAACTTGTAAAGTATAAACATCAGCATGAACTAGTTGGGTCAAATGGCTCATTTCCATGCTGCGACAGTCTACATAAATGTCTTATCCCATTTTCATTTCTATTCAAAAAAGGTTATGTACCTACACATCTGTTGCTCTACAATTTAAAAAAAATAAAATCAAAGGAATTGACAGTGTAAAAAGCCACTGCACAAGTTCACAGCAATGGGAAACATTTTGTTCCCATCTAAACATTGGCTAATCGCATGAGTCTTCAAATTCAAAGTTGCAATTGCAAATGTCAGGTACATATTCAGATTGATACTAGTGTATGCAAAGGTTCCATAAAACATGTTACAACAAATGTAAGTTTGTTTAATGACTGAGAAACAAAACAAAAAACTAAAATTGCATTTAAACTAATTACCTTAGCTAATTTCTGCCAAAGATCACAAAGATACTCAAAAACCCGAGCATGGATTTTAGGACAGCGAATGCAGTTGACATCCCCCAAGATTCCCAAAATTCTTCTCCATAACACGGCAGCTGCATCAGCATGCCAGCCAGTGAGGCTTCCTCCAGCAATGATGCTGCACTCATCTGCTAGACACTCACTACTGTCTGTAAAATGAAATAAAAATATCAAAATAGATTTTATGCTACATGAAATATTTAATTGTCCTGCATTGTATATTTTTTTTACACAGCATTACTCAAGCATTTAAATTTGCATTCATTATCAAAAGATCCAGAACATTACACGATCAATGTCTTGGTTACAATTTCCAGGTTTGTTCAAAGTGTCAATGTGTATAGGTGGCTCTGTGCGAATATGGTCTTAAACAATTGTTTGATCCAGTAAGGAGCTTTTGGAAACCGAGTAATATTGGCATTAAAAAATCCATTTGTCAATAGGTGTGAAAAGCTTGCGATACTAGATGCATAAGAATCCACTGCATAGTGCAAATGTAATCTGAAGCCCTTTCACATGAACGTTCAATGGAGATGATTCAACACAGCAGCACATTTCAAGTAAATTATGAGGAATAATGGGGGGAAAAAAATCAAATCATGCAACAAGAGCAATAATAGGCTTCCCTTTTTTTGTAAAACATTTGTCTGGAAGCAATAGTGTTGCTTTTTGGGACTAATTAAACCTATATATATATATTGTTATTGATTTCTTAAAACATCATGCACTGCATCATGCAACAGTTAGAGATACTGAATGTTACTGTTAATGCTGGTTTGAACTGCTCCCCTCAGCTAATTACATACTGTATGAAAGGTGGAACATTAGGTAGGACATGACATCAATGGAACCAAGATTATGAATGAACACACAAACTCAGATAAACAAGTTTAAAGATAGCTCTGCAAATTCTGATTCACAATTGTACACAACTGCTTGGCTTGGTAAAAAGCATAGGAGCATTCTACTACATATGTGGATTCTGACAAGACAATTAGGTTAGATTGAAAATCCATTTTTTTTCCCCATCCAAACTTCTCTTGTGATCTTGTTCAAACAAATAATATACAAGTCTACATGATGTTTATGGGCTTTAAGTTTAGAGATGCTACCCTACTTGAAAGGTGCTATATAAGTACAAGTTGTTTCTGTTTAATTCACAAAATAAATATCCATTTTTTTTCAGGTCTATTTTTTCTGTCAATAGGGTGAAAATCTGAGGAAAATCCATCGAAAATAAGTATTTATCTTCAAACATGCACTTAACATGCACATTCCGACTGTAATGCCAATTCCAGGAATAAGCAGTGTAAACTATTATGTCACTGTGCATATATTCTTGTAGCGAAGTGGATTTCAAGATGTGCATGCACTGCTGGAATCATTTTTCAAACACATTACTGGAACCAGAATTGCAACAGGGCAGGTTTTGGTTTGCACAGGCACAATTGCAACCACACCAAAAAAATAAGCTTTTAAAAATTCAATTCAGGTGAAAATCATTTTTACAAATTGACTTTCACTGAAAACAAACTCAGATTTATTAGTGCAAATTGGTTTAAAAAATGGCTAATGGTCCTTAATGATGTTGCACAATTTTTTTAGTGGTAAAGTGGAACACAAACTAACCTTAGGAATGTAAGGATCACAGTGGCAATATAATTCATTGATCGTGTTTGCATCCAATCTATATTATTTAAAAACTGATTCTAAATATTATACAATTCTAAATATTTACTCAGAAGACAAATAATTTGGGGCACATTTAAGCAATGAATGATTTTAAATAAAATTTAAAAAGATCCTGCATAGCAATCAATTGAATTTATATTTTAAAAATTACCACAAGCTGAATAATAAAACACTAACTTGTACCATTTAGGCACAAAACATATTCGCTATACAGTGACATTGTGTAGATGCAGTGATAGCAACAGAATATCTAAGCAACACCAATTCTGAACAAGTTTCTTAGATGTTTTATAATTTCGATGACCAGGGTCTAATTTTCAAAGGTTTTTTGCATTGGAACGCAGCAACCACACATCGGATATATAATAATATAATTGCAGATCTATTCTAACACATTAGAAATTGAATTGATTGTGGATTGATTATATTTTGTGGGCGAAACGCGGCAACCAATTGCTTACAGTAGTGTCCCACTAACACTTGTGGATTGAGTGTGTTCTTATCACATTTCTTTCAATTAGATAATTTTCAGCTAGCTTATTTCAACCATTTTAATACGTGCAAAAGGAGGATATCCCCAAATAGCAACCATATTCAGTTACAATCAATTTAGAATATTCTTTCCATTCTACTTGAATCTTAATTCTTAACCCCTTCTAATTTCCCCACAAGACGTCAAATATATATTTCTTCATCAACAGTATGAGATGTCAAGCCCAGGAAGAAACATATAACAATCATCAACACTACCCCATGGTTAGTCAAAGAAAGTGCACTGAGAAAACCAAATGATCAATGCCACCTTTTCGTCTGTTTCCCTCCCAAATAAATGGAAAATTTCACTATCCAATTGAAAGCTAGACTTGGCCCTTGACTACAAAAGTAGTGAGACAGGTGCTATCAATAGCTGTATGTGGAAAAAAAAGCTCGAATTTTTATCAAATGCACATGAAAAACATAAAAATGGACTTTTACGCTAATCAAACAACAGCTTTCACATTTTTTACACAGTTTCTTTACGTAATGATTGAGTTTGTTTCGTGAAGTCACACAGTATGTAGTCCAGGTTAGGATCAGGCTAAATTGGAAAATGAACAGTTTTATATGTTTGAAAAAGAGTAAGAATACTTGAAGCATAGAAGAGGCATGTCAGGTATTTTTCAAGGAAATTTTTTCTACTGAATCTGTTCACAGTAATGATTCGCCAAACTACCTACTTCGAATTTTGGGGTATTGGTAAATATTCTCTGCGTCAAACCAACCTGCATAATCAAACCTCTTAGAACAATTCAACCTTTAACACCTTCACAGCCAGTGTCAACTTATCCTGTAAACCTGCTAGAAGCTGAGCAAGATAGGAAAGTCAACTCCACAAAAGTCATCAACATCAAATACAACAAAGCTCTGTAACTCAGTTTGTCAGAGGTTCCCAATCTAGGTTTTCTATTCCCATTGCATTTCCAAATTTTAATAAAACTGGCTAATTTGTCATTAACTTCAACATTTTTAACAAAAAATGTTTATTTAACTAGCATTTTGTACCTGCAACACTCAGCTGATTATTCTAAAACTAAATTAATTTTCCCCAGAAGTGCAACTAGGGATTGAATTGTATCTTATTCAATGCCTTGATTTAGCCGCACTGTACTTACATTGCCAGGAGTGAAGCAGATTTTGGTTTTCTGTGCACAGAACACCAAATCAGGCTCTTAGCTTTTAATATTAAAGAAATGCTTGTGTGAGAATGGAATAGGCAGTAAGCTCGGTATTTTTTGCATCCAATTCCCAAGTATAAATATAGCTTGAGGAATAATTTCCTTCAGATGCTGTCAGAATCAAGTTTTAACTGTTTAACTGAAAGAAACTTCCTTTTGATAACAAATTTCACTGTCAAAACTACAGTCACACACCATAAAATGTTCACTAAAGAATTCTGCATTGCATGCCATAATAAATTTTCTCCTAACACACTACAGATACTTGGTCAATTCAGAAACAGCTTAAAGCTGGCATTCTAAGAAATTGATAACTAACAGTGAAAAAATTCAAATTCAGTAGCTGTGATTTTATAGACCATGCCATATTTATGGTGCAACATCACGGTTAACAGATTTTAAATGTTAAAAGCAAACCACATAAGAGATAGAAAAGTGAAGGAGATAGCACACTGTGAACAAGATGAAGATGTTTATAAAGAACATTTTCACCAAATCCCATTAGAAAACTTAATCCACCAGCTAAATTATGACCAAACAAAAAAAAATTGTTGTAGAAGACCCAAAAAGTACCCAGATCCTCAGGAATTTGCAAGACAGACTGGTGCAGTTTTTCATCCAGGAATGGGGGAGAGTCCTTTGATTCAGTTTGTATGGGGAAAGTTGGAGAGAGAGAAGGGAGCTGAGGCTGTGAGCAAGTTGCAGAGAGGGTAGGAAGAGCAGTATCAGAACCTATGGAGGAACAGAAAAATAGACGTTATGGATTTGTTCAAATCAATATCAGAATACTTTGCTTGCTTAGTTACTTTGTCCTAAAGTTCTTGGTATACAGGGGATGCACACAACTATTCCAAGCTACTTGCTCTTGCTGCTATTTTTCATTGGCACAAACCTACTTCATTTGGGACTCAACAAAAACCCTGTATGTTACTCAACAACAACAAAATTACATTTGTAAAGCGCCTTTCACGTCGGGAAGACGTCCCAAGGCCCTGAATTTACACACTTACTCTTCAATTCTTTCCGAATTAAATTTACAAATTAAATACAATTTACAAATTAAATTGAAAAATGACAGCAAGAAACAAAATCAGTAAAGTTAAAACTCAGAAGACATGAGAACAAAGACACAAATGCTGCTCTCTAAACACTACGGAATAATTAAAAATCTGACAAATGAGTTGCATCAATGAAAGAGTCAAATCCTTCAAACTATTTTTGGCTCCCTTTTATTAATAATGATAAAATTATTGCACCATGCAAGTTATTTCCACAGTAAATGGGATATTTGAAATTCTAGAAAGGAAAATTACATAATATAATTTACCAATAAAATGATAGATTAACTAACAAAATATATTACATTTCATATCCATCCAGTAAAGTCACTTTTTCATACCTGTTTCCATTATATCTTAAAAAAACATGAATTCAATGCACAATTTGCTGACTACTGTAAGAACTATTGTAAAAACATCAAAGCAAAATGTAACATGCTATTAATCAATATTTTAATACAACAAGTTCAATACATCTCTTGGAAGCATCCCCCTTCAAATCAGTTCAAGCAGCAAAATAGTCCAGGGTTGAATGAATCCGGTATTAGAGCCAAAATAATTCAGAATGCCCCAATTCCTTCCTCGGATTTAATATGTGAAAATTTTTTATACCATTCCTTGATAAGGATACTAAATACATCACACTACCTGCAAGAAACTACATTCCAACTCCCTCTACACCCAGAGCAAAAATTCCCGAGGTCCAAGAATTAGCAATGTTCAGCTAATTACCATCAGGCATTTCTGCTCAGATTCTTGTTGGAGAGAACCTGTGAAAGGGCAAGCTGATGGCATACAGGGGATAGAACGGTAACTTATGGTGCAGGAACACACTAGACCATGCTGAGTTGCTGGTCTCATGCGAGGCTGTCTGGGGTCAGTAAATTGGTCCTGGGCTTCTGCATATCTTTCTAAAATAAGCAATTGCATCTCTTTACAAGACTTCAGCATTTAAGAGGCGCACTTCAATGCAACCCAGTAAGTTTTCATGCACTGTAGAAACTGCACTTACAATAGGAAATCATATCATAAACAACACATTGCTAAATGAGCTAAACTCGCCAGGTGGGATGTGGAGCCTCCTTCTTCTATTCCACCTCCATTATTTTTTGGTTATGCTTCATCTAGCATGCTCAGTGTTTAAAATCACACAATTAGCCAAAGCACTCAGTAAATGTCAATTCAATGCATACATGGAGCAGCATATCAGAGACAGGTGAGGGTTTCTAGCACAAACAGCACTCACACACACACCTGCCAGCAGCTGCCTCACCCCTTCCACCCCGTGATGATTTACCTGTCTGCAACCTATTCTTCCTTTCACTGTAACATAGGTCCACTAATCTCTATTTGGCATATATTGTAGACATCACCTATAAATGTCAACCAATTGAAAACCAAAACAAAAGTTAAAATAAACCTTTACTAAAAATTGTCGCACCAGATCATAATTAGTTCATATAAAACAAATTAATGGTTTCAAATTAACTTAGACAGCTACACCTTTACTTATACAATGACATGCTGTCAATCAATTGGTGAAACCTAATAGATTCAAAAGCAAAACAGGAAGTTAGTATTTAAAAATATTGAAATGTACAGTTGATAACTCAAAAATAGATAAATCAATATCCTGCTTTACAAGTTTCATCACATGCCCTTATGCAACAAACTAACTTATCTGTTGTACATAAATACAGTATATTAATTTTAAAACTCATATATTGTAATTGGGGTTACTAGCAAACTATCAATTTATTCCATCAAAGTGGATTCCCCAACTCTATTCAATTGGAAAAAAAGAGCTTACGGAAACAAACTCCATATGAGAAAACACACATACAATTTCTACCCATACGGCAATATATTGACCATGATTATATTTTGCAACCTTAATACTAATATGTAGCTCTGTTTATTGTAGATTTGTCAGGATTATGATTCTTCAGAAAGTGGAGATATTTTGCAGAAATATTTTCAGGACAAAGTACTTTACTTATAAATGCATTATTAAAGTTAGAACACATATCTAAATTTTGTTTTCATATTTTTCTCTTCATGCCATTTCAAGTACTCAGTTGTATATGCAGACACATAGACATTCTTATCACAGTTTAAGTAAAGGTTAGGTCATGAGGTTAGTTGGCGTGGAATACAGTTTTGTCTTTGAATACCTTTTTGTACGATTCAAGTGAAGGGATGAAAATAGACACCACTAAAAATTGTAGCTGTTTTAAGTACTTACTAAAATTTATTTCAATCAAGGTGGACTTTGTGTAATGTAAATTTGAAAATTATTTTGGAAATGAGGAACTCTGGAGACCATTTCAATATTGACCATCCTTCTGAGGCAACGGAGCTTTGTGCGTGCATCTTTACAGAATCCTTTATAAAATGCCAACTGCATTCCTTAAACATGTTGTAACCTTGTTGGAAATATTCTCAATGCAAAAAAATTTCAAATTACACACCAAACATAAAGTGTCATTCCAGCACCATATTAAGTTACAAAGACCACAAGATCTTTCCTCGTCTTGAATACCTTTCTTCGCGCCAAGAAAATACGGCAACATGCAATTTATCTTCAAAACTATTAACCCCACACCTGTTTAGCTTAGAATGCATTATTGAAATTCAAGAATATCTTAATTTTGTTTACATATTTTTCTCCTCATACCATTTCAGGTCTTCAATTGTATCCATGGATTTTCTTATCATAGTTTAAGTCGAGGTTAAGTCATGAGGTTAGGTGGAGTGAAATAGTTTTAATCATTTTGTCTATCTTTCTGTACAATTCAAGTGAAGAGATGAAAATAAATACCACTAAAAATTTAAATACTTACAAAATACTTATGTTTTAAATACTTACCAAAGTGTCATCCCAGTATCATATTAAGTTACAAAGATCACAAGATTTTTGTAGAAAAGTGCAGACATATTTGCAAAACAAATTGCTGAGTGCTTTGCAAATCTTGCAGGAAATTGCACAGGGCTTCGCGAAATTTTGAGTGGGGAATTGTGGGAAAATTACGGGCATTGATTGGTGCTATTGAGGTACATTTTACTGCTACATTTTTTCACTTTATTGATAAAAACTAATAAACATATTAGATTGTTGCAAAAAAAAAATTACTTCTTTAACAAAACCTGGGTGACCGGTGGGGTTTTTTTTTTGGGAGGGGGGGGGAGACGCTTTCGTTGGAAAATGCGGAAAAGGTGTGGCTGCACTTTTCTCTATTGGCCCAGGCTTATCTGTAAACCTATAAACTGCAGAAGCTGGGCATTGGGCAACAAGACACTGTTAAAAATACAATAGTTGTGAGCATGTTCGAGGTTTCTGAAATGCTTAATGACACACTAGGCTCAACATACAAAAGTACTGTTGTATGTTGGGAAAAATTGTCCGTTTGGTTTCCAACAATGGGTAGACACAACAACCCTAACAAATTTGCATGCAACTTCGCAAAATTGTATTGCTAGGATTCAAGGCTAGGTGCGCAGTTAGAAACTGAGCCAGAAAGCTCAAACTTGACCACAAGGAAGTTGGTCCAAATATTTGGAATTTGGACATGTAGTTTTGATTAGAGATATTGTAAAGGTAGAGAAAATGAGAAAACTTTAGTGAGACTCAGACAGAATGAGACCAAGAACAAACAATTAAATGCCCACGCACTCCCACACAAAGACATTCAGAAAGAAACAAAGGAGAGAAAGAGGAAAAATAAATCAGAAAGTAGAGAGCAAGGGAGAGGGAGAGAGAAGAGCTGGCACAGTGTAGTATTGAACCCTTGATAGAACTGTTTAGTTAGCACTGCAGGCAATTTGTATTTTATGATATACCATCATCTTTTGTCCACAAAACAGTCACTGCAGTATACCAGTATATTTACAGTATATCCTGTGAAGTGCTTTGGGACACCCTCCCAAAGTGAAAGGCACAACACCAAGTGTAAGGATTGCTATTATTTATCTACACCATTTTCTTAACCAGAATTAGACCCAATTCGAACCCAGATCATGAGAGACCTGGGTTCGATTTCCAGCAGGGTGAAACCGTGGGCAAGTTTCCTTACTCCACATGCCTGATAATAATCCCTCAAGAAAATAAAACAGTAATAAATTGGTCACTTCAAACCACGACTGTTTGTGGGACACTGCTGTGCACAATTGGCTGCCGCTTTCGCCCTCAAATATAGTCAATTCACTTGACAGTCTATTCTGTAGACACCTGGAAGCCGTGAAAAGCGCTATATCAAATGCAAGGATTATTACTATTATTAATTAATCTGGATCACCTGCTGTACACAAGTCACTACACTTACAGCAATTACTATGAACCCTGGGTCACCACCCAGCATGGAGAACAACAAAGTTGTTGTTGTTGATGATGAAGCTCTGAAACGTTTCAATGTTAGGTATTATACCAGATGCAGGGATACTATAGTACTATTAAATGCTGATATCACTGGGTCTATTGGCTGTGACAAATTAAATGTTTTAAATAAGGATTCAGCAGTAGTGGCAATCACCCAGCAATGCTTCAACAGCACAAGCAAGCCATTTCTGTTGATGCGATCAACAGTATCCATAGTTTAAATTGGAAATTTCAGAATAGGGCAAATAAAAAAACAGGGAATACTAACCCAAACAGAAATTGTGATTATTATGTTTCCTCTCTGCCCAAGCTCTCCTCAAGAATTGGTGTTAAAGATCACCTGTATTCAGTCATTACAGAACAGTGGATTCATGAGAGTCATTCAGGGCAAAGGTATTTTCTTGCAGTACATCTGCTCTGAATTGTTAATGGCAATGGAAACCATGTGTTTTGGGCAGAGATATTATGTGTGTTGACTTTTTGGAAGGTTGTCAGTCCCTGCTGAGTATATGCTTTGTAAACAGACTGAAGCTGTTGCTAGCAATGATACAGAGCAGACATTTTGTAAGAGGGATCATCTTGCTCTCAATCAGTTTGACTCCTTCATAACGAATGAGCACAAAACTGTGTGTAAATTTTTGTAACTTTGATTACTGAGGAAACCTGGGGAGGAAAAAGAATAATGATCTTGGATATACTTGGGTGGGAACATACAACCTCTAAATTACACCAAAATTAAACTAAAACTAGAGCTATACAAGTTCTTGCTTTGTGATTGAACAATTAGCTTTTAAGGGGCCATGTTTTGCACATCTATCTATATTTAGTGGTGCAAACTGCTGGCCAAATGCACCCGCATGTTCGAAGGTGATCTTCGTAACTGGGCACCAGTTTGAATCACTGTGGTCATGTATCTGTGCTGTAATTTATACTGTGCTTTTCTTGACAAATCAACCTAAACATGACATCAACTGCCCATTGTATCTTTGTATTATATCTAGGTATTTAAAAAACAGGCATATAGAAGCAGAATGGTGTTAAGTATGGTTAGATGACTGAATGAGTGGGGTAAAATACAAAAGATCTGACCTATGAGGTCTTGGATCAAATATGGCCTATGACTTTCACTTGATAATTTTGGACATTTTAAAAAACATTTGGAATAACTGGAAGACATGTCTATTGTGCACTGAAGGTTTGAAATCTAGCAAGATATTTTTGAGAATTCAATAAACGCACTTCATACTGTGGCACCGAACTGCACAAAGCTAGACTATCTGTGATGAAATGTACAGTCCTAGCTGTGGAATACTACTCAGTAAAGGGGGACTTGGAGAGGACAATACTGGAATCAAGAGTACTGCAATGCTGGGACATAATCAGTCGTGTTCCCTGTTCTGGATTGCTACCTAGTAAGTCCATTTGAAAATTATCCAGTCATCCTAGCTTGAAATACACGATAAGTCAGATTCAAGATCGGTCCTGAAGACCATTTAAAAGCCTGCCATCACGCACTGCTGAGGATCACGCAGGCATTTAGATCAAGTACAGAGGACTCCCAGTGCTTATGGGTACTATACCGCAGCACGATTTACTGTAAAGAATTTTTCTAGAAAAGACAAGCCTTTTATATTACATGAGACTTAAAAGTACATTTCTGCATGAATCAAACACAAACCACATTAGCTCAATGACACACTACATTAGTGGTATACCACTCTGCTATGCTGCGGAATTGGTTGCAGATTTATTGTCTGATTCAATACTTGTCTTTCAGACCTGAGCTACACAGGAGTTCAAAATGAATCTATCAGATTTCCTGCAAGGAGAGAAGGTAGAGAAAAACTAAAATATTACAGAAAACAAACTGGAAGCAAATTTTAAGCACAAGAGCAGATTTGTCCACAAAAGCTGAGGTAGCCAACTGCACATGTGCCTAGTGAAAACAAGTATTACAACTTCATTATGGGGAGGGCGGGGGGCAGATTTTAGCCTCACTATACTGGTAGTTCAATAAACAAATCACAGGACACCCAAGAAATTACTAAAAAATCTGGTTTGATATTTAATGAATAACTCAAATTTCCAACAATGACAGAAAGGGTAAGGTTTAATCCATAAATTGAATAGTTTCAGAATATATAAACTCGTGTTCAATTACTATCACAAACTCTGCCCAACTTTATTTCATACCTGTAAGGGTGCTGGCATCAGAAGGATATAACTGCTGCCAACTGTGTGACGCATCAGCGTCAATAACAACATCAGTTACCACAGCTTCTGATTCTTCATCGAAGGTCTTCCAGGGAGGTAGGGATACATCTGTTTCATTGAAGCTACTAAAACCATTGGATGTTTCACTACTAACGCTCTCACCTAAACAGAGAACAAAGCAGTTGAGCTGTTTTCAGTTTAATATTCAGAGTGGACAGATTCCTTCTCCAATGACATTGTACTAACTCCTTTGCTAAATCTGTTTTTAAAACGTCCAAGTTATCAATGGTTAGAGAGTTCCGGCATTGTACTGCAAAAGATTGCCATCAGAACACAATTTAATTTAGTCTAAACAGCTGCTTGTTTCTTTTTTTAAAAAAATAAGTTTTTAAACAACCATTTCTTTCCAAATTATCATATTAATTCATAAGCAGACCATAATCACAAACGAAAATAGGATATTTGGGCGATCATACGGTTCCAATTACAAAATATACTGAGGAAAAATGTGGGGAAAAATTGCCATCTAGTGGCCATTCCCGGATTAACCTATTCCAATTTACCGTGCAGCTTACAAGTAACTGCAGCTCGTCCATCTCACTTGCTTCTCTATATCTTCCCCCAATCCCCATCAATCTCCATCATTTTACCCAATTATATCCAAGTCTACTTTTTGCCCACACAATGACTCCTCCTTCTCTAATGTTTGCCAGTATTCACATTGGCTGTTCATGTGACTCAAAATGGGAAGAAGACATTTAAAATGAAGTTACAAAAAGAGCTGGGTAAAGGTCCTGAGAAACACACAGGAAAGCAATAAAAAACAGACAGGAGGACAAAACAATAAGGAAAATACTGCAGACAAAAAGAGCAGCAACATGGACAGCAAAAAATTATGACCCGAATATTACAAGCAATGGAAAGAACCTTCAACCGCTTTGATCTCAATCTTCAAAACTCTCCCTGCTGTTTTCTCATTACAGTATAGAGTTTCTTAAATGAGTCGAGTCTTCAGATCATTCACCCACAAACACAGAAGTTATTCAAGCTCATCCTCCATGGGGATTTGGGGGAAATTATGGCTATGGAAAGCATTAGTCATCTCAAAGGGCTCAGATTTTCAATATCAACCAACTACCTGAACTAGAGCCCAGCAGTCCCATTCCAAAACATAATTCATCATCAAACAGGAGGTGAACAAACATGGATTTGTTAAGAAAAAGAAGCAACATTTCAAAACTCACTTTTATTTCTCAATCTGAATTTTGCTTGAGATGGCTGGACAGTATCTGCATTACTTTCTAGCTCACCGGGGCTACTGCTCCTCCGTATTGTTATCTATAATAAGAGTTATGCAGATTGTTCTTGTTTAAATCCAATGACAGGCCTTTTACTACACATATTGCATATTTTATAGACCAACAGAATTCCATACCTTTCACATGGATGTCATGTTTAACCAAAGATTAGTGTAGTCAAACAATTTAATGTATAGGTAGGGCTTCTGATTTTCGGTTATAACTGAAAAGCCCTGATAACCACCCCTCCATACAAAAAATATTTTAATTGGTGTTTATCCAAAACATACCTATCCTGACATCGACTGTGCATGTATTACTCTCTTTCGCCACCTCTTCCTCGCCCCTCTGTGTTTGTTGGTGTGTCTCGTGATGCGTTTGTAAGAGGAGGGAGGCAATGTGCATGTGTAAAGGTGCCTTTCTCCCCCTCCTTGTGCGCAGGCGCGTTTGAATCTTATATCAATTAAGTGAAAGCATCCTCGCCCCAACCCCCGACTTTTTTAGAACTCAAAAAAAATTGCGAGAAAGAAATCCTGAAAAATCAAATTTTTTTAATCCCTATATCCAGAAGCCCTATCTATACATAGGGCTCATTTTTCAGGGTTTAAAATGTTAATTTTTCAGAGTATTTTGGAGTTCTTAAAAAAGAGGTATTTTCAGGGCTTACAGTTAATTGCAATGAGAAGATTCAGATGTGCCTGTGTACATGGAGGTATAGCCGCATGCCTTCACATGAGGGTGCCTCTCTCCCTTCCGTGTGCACAGGCTCATGCAACCCAGACTTGCCTGTGCTCACAAGGGGAGAGGAGGTGACAGAGTAACACATGCACAGTCAGCTTCAGGACAGTTAACCAACTGTAGTGTTTTCTGGAATTTATTGGATAAACACCAATTTTTTTTTAAGTTTTGTGGAGTTTTACTGGGGTTTTTCTGTTAAAAGTGAATTTGGTTTGAAAGCATAGCATTGAAAATAATCATGTGGTTAAAACGTCTTCATCTTTAAACAAGATTTTACAAAAGCATTAACGAAACAAAGTAAAAATTATATAGCAATACAGTAATAAATTGAATGCCAAAATCCAGAAAAACCTAAATTCTATGATTAACCACACAAAGCATTATAGCATGATATCTGGCATTAAGTCATTCAGTATATCTAAGCTTTTGATCCTTCTGCAGTATATTTTGACGTGCAGCAACTGTCAATTTTGTTTATATCGCCTTACAACAGGAGTGTCATCCTCTTTTGCCCCAGTTTTTCGGTTTTCTGTAACAGTTGTCTTTGACTCTGAGTTACTGAAGCTGGCTGAATGCTCCCTTTTTTGCACTGCAATATAGAACACAAAATAGATTATGTTTGCATATTATGGTATTTAAATAAACAAATAAATCAATCTTTTAATTTGTTCAAAAGATTTTGAGATTTACTGATCTCAACCCATTTCTCTTTCACATTCTCAGCCAGGTATGAAAAATAGCTGAAGGCACATTAGCACCATCTCTCATACCAAATATTTCAGTGTTAAATATAATATGGCAACAGTCAGTAAAATATAATGCTATTTGACAAAAACAAACGGTGAGATATTTCTACTTTTGAATGTTACAGATTGCATTAGCAAATCTTCAGTAGCCATTAACTATGTCACCTTGAATGCAGGTTCAACATAGAAGTGAACATTTCTTTAAAACATTTAAGTTAAACAAAATGATAATTCGAACATGCATCAGTACTTCTTTAAAATACAACAAGAAGTCAATAAAATATGCCTGCTTTAATCTCTTTTTCCTCCTTATACAAATTACCTGGTAAGAGATCAGAACACAGTTGGTCTGCAATATCAGAAGTGCTGCTGCTGTGTGTAAGCTTCTGTTCTCCCATCAGAGGGTCTGCATCTGGTAGATTTTCAGCCTGCTGAAACTCTTCATCTTCTGCAGCCACGTGCACATACACAAAAAGCAAAATAAGAGTAAAAACGCAGACAATAGTTCAATTAACTCTCAGGTTATCATCTAGTCCAGACACGCAATGCACTCCTCCCTAAGCTGATCAGTTTTGTACACTTTCAGCTACAAAAATATCACTAATATTCCTGTCAAACTACTAGTTAAGTGTCAAAATGTACATCTTTATAATTGCAACGTTTGATACACCAATCACAAATCAACCCCCAACTACATAAAATCATTTAAAATATGATTAAGTCTTGCCCTACCATCCTTCTTTTAATAATAATAATCCTTGCATTTGATATAGCACCTTACCACATCTTCGAGACATCTCAAAGCGCTTCACAGAATATACTGTGAAGTGAAATGACTGTATATTTTGTGGGCAAATCAACAATTCTCTCTTCCTTCCTATTCTGACTCTTCATTTCAAATTTTGTGAAAATCACTTTTAGGTTAAACTTTGTAAAATTAATGTTGCATGATAACAGACTTGAATTTGGGCCCATTTTTATAAATTAACTTACATATATAGAGAAATTTTCTCATTTAACAATAGCTGAAACATTACGATTCAGTCTACAGATTTATCAGTAATTTTTCCCCAGAAAGTGGTAGTTATATAAAAGAAATGTAAAATAAAAACAGAAGTCACTGGGAACACTCAGTAGGTCAGGCAGCATCTATGGAGAGAGGAAAGTAAGTGCGCGTTTCAGGTTGATAACCTTTCCTCAGACATTAACTCATGTTAATTCACTTTTCTCTGCATAAATGCTGCCTGATCTGCTGAGTGTTATTATTTACAACACCTGCAGTATTTTGCTTTTGTTAAAAAGAAATGTAGCTTTGAAGATAAAGTCCATACATTTGTATTCCATACTAGTTTCCTTTAAATGAATGGCAAGAACCATCAGGAATTTGCTTGAGATACTAATTATTAACATTAATCTAAGCATAGATTGAAAGAAAAAAAATTGCATGAATAAACTGCAAGCTTTACATACTGCAATGACGGCTCCATCAATGCAAATGTCATAAAGGTGGAAAGAAATTAAGAGACAGTATAAAGAATCACAGCTTTGAGTACAGTACCTGACAGTTTCTGAGAAGAAGAGGCATGAGTGATGCCAGGTAAGAGAGAGCTCACAGTATGAAGCAGTAGAGGAACACTTTTAGTGCTTGGTAAAGCCTCACAAAGATGCACACAGTTGCTGATAGACTGGCTTCGCTTAGCTTCCAAAGAGAGAAAGCAGGCAAAGGTAATTAAAACATATACTTGAGAATACAAAACAATGAAGGTATTACAATTCATTATAGATGTCATTTCATTGCAGTCATTTCTGTTAAGGCAGAGGATTTCACTTCCATACATGATAGGAACTTAACTGGCACGCTGTTAATTGTTAAACCCGGCAGTTGTACACAGCAACATCTCACAAAAAGCCAGGGAGTGAGTGACCAATTGGGGGATTGTTGGCTAGGACACTGGGAGAAATTCCTTCTCTTTCGAACAGAGCCATAGGATCTTTAATATGGATCTTGTTCAAAATATCATCCAAAGGATGGTGAAGGATTAAGTGCAACAAATCTCATGCAATGCCTCTTATGAAGCATGGGGTCAAGCACAGAAATATTCCTATTGTGACTCAATGACAGAATGGTACAAATAGCAAAAATGAACAGTAATAGATCAACAGTTTAACCATTACAGAAGCATGTAATCACCTACTCCTTCCTCCCCATGATGTTTTGGCAGAGACATTATAGTGATGCACTGCTAAGCCCCAAGACTCAAATTAAAAATGTTAGCTGCCTAGAAAAATATTTCTCTAACCATCTCCCATTCTTAGAATTGCTTAGAAGCAAAATCACCACAGACTATTAATGTTTAATTTATGGGGTATGGGGATAAGGCAAGGCAGTGGGATTAAATTAACACCGCGCTCTGAGACCTGATGCAGACTCAATGGGACGAATGACCTCCTGTGATGTAAATTTCCATGATTCCAAACCATATTTTGATGATTTAGCACTAACATAATGTGCTATTTATGAAATTAAAGTTCAGGAACCATCAGTCAAGTGGTCATTCTTTATGTGTAAGCAGTTGGGTGTTGGTAAGGTCTTGACAGTGAGCAGCATTTTAGGAAATTTATCCACATACTCAAGCCCTGAAATTTCATCCATTCTTAGCCAGTTACGAACATTTTGCCTTAAAATTCAAGTTTGCACTACAATTGTGGAAACTTCTTAAATCTAGTCTTAATTTGGAAGCTGGTTTTCTGGAGTACCTAACATGAACTGGTTTCCAACTTAGACTGAATTCAAGAATTGTCCACATTTCTACCGGATCTTAATTTTTTAAGACCAAATGAACAAAATTCAGCCCACATCAGTTTCTAGCAAGAATCTCTTAATTGTGAATAAGAAATCTGTCTTATTTTCTCCTCTGTACCTTAAGTGAGGCTGAGGCCAATTGTAGCATTACAACTACTGCCCCTCATGAGATAGACTCTTTACATGACAAGTGAATTTTTAAAAACAAAAACTTAATTTAAATTCTGAATGTTCCCCCCCACGACTCCAACCCCCAGCTTGGTTGCAAACTCTCACTGTCCAGCACCTTGGGATATCCTCCTGACATGAAAATGCGCTACATAAATGCAATTTGTTGTTGTTGTACATTTACTCAATCCCTCCGTCCTTAGCATCGTCAGCCATGATTTCAGTCACGATGCCAAGAACCTCTGAAACTCCCTTCCTTAATCATAGTCTTGACTCTTATTTGCCAATCTTCACACCTAAAGACTTTCCTCTTCGACTGTGACTATCACCTCCCATTTCTCCCTGGCTTGGCATCAAAATATGTCATTGTTAAGCACTCCTAGACACTATCCTGGGTGATGGGCACTATATAAATGCAAGTTGTTATGTAAAAAGCAGCCCAGAGCCTTAACAAACTTTGGTGGCAAATGAACAATTTCATCTTATTGCACCAAATGCAGCTTTTCTTAAAAGGGAGCACTCATTGCTGAAGATTAGTCCATCTGGCAAATCGTACTGCTGAAAGTAAAGACAGAAAAACAATTCCTGGAACTTGGAAGGTGCATCTTCAGTCAACAATTATCCATTACTGGTTAAAGTCAGAGACATGCGAGAAAGACTGAATTAAGCTACATAAAGCCTCTGCAGTGAAATACAATCTGATATTTCAGTCAGAATGATTGCACTGTAGTACTTTCTTTCACATGAAGGTTTCAAATGGTACTTTCAATTATACAGACAAAGAATTAAGAAAGGCATTCGTTCTGTGCCAAAATCCATACAAAGCAAAACATATTACTCTGATGTTCACTGCATGGAAAATCCAATTAGATAAGCTATTCATCATAAGGGAAAGTGGAGGTGGCAAATGTGCATTTTCATCTTACTTGGACCAGATGCAGCATTTTTTTTAAAAAAAGGTACTCATTGCTAAAGATTTGCCCATCTGGCAAATCTACATGCCTCTTAAGAACTAATTACATGAAACCATGGTAATAAGGATGTTAAGTACAAACAGCCTGGTCTAAAACAAGTTTCTAGGTTTGATGTATAAAAAGTCGACACTGATTTACAGATTTGGTCTAAGTTTAAAATTAAACATGTGCAAAAATAATTCTACCGTCAAAGCTGAAGAGATCATGAAAACCTAATCACATAAACTTGAAGCCTATCCACACAAATGTAATAGCCAACAGGGATAGGTTTATTTACCATTAGCTTTGTAACCCTGACTCATGCTTCTGTGGCACCTAAGAAGGTAAATACACACCATCTGCTTGGCTTTTATCTTTTGGCTTTACTCCTTAAGAGGAAACTAAAAAAATGAAATATCTACAGTTTCATTAAGCCCTGCCGACAATAATAAAGACCTCGTTTATGATCAACAAGATCCACACATTACTCTGGTCGTCTTCAGAGCGTACAAAGGAGAACCTCGATAGATAGCTCCCCGCTAAAGTAATGTAGCAGGATGACAAGAACCTTGTGATTGGTCTGCTCTCCTGCAATAGACAGGATTTGAAAAACTATAACAAAACAGCTGTACAAATCTGAGCCTAGTGTATACTGCTGCAGTGCTCTTTTCACTGGAATTCTATTCAGCTCTATCAATCAACAATGACATTCTGATAGACACTTAGAGCAGCGTCTGAAAACTCTCCACATGATGGAAATGAAACCCAAAATATACAAAGCAGAAAACATTTAGTGTATGGACCTACCGCTCAATAAAACAGTATAGCTATTTGTCAATTGGATTTTTTTTGTTGTACCATTTGTTTGAAATATGCAGATATGTTTTAAAAGTCTATTTGCTATGTGTAAAACAAATCTACACTCATCAGTTCACTTTTATTCAACTTAATCAAAAATTGTATTGACTTTATGAAAAAAAATCTCTGAAATCAAATAGGTTCAGAAAACAAATGCAGAAGAAAAGCACCTCAATCAAATAATGAATCATTGTATCATACTAAAAATGACTATTCAACAGTTTTAGTATGATCAATGATTCAAACGATGCGACAGTTTGAAACAAATATTATAGTTTGAAAGTTTGTAGTGGTCAATATGCTGGCCAATATCAGTCAGCTTGCCATCAACAATAGAATTCCAAATATAATAGATAATGTATTTTGTTTAATTGTTCTAGTTATAAATTAACATAAAATGGACACATCAGTTCTGAAAGCACATTTCACCACTTTAACCTGTAGCATGCACATGCATTGCGCTTTCCTGTTCTGGCAATTCTGTCCACCAAATTGAAGCAAGTTAAAAGCAGGATATTTGTTCACATTCTGATGCAACTTCGCAATAAGTAAATGTTCTTGTTACAGTATAAAAGCTGTCAAGGACAGGCCATTAGTAATATGCTGGGCAATAGAAAAGTGCAAAAATAGTTTCTGAGCATTGTGGGGAGGTTTGGAAATTTTTGACAAATTTTGCAGAAAATGGCAGGGAGTTGATTGGTGCTAGTGAGGTACATTTTACTGTCGACCTACATTTTTTCACTTCATTGATAAAACCTAAACATGAGGAAATACCACATATTAGATGGTTGCAGAAAAAATATTAATTGCTTCTTTAACAAAAACTGGGTGGCCTTTTTTTTCGGTGGGCGGGGGGGTGGAAGAGGGGTTACACCAGCGAGTGTACAGGAGCTCTCAGGGCCCAGCACCGCACACAGACTCAGAGAGGGAGACACACACACAGACACAGAGAGACACACTCGAGACGCACAGAGAGAGAGAGACACACACTCAGAGAGACAAACACTCACAGACACAGAGACGCACACATTCTCAGAGAGAGACGCAAACTTACATAGAGACACTCACAAACGCAGAGACACACAGGCACACCCAAAAACACACATAGGGGAAGGAGACAGACATACTCACACAGAGAGACACACACAAATGCATACAGGGAGACATACACGCAGACAATCACAACAGGGGACCTCCGAGTCCAGAGCCCACAGTGACAACAGATGAACAGCCGGGAGGCCCGCGGGCCAGAAACTACATTTATAACGGGTTTGAGAGGAGGATGGACGTTTGTAGCAGATTCTGCTGGGGTTGCGACCGCACATTTCCATTGGCCAGGTAATATGGTAGTTTGCATTAGTATGGGTAAAAAGGATAAAATAGAATTTATATAACACAGTAAACCTCACACAAGTCGGGACCATATCATTTAATATGACGTATGCTAACCCCGCGCTGCCGGTAAACTTCCATAAGTCTTACCAAATCTGATTTAATTAATAATCTACACTGAGCACATGCAACTCAATGCAGCTGGTAAGTGCACCTGCAGCAATTCATCACTGCAGCCGGCAAGTGCGGGAGTAATGGAAGATAGGGGCGCGGCATTATGAGTTAGGGGATGAGAAATACGACAAATGCTAAGAAATCTAAGTGGTTTTGTTAGGAAATTGAATGGGGCTGTATGTACAACTTCGGCGACTGTACGATTTATAAAGATAGAATTTCACTGCCTAACTTCTGCATTTAGGTACTTTTATAAAATAAAGATTCTATATTTACACGATTCTTCAAGATCTTCCCAAATTATGCACTTTCTAAATAATCTCATCTCTTTCATCAAACGTACCTGTAGCTTTCTGACGAACAACATTTCTGGCCTTTTCAACTCCTGGGGCACCTGAGGTAGTAGCACTTCTGAATCGCATATGTTCTGGTGGGCAATCAGTTTGAGTTCTCCAACTCAGGGAAAAGGATCGACCCACTCCAGTTACCTTGTTAAGATCTTGACATACACCTTAAAAAGTTAATGATGCACAAAAAATACATCAAGAACGGTTATGTACTTTTTTTAAACTGAAGACTGGTAACTATACCTTTGTTTATCTTTAAATCTAAGATCAAATCTGTCAACTAAGACAGAATAAGTTAAATAGCAACACAAAATACAGTTGTGATGAATCTTGTACAGTATTCAGCACAAAATAAGGAAGAGCATGTCACCATCATCTTGGCATCAGATTGGACACAAATCTCCACTCATTACGCAATGGTGCTACCAGTTGGGATTGAGCAGTAGCTGATTCCCTCTACATACTAATAAAGGTGGTTTACCAAACCTTGGATATAATGACTGGGTATTCATGAATTCAGACTCCAGACCAGATTCCACGCGTGAGTTTCCTCATCAGCTGTTCAACAGATATTTGCCTTCAACACAGTGGAAGGACCTAAACAGGACAGCTTGCAACATGCCAGCCATCATGATGTTCTAGAGGTTCAAGTCCAATGACACGTACTGAACGCCATCAGATCCTCTCGTGGGAGGTTTGGCAAATAACCAGCCTGCTGGAAACCAACTCTGCCTCCAGGGAATTCAGCAATAGGACAGTGTAGACTGGAGCCCTCCCTCGCTGCAGCTGCTTCCCCTTTTAACCACAAATCCACAACACTGCTCACTGCTTAGTCCTCAATTTGCCAAATGGGCTGAAGGATCCCTTCCACTACCTGTAAGCGAAGGATTTCCTTCAGCCCATTCGCCAGGCCCGACTCACAAATTGAATTGTTTGGAAATAAGACTTGTACGTCACAAGCGTAACCTGCATTCATAATAAATGTTAAAATTAATAACTCCAGAACAAAAAAGCCTTCCCTTCTACAAAAAACTAGCATCCTATATTATTTGGAAGCAAAATTAAATGACAAATTACCTCTCCCTCTTTGCTTTTTTTCCTTCTGCTCACTCAGCTTCTCCAGTGGTAGGTCATTCATGTCCAGACCATAGACACATCTTGCTAACACCACAGTAAGTGAATCCATAATTTTTGCCCATTCAATAATCAGTTCATTCCAGGCAGTAAGAGAAGACAGGACAGAAAGCAGCTCATCCCATAGTTCACGGGAGATAAAAACATTTAAACTAGCCCGGATCCAGGCCACAATGAGAGTCTACGGAAAAGAAACATTTGTAATTAAGAGTTCAAAATGATAACAAAGTTTAAAATAATATGATATTCAATTTAAGACAGGATTCTACCACAATAAGCATCAATGCAAGCTAAAGTAATCCAATCCAGTTTTTATTGCTAACATCACAATAAAGAATTAATGTGAACCTTTCTAAAACAATCATATGAATACAGATTGTTTTGTGCTTTATAATATCAGGTTTGCTGCATATATTGATGTTTGTACAAAAACGTTTAAAAAGCATTAACATGGTGAAGACTTCTGTCATTTTTTATTCTATTAAGTATCAAATTGTCGATCCTCCAGTAAACACCAAAATCATATCCCACTTAAGATCAACACTTTGTCTGACAAGTTTCCTTTGTACTCTATTTTACAATACACGACCCTTGGGAAAATGCTATGTATGAGATCCTGTTGCAAGAAAATAGATTTGAGGCATCATCTTGCACCAGAACTATAATATAGATTTAAGATTAACAAAACTTGAGTAAGTTTAGATTGCAATTTGCAACAGGATCCAAGGGCCATGTTCATGTCATCCAGCATCTGTAGGGCGTAATCACTTATAATGCATATATAGTATATGATAATACACACACTTCCAACAATAGTCCATTTGAATCTCAAAGTCCAATTTATAATTAATGCTCCCGACTATTATCATTAAGAGTTGAGAAAAACTCTTCAATGCAGAAACCAGTGCAATTTAGTTTTAATATCCCTGCACCTTGCCCTTTCTTTATCTTCAGATCGCACATGAAGACCTTCCTCTTTGACAGAGAATACGGTCACCTCCCCCTAGCTCGGCGTCATGCACCACCACTGTCAAGTCCTCTGGAATGCTTTTTTGTGTGAGGGGCGCTAAATAAATGCAAGTTGTTGTAATATATAATAGAACATCACATGACAGCTCATTTAAATAGTGTCTGGGCTGTCAGGTAACTTAAGAACATTTTTGATCAGAGAAACTGCATTCACTTCACAGCACCTGCACTTACATTGGACCAGTTCAAATGGATATCCCGGTAAAACCATGTCCCGAAGGCAGTCTCATGTGTCAATCTTCAGTGCAAATTGCTTCGGAGTCACAATCTCACACAATTAGTGCGTGTTTTTTGCAGCAGTTTAACAAAGGATAAACTAAGCATTGAATTACCAATTCGAGAACTTCCTTTAAGGTACCAAAGTAGGCTGAAGTAATCCAAAACTGACCTCAGAAGCAATTAGATCTAATTAATAAAGATAGATCGCCCCATTGAATTCATATTGAACTTATGAACCAAAACAAAATTGTCATCGTTTCCCCCTCCACTCCCTGCCAAAAAAGCATCTGGCAGTTTCCTACTACTGACTGACTTATACTTAAAATCTTTTGCCTAAACCTTCGACGGTCTCACGCACTGGAGGCCAGGAGCACATTCCAAAACATGGTATAACTGACAATGCTATAAAATTACATTCAAAATAAACACAAATTAGTTCAAAGCAAGACAATATTCAAACATTTTGTGAAAAAAACAAGAGACTAACTACATCTCATTTGTATATTTTACCCGGAAAAGCAGTCCAGACATATTTTCTGCAAAAATATCCCTTTTGTGCATATCCAGTGGTTTTTGCATAACTGTTTCAGTGATCTTGAGCAGGACTCGCAAAAGCTGTTCCCTAGGAATAAAAAGAAAGTTTAAAAATATGCCTGGAACAAGTCGGTAATACAATAGAAAAATGCCTCCATCAAAGCTAACACATCCCAGAGATAACTCACAAATCTTTGACAATATCTAATCAAGCAATTTTGCCCATCCTCAGCCAAACCGTTACACAAACCAATTTGCAACAATGTCACATCACACCCACAGGGTGGCAGCAGAACATGAAAGCTATTTTTTGAAAGGATCATGTGGGTCAACTCAAATGTTGTTGCCTGCTGTGAGATTCAAGGAAATAGTCCACTTCTAGGTTGAATGATTCAAAAATAGACTCAGCAAGGTAGCAGAAATGGAAGCAATAAAAAAATATTTTATTTGATGTCCTGAAAATTTAATAAAACATTGTTACACTAGAGAATTCATTTTAGCCTTAAAGTATCCTTATATATTCAACATAGCTAGAATTGAGTGTAGGAATCATTTCTTCACACAAATGATTGTAAACGTAGAATTCTGCCCGAGAAACCTGAAGAGACAGAATCGATCAGGATGCTTAAGAGATATTTTATTAGAGAAATTCAAGGGTATGGCAAAAAAGGGTCATCAGAATCAAAAGGTCTGCCAAAATCTAAACTGGTGGAAAGGGTTCAATGGGCTAAAAGCTCTCCTCCTGTTCCAGTTTTCCTATAGCTCTTAAATGTTAAAAACAATTATGCAGCACATTTCCTAAATTCAGAACATTGTATTTATTTGAGGAAATGTTTTAAAAACAATGCAACTTGATCTCAAGCTTACCATGTCTTTCTGCTCATGGTTAACTCCATGATCATGTGCCTGTAGATGCTCAGCACTGCCTTGCACACATCCATCTGATCGGCCATGAACTTGGGAATATCAGCACAGGGTTCCAACAAGAATACATTTGCAGAATTTGTTAAAAACACCTTTTAAAATAAAACAGATTACAATGTACAACTTTTCTCTTTTACAATCTTGTTACTTGATTGCTCTGAACCACTTTTTTTTTTAAAGTTTTTGTAATTGCATGACACATTCAAATCATAAAAAGCACAATTCCTCTTATTATTCTCCCTCTGATACACCAAGCTTTTATAACTTATTTTCCAAATATATTTTTATGCAACCTCTACTTAGTTAGTTCATTTGAATACAAGATGACAGACTTCATCTTTCAAAAAGTGGTCTAAAGAAGTAAATACTTCCTTCCTAAACACCCTATAATAATAATAATAATCCTTGCATTTGATATAGCGCTTTTCACGTCGGGAGGACGTCCCAAAGCGCTTCACAGAATATACTGTAAAGTGAATTGACTGTATATTTGTGGGCGAACGCGGCAGCCAATTGCGCACAGCAATGTCCCACAAACAGTCGTAGATTGAAAATGACCAATTTATTATTGTTTTTGGTTTTGGAGGGATTATTATTAGGCGTGTGGAGTAAGGATAATTATTGATGCAATTTTATCTCCTTCTGAGATATATCGCAGATATATTGATTTTTAAAAAAAAATGTATCCCTCTCCTCCCCTTCTTTTAAAGCCATTGATACTTTTTGTCCTTCTATTGGTCAGCTGGATAAGGTACCTGAGATTGACCATGTCATCCAAGTTAGGCTATTAAGATTATCTGACTGCAGAGTATCACAATTTTGTCTATTCTAATTCCCTGATATCTACAGACCAAGCCCTTCTTGCACAAGTATTTGGAAACCTGCCCCTCCTCCCCACACACACCTTTAAAATATCAAGATAACAGGAGAGATTTGATGAAGTTTTAATGAAGGATCTTCAGCCCATTTGATCTCATCTTTCCAAAATACTCAGAATATCAATCTCACGGGCCACACATTATCCATGCGCAAAATAGTCAGGTGGGCTGCATGTGGAACAAGGGTCGCAAGTTGGCAACCCCTGCATTACAGCATTAAACAATGTCTTAATAGGGTTTGGGTGCCCTGCCCTTAACCACGCTTCCTGTTAACCTGTAATATCCAGGCCCCTCAACAACATCAGCAAAGGCCTGTGGATAGGTTGCTAGCGTGCCTTTTGAACCATGGCTTATGTGGCAAGATCAAAGGAGCACTCAATGATAAAATACATAGAAATATTCAGCTCTTGCCTGTAAAGTTGCCTGAGTACCAGCTTGAATGTTTGCATCTTCCTCTTCAAAAACACAACCCCGGTTGATGGCATTTGTAAATGAATATGTTCTTCCCCAGCTAGATGTGCGCCTGTGCCTGAACTGCTCACCAGGCTATCAAAGCAGAGAGAAAAACACATATTAGGTGTTACATAATGTCAATGCTAGGATGTGCTGTATTCCAACTAAATCCTTTGCCAAGACATCCATTGCATCAGAAAATCACTGCATCTTGCAGGAAATGACCTGTGTAGATTTATCAATGAATAAACCGGTTAAATGGAATATCTAAGATGAGTTTTCTTTCAAAATATTCTCCCTGAATAAAGAAATGCAACAAAACTGCTCTTCACCTGCAATTAAGGGTCCATTACAACAATACCTGGGATCTGCAGAGTTCTTATTTACTCTGGTGAAATTTGTTGCGGAAACTATTCAAATTAATTTCAAAGTGGCTTCAGCCAGGAAAAGAGAAGGCAGCAGGAGCTCTGGGTAGGCATTATCAGGAGCTCCTGTTCTCTTCTCTTTTGCTACACTTCCTTTTCATTGAAGTGCAATTCATTGTAGTCTGTAAGTGCACATGCACTTCCCACAAATCCCTACCCTGATCTGTGGGAAATGGAGTTGCTGCATGTACACTTACTGTCAAGTATTGGAATCGCAGTAAAATAAGTTATTCTGCGCATGCAGCGATGGGTTTCCCACAATTCAATGCAGTCGACTAATAAGTGCACAAGCATCGACGGGTCAAGATGTCATTTCCTGCGATTCAATGCAACCGGTAAGTGCAGAAGTAATGGAGGATAGGGGAATGGCGTCCTGAGTTAGAGGATAATTAATACAAAATCTAAGTTTTGATAGAAAACTGAATGGGACTCGGTTGCATGTGCGACTTAGGCAATTATACGATTTATAAAGATGAGACTTACGCAATCTTTACTGTATTAGGGGACTAAAATGTGATTTAAATGTAGAAATACTTGAAGCATCAAATATGAATGATCTGAGTGTGCTGCAGACACATACCCACCATTCCCACCAACACTGCTCTCAATGCCACCATGACTATAGCAAGGGGTGGGGTTACGTATTTGATTGCCAGTAAGAGGGATAGAGTTTATGTGAACCCACCTACACATCTGGGTAATCCATATTTGATACTTTAGTACAGGCTAAATTTAAAATTGCCTGTTATAACACAATGACTAATTTAACATAAATATACTTTGGTTACCTTTTTACCATCGGTCTGTACTGAAGAAAGATGATTCAAATCGTCAACAGCATCTTCTTCAATCTCCATTTTTTCTGGTTCTGCCATAAATAAAGGTTTATTTTCTTGCAAAATCCATTTCCGATATACCTTTATTACATTCTTTGTTGCTGATGCTTCACAAGATGGTAAACGAAAAGCCTAAAAATAACATACACACTGAGTCTTTCAATTTCTCTCAGAAAACTTTCATTTTAACAATCATTACTGTATATTAACAGTGTCGTCAAAAGATGCTTACTTAAACACTGATACAAATGGTCAATTTTCACAACACTATACCATTTCATACAGAAACTATTTACAAGATGAACTTAAGGTCACCATCACATCATAATGGAGCTCAACTGTAACTTGGCTGAACTACTAATATAATTGCTGAGCTATTTAAAATAATCTAATGATCTATTATTGTGAATTTAGTTTCAAATAAGACTAAACTTCCTGAAAAACACTGAAATCTGCTGGTGATGCTATTTTGAAGGAGTTTATGTGCCAAAAATCCAGATAAATCCAGTCTCTAAGTGCAATGATAAAAGCATACGAGAACAAAACAAAATTACATTTGTATAGCGCCTTTCACGTCAGAAGGATATCCCAAGGCACTGGACAGTCAGAGTTTCGGACCTGAGCTGGAGGTCGGGATCGGGGAAGGTGGAGGGCAGGGGGGCGGAGCAGAGTGATCAAAAGCATGGTCGAAGACGGGTCTTGAGAAGGGTCTCGAAGGGAGGGGGCGAGGCAGTGGGATTGTACTATGGAGTTCTAGAGGGTGGGGGCAGAGTGGCAGAAGGCCCTTCTTAAATCTGGGAACAAATTTCAAGTAGAAACATATACAGTACGTGAACATTCATGAAACAATATTTCACCACTAGAGGGTGCTGCAATTCTATTTAATAGTTGTCTAACAACCTATTTAACATTTTCTCATTTAAATGTGAAGGAACATGAGGAAGTTCGATGAATTTTACTGTACCTGTGCATTCCAAATACTACAACTTACAAAGGTCCCAACTGTTCCTGAATATTTAGTGTACATCTACACCCTGAACTAGCACACTGTCTGCTTCAGAACAATGTACAGACAACATGGGAAAAATCTGAACGCATCAAACAGTTTGAATAGCAACAAAACTAGTTGTACTCTGAATAGAAATGTTAATTTTACATTGCAGTCTGCAAGAGATGTTGTCTCAGATGTTAAAATTAATTTTACGAAAGCATTACGTTTGGTACATGGGTCAGTGTCCCCCAGTGAATCAACTTCAGCATTCTTACCCTTGTCTGCAAATCGCTTCACACCCTTGCACCTTCCTACTGATCTTCTAAAATCCAACTCTCTGCATGATCCTCTGCTTGGTAAAATTGGGCTTGCTGTGAATTCTCCACTTCTCGCCACCCCAAAATATTTATAAATAAAAATATATAATGGGACGTTCTCCCGACGTGAAAGGCGCTATACAAATGTAATCTTGTTGTTGCAATCCTTGCTGAATCACATCGTCGAAACATCTCAAAGAGTTTCACAGGATATACTGTAAAGTGGAGTGATTGTGTATTTTGTGCATGAAACGGCCACAAAGTACACAGTCACTCCACTTTATTTTGTGCTGAGAAATGAGAATATTCAGCCTTCTGCTCACCACTTTGATATTACAACCCAAATCATTTTCAATCTGCAAACACCATGTAGTCATTGGAAAAACATACAGACCCAATCATAATAAGTAGGCCATTGGATCCTCAAGGGAAATATGCTCGGCCCAACTCTGTTCACAAATGACTGTTGATGTATTTAAAATTAGCATGGTTCTGCCATTTATAGACAACAGGCACCAAAATCACTGCAGCGAGAAACTGACAACATTGATTAGAAAGTAAATAAATAGCACAATAAGTCTTGGTAAGACCAGAGGCAAAAATAGAACAGTGGAAATTTTCAAGAAATTTTAGTTCTAATTGTCACTAACACCAAGATCAGCATTCTGGAAAGTTTATCTCTGACTAGGAAATAATACTGCATATTAATTCAAAATTATTTAGGTTAGTGCACTGCAGGAGGATGATGCTGTCCATGCCAGAAAAATCTGTACTGTAATATATTTTGCAAACTGTGGGGTATCATTACCTGATACTCATTGTCTTTTTCATACAATGTCAACCATTAGATTAACCATTTGTTGCTCGAGCACTCATTTGGTATAAGAATCTATGAGCTACCAGCTGGCACTCTAGAAACATCTTTCATTTTTCTGTACTTCCAACAATCAGCATTCATTATACTTTCACTGGATTGATGTATACCAACTAATATACAAAGAAAGTGGAAGCTACTGGAAATTCCCTGCTCTGCCTAAGAGCTATAACACTCTGTTTTCATAAAACACATCGGCCGCTGACCTTGATGAGAAATGATAACAAGAAGGCTAGAAGGTTTAAGTATCTGTCTGACTTCAGGTCAAACAAGCAGTTTTTTGATGGAAAGCAAACAACCTCAGCTATTGGGAGTTTCAGTAGCTCCTGAAAATGACATGTCACCTTATATTAATGAACATTGCCATTAATTCTGAGTTATAAATTGTTCCTTTTATCAGATAAATAAGAAACAGAAGAGAAACCCACATAAGTGGAATTTTCCTTTACAAATCCAGTAAATATCCCTTGCCTCTGTTAGCAGAGCATTTAGCACTTTGTACTTTCGGCCACCGACAAGTAACATTCAGGTAAGAAATGTCTTGGGAGTTTTAATGTTTGCGATGTAAAAGTCTCATAGCCCAGAGAAACTACTGTATTTAAGCCACAGAATAAAGAAAAAACAGCATATGCAAAAACAATGTTCAAATAAATTATTCAGGACATTTAGGCTCCAGCTGTGATAAGCTATTGACACCAAAAAAAACATTCATTATTTATGTTTTCGTGCATGGCAAGTGTTCATTATTTATCATAATTATTTAATTCAATCACTATTTAGAACTCACACTTGAATATGAGCATGTTTTACTTAAAGCACATTTTCAACAAGGTACTTATACCAGTCACATTTGTACACTTTGTGCTGATTACCTCATTTTTTTTAGAATCATGAAATGTTTCTGACCTGTGTCTGAATCTAACCCACTCGCAGGATTAAACTTCATTGTACGACTCCCCAACTAAAGTTCTGCACTATCTCAATTTCATTCCTAATGATCAGATATCCACAATGCTTGGAATTCAATACCAACTTGAAGTTGCGTGTAGATGCCACTGAAATTGAAAAATCAGGTTTATGTCAGGTGCATTATTCCTCCGATAGCAAACAATTACTTGAGAGAAAGAGAGAGAAAACTCTCTGCTTTTAACTATTTGTGGTGCCAGACCTAGAAAAGCTCAATACAAACACTAGGTGACACAAGAGGAAAACTATATTCTATTGTACAGAACCAATTTGCTTCACTTGATAACTAGAAGACACATAAGGCATTAACAACAACAACAAAATTACATTCATAGAGCGCCTTTCACATCGGGAGGACATCCCAAAGCACTGAACAGTCAGGTGTTGGGACCAGAGCATGGGGGAGGGGTGGTGTAGGGGTAAGGAAAGGCAGAGAGGTGGGAGGGTAACCAAAGGCACGATCGAAGAGAAGGGTCTTGAGATCGGCCTTGAAGGAGGCAAGGGAGGAAGCGAGGCGAAGGGACCGTGGGATGGAGTTCCAGAATGTGGGGGCAGAGAGACTGAAAGCCCGACCACCAATAGTAGGATGGGTCGGGTGAAAGACATGGAGCAGGCCGGAGCCCACTGAACGGAGGGAGTGGGCAGATTGGTAGGGAGTCAGCAGGTCAGAGAGGTAGGAGGGAGCAAGGCCATGGATGGCCTTGAAAGTGAGGACAAGGATCTTGAACTCGATCCTCTGGGGGTGGGGAGCCAGTGGAGTCGGGCGAGGGTGTGAGTGATGGGGTCACGGAGTGAGAGTTTTCGATGATCTGCAGCGTGTGAAGGGAAGAGTCGGGAAGGCCGATAAGGAGGGAGTTTCCGTAATCGAGCCTTGATGTGACGAATGCATGGATAAGGGTTTCAGCAGCCTGAGGGGCGAGACAGTGGCGGAGTCTGGCAATGTTGCGGAGGTGGTGGTAGGCAGTTCCGGTCATGACGCGGATGTGGGGGAGAAAGGACAGTTCAGGGTCAAACAAGACACCCAAGTTCCTGACTGGCTTAGTGAGGTTGAGTGTGCAGCTGTGGATGCTGATGCTGCCGGTGCTCGAGGTGCGGAGACTTGCTGATGTTCAGTTAGAGAAAGTTGTCTCTCGTCCAGGACTTGTCGGACAGGCAGTCGATCAGGACCCAGTAGTCCTGGAGTTGAGGGTGGAGGCAGAGATAAGAGTTGGGTGTCATCCGCATACATGTGGAAATTTACCCCATGTCTGTGGATAATGTCACCGAGGGGGAGCATGTAGAGGGTGAAGAGGAGGGGATCGAGGACAGAGCCCAGAGGAACACCGCACGAGATGGTGCGAGGGCTGGAGGAGAAACCGTTTGCTGTGATGAAGTGGAGGTGGTGTGAAAGGTAGGGCCTGAATCAGTCAAGGACAGAACCTTGAAGGTTGAGGTGGGAGGAGAGGCGGTGGAGGAGGATTGAATGGTCCACGGTGTCAAAGGCAGCAGAGAGGTTAAGGAGGACGAGGGAGCCCTGGTCGCACATGATCAGGATGTCGTTTGTGACCTTGACCACCACCAACAACAAGATTCCATTTATAGAGCGCCTTTCACGTCGGGAGGACGTCCCAAGGCGATGTACAGTTGGGTCAGGACCCGAGCAGGGGGGAAATGGTCAGGGTGAGGGGAGGGAAGGGAGGGAGCGAGGAGGGGGTAGAGAGTCGAGAGGGGAGCTGAAGGCACGGTCAAAGAGAAAGGTCGTGAGACCGGCCTTGAAGGAGGAAAGGGAGGAGGCAAGGCGAAGCACTGGGGGATAGAGTTCCAGAGCCTAGGGGCTGAGAGGCTGAAGGCCCGGCCACCGATTGACCATAGCAATTTCCATGCTGTGGGCAGCAAGGAAACCCAATTGGAGGGGTTCATGGAGGGAGAGGAAGGAGAGGAAAGAGCGAAACTGGGAGGCAACGGGTCTCTCAAGGACCTTGGATAGGAAAGGGAGGTTTGAGATGGGCCAGTCGCTGGATACCTGTGATGGTTCAAAGAAAGGTTTCTTCAAGGTGGGGGTGATATGGCTGTTTTGAGGGGGGAAGGAACAGTGCCAGATGACAGGGAGAGGTTGATGATGTCGGCAAGTAGTGAGGTGGAGCTGGGATTTAAGGAGAGGGGTGGGGATGGGGTCCAGGGAGCAGGTGGTGGACTTCATGGAGGATATGGTGGCGAAGACAAAGGAGTTGACAGGTTCAAAGGTGTGGAAGGAGGGATGGGTAATTGTCGGAGTGTGGGGTGGGGGTAGGGAGGGAGTGGAAGTTGGGGGGCAGCTGAGCGGAGTCCCTTGAATTTGGATTCGAGGAAGTCCAGCATTTTCCTCGCAATGGGAATGTAACTGAAGTGGTGTACATGTACACTTATGGGAATGTTCATTGTGACAAATTACTCACAGAATTGATAATGACCTAGGATAATTGTCAATAAATTATTTCCATAACTGAGTTAAAAATTTCTGGCAAGTAGACGCTTTTGCCATTTTTAAATGGTTGCCTTAAAATACTGCTAACACTCAGAGCTTTATGCGCATTTGAGGAGCATTGCACAGAAAACACTTGAAGATACTCTTCCTGGGTTATGTGTTGTGGAAATGCAAAGTCAAAGAATCTTAACAGTGGCATTTGTTTATTTAACTTTCTTCTGTCTGAAACTTGTGCTATTTTAACATTAAAATACCAGTTTTGAAAAGAGTGATACGTTTATTGGTTCACCACTCTAATGGCACCATAATCGTTCCGTTATTGCATTGGCCTTTAAACTAAAACAGTATTTAATTTAAATTAATATAACTGCTTGAAAAATAATATCTGACTTAGCATTATACAAAGACTGCAACCATAAAAAGGGAACAATGTTGTAAATCTGAGGCTACATCACATTAGATGTTTAAAACAAGGCAGAATATATCAACATCTTCAGCACATAACCTGGGATTCTTGCATCAGTATTTCAATACATAGTTAATGAGCAGAAGAGTTTAAAAATGTCACTTTTTAGTTTAATTGCTACTAACACAGACTAACCTGGTGAAACACTTCATTTATAAAATTCACATTAGCTCGATTGGAAAGTAGTACTTTCTGAACCATCTCGTAGGCTGTTCGATGCTCTTCTTCAATGCTGCAGATACTGGAGGCACTGAGTCTTCTGTCAGAGAGTGTACTGCTGTTGGAGTGGGATCGATCTTGTTCTGAAGTCCCATTCGTCTCCAATTCATTGGCTTTGTCCTGAGTTAATGGGTTAGCAGTCACAGACTGCTTAGTCCACAAAAAGATTAAAATAAAACAAATTAGATGTAGGAAACACATTTTCTGCTCGTTTTGTATCCATATTCTCCTTAAACACGAAAATAAGGATAGTTCACCCATGGTCATCTCCCAGTCACTGTAACTACTTGGTAAATACAGAAGATATTCCACAATGGTCATGGTCTCATTCCCGCCACTCCCTTCAACAAGCAATTTGAATAATAGTTTTAAAATGTTACCCTCTGAAGAAGTCTCTTATGTGAATAAATAAAACTGGAATTTTAACCTAGTCCTTCAAAAGATATGCAGATAAGTTAAATGTTACTCTAATGGATGAAAAAATTGAAATATTTTGAAGTGCCTTAATCCCGAGTTGTAATTTCTCCAGTTAGCGGATCAATCCCTAATGCAAAGGCTCTGCAACACCTGCTTCAACAAAACCACAGGTACTCATTGAACATGTGTTCATCTACTATCCAATTCTATTCTTATCCACTCCTCTGCACGGCACTTTGCTTAGCTAAGACTGGATTGCTGCACGTCATGCAACCACTCTGCGCTACTATGCACCATCATGGCCTTTGCCTTCAGCCACTATGAGCCTACAAACTCACCACTTCCCATCTTACCCATCTATAAATCCCACTTTAAGTTCTACCTTGTCGAACATGCCTATGGTCACTCGTGTCTCCCTTGTTTGGCATCCAAGCCCGCTGTTCCTGCTTGAAGGGTGTGTACATAACCCCGGGTTGCTTCAGCAATTCAGTTTTCAATTGAAAGTGGGGAAAACCACAATGCAAGGATGTTGTCAATAGTAAAAATAAATTTTAGATGCTTCTAATTTCATCCAGCAGCAAATCATTATGAAGAACGTTATGCCAAGCACGTTTCCCTGAGGGATCCTTTTAAAATCATGACCCAGTGTTTTGAGCTTTGAGGAACTGATTGAGCCAGTTTAGCCATTTATTAGATTTGTTAGAAAACACTAGGTTTCTCAGAGTCAAGTACCCTAACAAATGCTTTGCATCATGATCTACAGCTGATAGTACTGGGCAGAAAGAAAACTGTCCATTGCTGAAACATGAAATTTAAAACATCACAAGTAAACCAATTATCTCAAAATCGGCAACCTAGATTTATACAGCGCCCTTCATGTAAAATAAATCTCAAAGCAGTTTACAGAATTAAATCGGAAACAAAGTAAATTTTATGAAGGCAAATTTGCATCCAGCTATGTCCTACAAACAATGGAATGACTAGCTAATTAATTTGAATATGGAAAAAGGATGAGGAAGGAACAAAAGGCAAAATAATTAGGAGAAAAACCTCCATGTTTCTACAAAACAGCAAGAGGAGGGTCCTCTACCAACAACAACTGGAATTTGTACAGTACAATTGAAAAGACAGATGGGATCTAAATGAATTACGTAATTAAAAACAGATTGTATTCTTCAAATAAATTATCAATCCAACATTAATGACCATATAGCAGGTTAGCAGATACCCAAGATTTCAGAATAAAATTGGCAGTAGGCATGCAGTTTTAGGAGGGGTTTCCGCTAACTGGAGAGTGAGAGGATGGACTGAGAAGGATAACAGCAGCAGCAACAAAATAATTACATTTGTATAGTGCCTTTCACGTCAGAAGGACGCCCCAAGGCACTGGACAGATAGAGTTTTGGATCCGAGCTGGGGATCAGGGCCGGTGGAGAGAGCGGGGGGGGGAAGCAGGGAGATCGAAAGCAGTCGAAGAGGAGGGTCTTGAGATGGGTCTTGAAGGAGGCAAGGGAGGGGGCGAGATGTAGGGACTGCGGGATGGAGTTCCAGAGGCTGTGGCAGATTGGCAGAAGGCCCTCCCACCCGCCAATAGTGGGCCTGCTGAGTAGAGGGAGTGAGCAGGATGGTAGGGGGTTAGGAGGTCGCAGAGGTAGGTGGAAGCAAGACCATGGAGGGCTTTGAAGGGGAGGACTAGGATCTTGAACTGTATCCTCTGTGTGATGGAAAGCCAGTGGATTCGGGCACGGATAGGGGTGATAGAGTCACGGAGCCTAGTGCGAGAGAGGACGCAGGCTGCAAATCTGCAGCCTATGGAGGGAGGAGTTGAGGAGTCCGACAAACAAGGAGTTTGCATAGTCAAACCTCGATATATGAATGGAATGGCTTCATGGTTAGTGGGAAGAATATTGAAATGCTTGAAAACTGTGCAAGCTCAGATGGCACACTTAGTCAGGAATTAAACCCACTAGTATGTAAGGCTTATTACACATGGCAATGTATTTGCCGACTGAGCAACTAGGCCTTCCCTACTTTAAAAATAACAAACTTCACTTCTATAGCACCCTTCATGTCGGAAAGACGTCCCAGGGCACTGGACAGTCAGGGATTTTTGAACCTGAGCTGGGAGTTGGGGTCAGCAGGGGTGGAGGGTAGCGGGTTAGGGATGGTCTAAGGCACAGTGGAAGGGATTGCAGGATAGAGTTCCCGAGTGTGGGGGCAGAGATGCTGAATTCCTGACCACCACTAGTGGGCGGGAAGTGAGGGGGACCTGTTGCAGGGCTGGTATCTGCCGAGCGGAGGCAATCTGAATGTTATCATACAACTATAAGCAATGGCGATGAGAGAATCTCAATTGAAGCACTTCATCTCTGCTTTTTAGCCACATCGCAGTATTCTTTGCTGCAAAATATTTCTTACAAGACAACACTATGTACCAGCAGGCCACACTCTTAACGAGGCTTCCAATAAAATAGTATACTTGAACAATTCCCGATGTTTAAACATACCTGAATAATTTTGGGTAGCATTTCCCCACCATTCTTAGTATTTTGACTTGTGGTGTATTTCTTTTCCAGAAAGAAGGTCACAAGCCATTTAATAAATGCCACCCTAGCTGCCAGGTACTGGTCCCTTGTGCTGTAATTGCTTTCGTTATTCCGTGCTGGAATATAATATGGTGCTGGCCTCATTTGAGGAATTTCTAGCAAAACACAAACAATCATTAACATCCCTTATTTCTTTTGGACTCATCAGAAAAACAGAGAAGCAGGATGATATAGTTTCACATCTCAATACCAAAAAATAAAAAATAAATCCATTTCAATGTTATATCACTGGAAGTACACCAAATTGAAATAACATGAAGGTGAATTTTAATGACTTGGCATGGGTGGTACTATGGGATTGTGAAGAGCTCCATACACAGTCTGAGAAACACAGAAATAAAATTGCTGAGAAATGTCAGATTTTAATGACTACACTAATCAGACAATTTTTTATAAATTAGTTAATGAACTAGTTAAATGGCCTCTACACAGTTCTCATTAAATTATTGGCACTTTGAGCATTAAATTGCTCTCCATAGAATCTGAGGCTCAATTTTCCATATTTAAAATATGGAGAGGGAACGGGCTGCAGAGTTCTGGATTATCTGAAACCTGTGGAGGGAGGAGTTTGTGGGTGTAATGGTCATTATAGTTTTGTTTGAAAATAACAATAAATATTTGTTCTAAATAACTTTGGAACATTTTACCTGCACCTAGCACACAGTTTTAGCATTTACTAAAATGGAGCACAACTGAAATAGAAATTCAATAACATATGCATTGTTTTCCTTACCAAGTAAGGGATCATAAAGGTTGGTAAATTTTGTAAAGGATGGAAATAAGTGGAAAAGATAAAACCTCTTAAACAAGGCAAAAAGAAACTTAAAACCACTTTCTTGTTTTTCTTTACTCTTCCATTCCAAGCTTGCAGCCTTTAAATGGGAAACAAAATAAATATTACTGCATAATATTTTTTAAAAATTCAAGACAACTATATTAAACAGAGACTTTCCTTTGCAGCTTTCAAAATATAAGATTTTACATGATAATATGGGGGAATCCAGCCACAAAGCATGCATAAAGCATTGAGATCAGGCCTAATAAAATAATGTAGAAATAAACAGAATCTGAGCTTGGTTTCCTCCGTCTGTCCCCTCCACGTTCATCACTCCTTGAAGATTAACTTTCTTCTATGGGAAGGTATATACTTCCACTATGTCGTAATTTACATTTGTTTTCCATTATGAAGCAGCATTGCATTGTGAAGTTAGATAGCTGATCTAATAGGAAAATCAAGATTCTGATAATATTTTCTTACAAGAGGAGAATTTTGATTTTATAAGATGTAATCAACAAACTTCAGTGAAAAACTATAACTGCATTTTGACTTCTAAAATATAAATGAAGATTTTAGGGCATAGCGAAAATGGATTAAGAATACATACAATAGACGGAATTGCTTCCTTCTGTGGTGTAAACTTTCTATAATTATACTCGTAAGAGAGATCACATAAGTTACATAGACAATGATGTACTAAATTTCCAGCAAGTTACTTTCTTCCTAATTTACATTTAAAGACAAATGGAGTCACCTAATCGTTAGCTACATATGCAGTACAATATCACCTAGAAGGTTTACATTTTAATACCCCTTCCCCATAAAACAACTCAGGGACACTATTAGGCCGCTGAAACTCTTGTTCATACCTTCATCCCTCCAAGCTCGACTATACAAACTCCCTGCTTGTCGGCCTTCCCAACTCCTCCCTCCACAGGCTGCAGATAATCCAGAACTCTGCAGCCCGTGCCCTCTCCTGCACCAAACTGCACTGAAACCACTCCTATCTATCTTTTCAAACAAATCTGAATATTTTTCAAACTTACCTGGATTACCATGTATTTCAAAAGGGCTTGAAGAAAGAAACAAGTTGTGTCATCAGATAGCTTTTCCCCCAAAACTGGTGGTAACAGAGGAGCAATCTCTTCTGGAGCAACTTTTGCTAAGTAAAATGGATAAAGTACTGATGATTATAATCCCTCCAAAAAAACAAAACAATAATAAACTGGTCATTTTCAATCCACAACTGTTTGTGGGACACTGCTGTGCGCAACTTGCTGCCGGGTTTCGCCCACAAATATACGGTCAATTCACTTTAAAGTCTATTCGGTGAAGCGCTTTGAGATGTCGAGAAGACGTGAAAAGCGCTATATCAAATGCAAGTATTATTATTATTAGCTTAATTGTATGTTGTTGCAACCATAACAATGACGACCAACGCAGGTCATGGTTTGCACATTAGAAACCAATTACTCTCATCCAGCTATTAAAATGCTTCTATTCAGGTCCTTGAAAACAACTCCTTTAGATACATAGATATTATGACTACCAACATTTATATGACATGCATTCTCATGCATTCTGTCAAATAGACCTGCCGGATATTAAACCAGATAATGTGATGCATGTGTATTGAGAGTCCAAAGCTTCCCCCCGCCTCCATAAAAATACCATATTTGACCATCTGCTCTATGGAATTTAAGGAACTTTATAATTGGCAGCCAAAACTTTTTATATTAATGCATAAGTCAAATATTGATATTTATTGATGGAAACTGCTTTTACGGTTGGCTGGCCTTTTCCAGCACCATTTATGAAATTAATATGTATTCTATATTTAGGAGATAGGCTATGGGGTTGGAAAGTTCACATGACCACCTGAGCAAAACAAGGTCTTCTATTCTTACAATCCATATATGTTGGAGATCTTCTGCATATAATATTCATACAGCAAGCAAATCAAAATAAATCGTACAAGAGATGGGGCTGTGTGTGCATTATGTTGATATGGGAGATTCGAGTGATGCTATACATGGAGGCAAGACAATCAGGTTGTGGCTCTAAGAATTCTATGTGAACTATGTTTCTGCAGTTTTAGTCCAGGTCTACGTTGGCCCATCAACAAGCTAATTCCAAAAGGTCACAAAGATGACTTTAGTGAGAAGTAGAAAAATTAAATTACTGCAAGGAGGATGCTCTTCCAAAGCTGGGTTTACAACAAATTGCTGGGAAAATCTATACATACATATATTGCTTATCTTGACATGTAAATGCTTGATGCTAAAAGAAAATAAGAAAAATATTCCATTCCTGCAAACTTCACCTTGATAAGCATATTGTGTCACACATACAAAAGACATCACCATCAGGAATTTAGGTTAATAAAAATTCCTAATGAAATTCAGAGTCAATCGGGAAAGGACTCTACAACATCAAATTTTAAAAAGCAGCAGAAACTGTAAATGAAACAGGCCAAATTAACTTTTTCCATCTGCAAGAACAACAATAACAACAAGATTTCATTTATAGAGCGCCTTTCACGTCAGGAGGACGTCCCAAGGTGCTGGACAATTGGGTTGGGACCCGAGCAGGGGGGATATGGTCAGGGTGAGGGGAGGGAAGGGAGGGAGGGAGCGAGGAGGGGGTAGAGAGTCGAGAGGGGAGCTGAAGGCACGGCTGAAGAGAAAGGTTTTGAGACCGGCCTTGAAGAAGGAAAGGGAGGAAGCAAGGCGAAGGCACTGGGGCATGGAGTTGCAGAGCCTAGGGGCTGAGAGGCTGAAGGCCCGGCCACCGATGGTAGGGCGGTTGGGGCGGGGGATGTGGAGCAGACCGGAGCCAGAGGAACGGAGGGTACGGGCAGGTAAGTAGGGGGATAGTAGGTCGGAGAGGTAGGAGGGAGCAAGGCCGTGAATGGCCTTGTAGGTGAGGATGAGGATCTTGAATTCGATCCTCTGGGAGATGGGGAGCCAGTGGAGGTGAGCGAGGGTGCGAGTGATGTGGTCGCGAAGCCTGGTACGGGACAGTACACGAGCTGCAGAGTTCTGAATGACCTGCAGCTTGTAGAGGGAGGTGCCGGGAAGGCCGGCGAATAGAGAGTTCCCACAGTCCAGCCTTGAGGTGATAAAGGCGTGGACCAGAGTTTCAGCAGCGTGAGGGGTGAGGTAGTGCCGTAGTCTGGCGATGTTTCGGAGGTGATGGAAGGCGGTGGCAGTTGTGGCGCGGATATGAGGAAGAAAGGACAGCTCAGGGTCAAACAGAACACCGAGGTTCCTGACCGGCTTTGAGAGGTGGAGAGTGCAGCCTTGGATGCTGACGCTGTCAGCGCCTGAGGTGCGGAGGCGCTGACACGAGCCAATCAGGAGGGCCTCAGTTTTGCGCACGGGGGCAAATTTTTCCTGCAGGATCTCCATTCAATATTTTCTGCAGTGCATAGGAAGAGCAATAAAGGAAGAAATGATACACCAAACACGTAGTCTGCAAATTTATAAAGATAAGCACAAATGCAAACAAAATTGAAGTTCTCCAGCTCAGAAGCAGGGAGGCGAACAGACAGCTTAAATGTAATTACAGTACTTGACACAGAATGGTACATATGTGGAACGGAATTACCAGAAGGTGGAGAGATGGATTGTGGCAGAAAATTCAAGTAAGATATATTTTGGTTGAAGAAATTAGTTGAGTGATATGAAAGTGTAGTGTAGGAGGATGTAAAAAAGAAAAAAAAACACTTTGGACTTAAGGTGGACTGCAAAAGCTTTTTTTGTGGGACCTTTACAACAACAACAACTTGCACTTATATCGCATCATCCTCGCGGGGTAGCGTCCCAGAGAGCGCTTAACAGTGGTGGAGCTTGACTCTGAGCTGGGTGGGGGGGGTGGCAGGGAATGCGGTCGTAAGCACTGTTGAAGAGGAAGGCTTTCAGGCAAGACTTGAAAAGGGGAGAGGTGGGACAAGGTGGAGGGATTGTGTTCCAGAGTTTCGGGGTGTAATGGCTGAAAGCGCAACCTCCGATGGTGGGGTAGAAAGTGAGAGGGATGAGCAGGAGGGCGGTGCTTGTCGAGCGAAGGCGACGTGTTGTGGATTGGGGAGAGAGGTCAGAAAGATAGGGAGGTGCCAAAGGGTGAAGGGATTTGAATATTTGAGGATCTTGAAGTCGATCAGTTTGGTGATGGAGAGCCTGGTCAGAACTGGTGAAATGTGGGTACTGAGTTTGATCCGGGTAAGTATGCTATACATTCCTATGTTCACACATTTTTAAAGTTGTGAAGGGCAATTGTATGTCAGACACCAGGAAGTATTTCTTTACACAGAAGGTAATTAACAGTTGGTTTCCAGAAAGGGTGGCAGAGGCCAGGATGATGGACTCATTCAACAAATAGTTGACTGTTGTATGGAAAATCAGTGGGATAGGAATTCTAAATAAAATCTGTAAATATATAAGGATAATATCTGTAAATTTACTCTGATGTACTTCAATAATATTTCATTACTCACCATCAGACATGTTGCATGTGGGGTTTATAAGCGTATCTAAAGTACATGGTCCAATCTGTGATAAAACAGCTGGAAAACCAGGGACTAGACAAGCAAATATCATTAACTGTTCATCTGAGCAATTCTCTTGCAGTGCTTGTATCCAAAGTAGGAAGAGACGAATCCCTTCACATCTTATCTGAAGAGGGAAGGAAATCACATCAGTTATTTCAATTTCATTAAGCTTTACCATTTATAAATCATTGAGCAGGGTCCTACAGCATTTAGAATTAATTAGGTCATCACACAGATAAAGGAATTTTGACCACTTTAGTGAGTTTGTACAATACAATGTTGAAATGAAAAAGACTGGAACAAAATACTAACAACATGATTGGGGTAACTTTAAGGTAAGTTTTCCACTGTACTGAGCGTAAATTGATCTTACACCTGAATTATTATACCTCATTTCATATCTACAGTACATATCTGGAGTGGAATTTTAGGACAGAAAGAAGGGTACTTTAAAAATAATCAAATTCTTATGCAATACAATTTTTAAAAAATTCAGTGTGAGAGACATCAACAGGGCCTTTCTCAAATCATATGTTCACCAACAAAAAAGACCTACCTTAACTGAGTTTCCAGTGTGCAAAAGTTTCTTCAAAATTGAGCCTAAAAGTTTTCAAATAAATTTAGGTTACAAATTAGCATAGATCAATTAAAACTATAAATAAATTAGTCTATACAATGACTTAATATGAATAGTTTACACACTGAGCACAGAATGGAAAAAACACTGACTGAAATTATTAAACAACTTAACGTTGGAGTAATTTGAAAAAAATCAGAGAACTTAATGAGAATATAAATATCTGTCTCAGGATTTTTAAATTCAGACATACTACTAAAGCCATGTTGAATTTAAAAAGCACAAATGAAGATAATCTCCACCAGAAGGAACAACTTTATTGATTATACTTCAGACCACTTAGATTGGACTATTTATGGTTTAGTCTACCCTAAAATTTCAGATATGTTGGTAAATTCTTACATCAGATATTTAGTTATTTTATGCCTGGAATCACATGCGATTTAAAATGTTCACATAGCTGGCCACTATACTTAAATATTGGGGGGTAGAGGGTGAAAGAGGAATCGAGAGTGGTCTCTCAACAATTTTAGGGAACATACATGTGCAATCCACCGGCCAATTTTGAACACATATCTTAGTAATTCACTGCTTAAACCATTCTACACAAAGAAAATGGTCAATAATTCTCATTTCTGATAAATGAGAATTCTGACATTGTCTTTATAACCAACTAGCTGTACCTGTTGCAGCTTTGTTTGCAACCAAAGAATCCAATATGGAATGTAGGTTGGTACACAGACAGACATGTCATCTTTATCTATACTCATCTGGGAGGACTTCTGTGGGAGGACTTTGTTTTTCAGTTTCATTTAATAGGCCTTCTCTATTTTGTCTAGCATTTTTACTTATCCTTGAAAGGTTTGATTTTTGCTCAGGCATCTTTATAATAATATAAATGTATAAATTATAATCACTGGGACATCCTCCTGACATGAAAGACGCTTTAAAAATGTAATTTTGTTGTTGTTGCCACGGCTTAGCTTCATCTATGTTCTTTATTTTGTTCCTGCCGCCGCTTGGCTATGTGCGTGCTCTGTGACGCAGGATGCCACAGCGCCATCGTCAGCCGGCGCAGCCACCAGGTGTAACTGCAGTACATGTGTACGTACGTAAGTACGTACGTACGAACGTGCTCTGTGACCCACAATGTCACAGCACCACTTTGACTCGCAGCCACGAGATGTAACTGCAGCGAAAAACGCAAAACAGATAACTCATAAACGATAGGAGATACCCGAAACCAAATATACCCGTGTCACTCCCAGACACAAGACCTTCCCAATGAGACATAATTCATGTCTAATTCAGTTGGTTATTGAGATCCTTCTTGAAGCGCAGACAGACATTGTTTTATCAGTATAGATCATCTACAATGTGTTCAACTCTAAATTGTTGATCAATTTTTGGCGTGGCCTCCATCAAATCTTCAAATAGGATGTACCTTTTTGCTGCTGCTTAAACCTAATAATTCTTACTAACAAGTCAAGATTCTGAACCTCATCTGTCAATGCCTGCACCAAATATGGCTTTATGGTCAATTTAAACATAGTCATCTGGTAGCTTGCATCAATTATGTCAGTGTTTATTTTAAATGCTCACTTGAAAACAACAGTTAAGATCTTTGTTTTACAGAATTATTTTAAGATGCAGTATTGAAGTGACTGAAGCTGACACCTGTATAACTGGAAACCAGAGTAATAGTCACTTACATATGCTACATAAGTTCTCTATCCACTTAAATTGTGGAAATAAGCATGATCACCCTCACGCTAGCTGTTATTCAGCAATAAAATGTTTATTGAAACTTTTTTCAAAATATAAAAACAATACTTTTAGTATTTAAGCAGATGTTCAATGCCACTTCTGGGCAAAGTTAAATTGAGCAATGCCAATACTTTCTAAGCAGCAGGAACCTATTTTTTTTTAAAAAAGTATCTCTTACATAATGCTTCTCACATTTATAGGATTACTAGCCGCCAGCAACTCAGATCACGGCACTCATTAAATTTGATGACTTCTGCTATATAGTTTCTAATTTTAGACCCAACGTTTCATTTTTGATTGTCTAACAAATTATAATTTGAGTGAAATAAAACAGATGCAGAAGTCTCTTTTGTAAATGTCTTCCTGAAATCAGATGCAATCTGCTGCCCTTTTTCCTTGACCGTTTGCTTACAAGTATTATTCATCTTTATCTGGCATTCAGTGGGGAGAGTCAGCACTTAATTACAAAGCCAAGGTAATTACAGGAAAGTGTGTTGCAGTTGAGAGGAAAACACTTTGTTTAAGTCAACGGCAAGTGGAAATACGCATCATGAGGTTAATTTACTTGTGTCCCATACGAAAAAATACAAGGCCAAATATATTAATTCACAGAATTCTAACATTAACACTGAAACAACCTATAATGGCTGTCATTAGCACACAACAAATAAAGTGCATGCAACAAGTCTAATGTAAGTTTTGCGAATGGAATTTTGTATTGTTTAAAACCAACAACAAAAACTTGCATTATAATGCATTTTGCGTCATCAGGATGTCTCAAGGCACTGGACAGTCAAGGATTTCCACCTTAATTGGTGGTTGTATTCAGTAGCGGTGTGGGGTGGGACGGGAAGACACTTGAAAGCGCACTGAAAGAGGAAGGTCTTTAGACACATCTTGAAGGAGGCGATGGAAGAGGTGAGACAGAGAGACTCCGAGAAGAAATTCCAGAGTGTGGGACAGAAAGGCTGAACTCAACTGCCAATGATGGGACGGTCAGGGTGGGGTACTTGAAGCAGGTCAATCCCTGCTGAGTACAAGGAGCAGGTGTGTTGGTAGGGTTGGCGAGTGGTTTGTAAATATCCCACAAATATATATGATTCTTCTTACCTATGCTGTGAAATTGCCATTTGCTGTTGATCTTCTCAGGAAGAAGTTGAAGTATTTTCTGTCAGGTAAATTGAAGATTGAAGAAGGTAAATGGAAAATTACAACAAGATGCCTCATGCCTCCACAGCATTTTTACATACTACAATACATTTGAATAAGGCTACTTACTTTTCATCTTACACTCTATTTCTAAATCTTGGTCTTTTGAGTTAGAAGTCTTGGTATGTATAATTATGGGTTCCTAAGAAACTAGATAGATAAGAAAAGCTTTTGTTCCATAGTTCCTTAACAAAAAACAAGGAGTGTTTTTTTTAAAAAACAGAAAAAAAGTCCACATTTAGACGACATATGCTGAAGTGCAATACACATTTGTATAAAAATTGCATGGATTCCTGTATAAATCTAACTGTTCCAAATCACTATCTATAATAGAAATGAGTACAACAACAACAATTTACACTTGTTTTGCACCTTTCACGTAGGGAAAATGTCTCAAAGCACTTTACAAAGATGGAGTGGGAGCCTGAGCTGGGAAGAAAATAGGAGAGGCAGGGGAGATGTTGCTGAAGGCACAATCAATGCACTTTAGACAGAGTTTGAAGGGGTGGGGAAAGAAGCTAAGGATAGCCCAGCGAGGGAGCAAATGTGGCTACAGAGTTCTGTATTTTCTGGGATGTGGAGCTGGAAAGCATGGAACTGGGGAGGCTGGGGAGCAGGGAATTGGAAAAGTACACACAGACATCAGTACTCAGAATGAACCCATATCAGAACACTTTCTTATGACAGACTTAAGCAAATCAATAATGGAATTACTTGAAAAACAGAATGAAACAGTAGAAATCTGAATGCTTCTGGTTTTGTATATCAATAGAAATACAGGGAAATCTCAATCTGGGTTGCGACTAATGCCTCTGTGCCACATTTATAAGTGATGTCAATTCCTTCACGAATGACATCAGCGGCTCTTTCTATGTATAACTAGAAACGACATCAACAGTTACTCGACAATGTAAGACAGCTACTTTTTTTTAAAAAATCACAGGAAGCTAGTAAGTGAGATTAGTAAGTGATGGAATCCAGGTGCACTTTGCTTCCGGTCCACAGCAGACTTCTCTTAATGAGGCAGCGCTATAACAGGATTCCCCTGTATGAAGTTGCTGCAGAATTCCAACACCACAATTAGTCCAACTGAAGCAATCTGTTGCCTCATAGCCCCATAAATTGAAAAGTACCACATTCCTGCAAAAAACTGGGCTCTTGAACTTTGACATAATGCTATTCAAATCTGTTCATTCCAATTAGGTAAATGCAGATTTAAGAGTATGTTGTATAAAGTTATGATATGAGAGAGAAGACAGACAATATAATTTACAAAGCACCTTTCACATTGGGAGGACGTCTCAACGTGCTCGACATAGCTGTCCGGTCGCCCAAGCTGGGAATGGGAACCAAAATGGGTGGAGAGGGGACAGATGACTGAAAGCACTGTCAAAGAGGTACATCTTGAGATGGGCCTTGAATGAGGGGAGGGAGCGAGGATGGATGCACGCACACACCACACAACTCATGATGTATAGTATTTTGTAAATTGAAGGCTATTTATATCAAACTCATTTAAAGCAATGTTTAAAAACATTTCCATTTATCTTTATTATGAAAAAGACCATTCTTCAAATACATTTATTTGAGAAATCTGATACATTTAATGCAATTCAAAACCATTTACTCAGGGGAAACATTGAGTACAACATTTGAAACAACTGTGGATTATGCAGCTTTAAGCAGCTGTTTTATGGATGTGGCAAACTGCACTGAGAATATGTATCCGTTATTACTACTGAGCATCCCTGAGACCAACTGCCAATCAAATATGTTTGACCTTTAGTCTTTGGCTTACTTTATTCCATAATTCTTTCACAAATAAGAATCCTTCCTTGTTCCTAAAAATCCATTAACACCTCTAAATTTCAATCGTCTGTTTATTTTTCCGCTCTTGGAAGAAACCTACACATTTACAACACAGGCAATGTTGTCTCTAAATCACTAAGATTTTTAAAGATTAGGTTTTGGGGATCATTTCAGCCTCACTTTCCAAGTTACAAATGCATCCTTCCATGACCTGGTAACCTACAACATTATTAATTCAGAATACCATTCAATACTTATTTGCTCTTTTATCCATCCCCATTCTATACCTAGAACAATTCCTGATTTAAAAACAAATATTGATGGGATAGCCCATTACCTTCTTTTTCAAGCAAGCAACTACCTTCATGAAATCAAACTGCAAATAAATAATTGTTTCAGGTCCATGGACCCAAATATTGTTATAATAGGTTAGAAAAACAAAATTACTGTCAATAAACATACACATGCTCAAGCAGCACTGCTAGTGTCATTTTCTGAAAAATGGCTGCCGCTGCAGGCTTCCAATGGTACAAATGGCAGACATCTCAATTCTCAGGCTATGCACTTCATGCAAGAAATTACATCAGCAGGAACCTGATGACATGGAGATCACCCATTTTTAATGCAGAAAGACAGCCAGTCCCGGCGCCAAAACCGACCAGTAATTCAAAGAGCATCTACCTTATAATGGGATTCTACAGCAAATTGGTCTCCATTTGGGCTTGGCCCTTTATGAGACCCTTTTTTCGAAAAAGTATTAGAGTCCTTTGCCAGACCAGCCATTTAACAACATTAAAACTAATGAAAGTACATCCATGTGGACTTAACAAAAATATGCAGAACTTTCCTCAGCTTCCACTGAAATCTTTTTAGAGGAGAAAATATAAATGTTTCCTGCTCTGAATCCCTTCCAGCTGTATAAATGAGATGAGTGTTTCAGTACTACTCTTTCAGCAACAACGCATCTGTCAAAAAAGTCTAGCCTCTCAACATTCAACAAAATCTGATTTCGATGTAGATGGTATTTGGAGCTCCCGCAGGTCATCAGGTCACCAGCTTACCAGAGCTTATCTGCATTAGTGTAATTTAGATTTGTTAGTAAGTTTAGTTACAAATAAAACGATACATTAGAATCTCTTTCTCTTACTTAAAATGCCACTCACATGCTGAAAATTAAAAAGGAAATTGATTTCAAGACAACTGACTCAGAAAACAAACGTGCCTCTGAACGTGCATTTCATTTATGCCACTCACTTCCGTCATTCATTCTATTTCCATTCGAACAGCCCACCCTTTGTCTGAACCATTTACAGGTTTGTAGGCAAATAGCGAACCGACTCCAATAGCTTTTTTGCACTACTGGTTTTCCAGTGAATACACTGGAATGCTTTGCAGGTTGTAATGACCTACCTTGAGGCAGGTGAAGTCTTTCAGCAGCCATATTCCACTTCTGCCACCAGAGTTAACAATATCTAAACTCCGTTTTTATAAGAACTTACATGTGGCATAAGGACAGCTTGGGATTAGTAGGTTCTCTGCAATTAAACTATTTGGCTTCTTGATTTAGCAGCTGTATCTAAGCAATTCTAAGGACACATAATTGCGATGCCCGGAAAAGGTGATGGAAAAATAATTATTGCATTTGATGTAGCACTTGGGAGAATCAAAAAATTCTGCACAGAATACTATGGGTGGTGTATCTGATACACCACCTTTCCTGTCCATAGGATCTTCTCCCAGATAGCTGTACTGTGAAAGCTTGTCCCCTGTATGCAGAAGTTTAAATAGAGAGTAAACAAAACACTTCCTGATCTAAAGTTGATGTATTAGGCCCTGAGAGTTTAGATTTTCATAATGATATAGAAGGTTAAATTCCTTTCTTTTCTGCTTTTAGCAACCACTAGAACCAACTTCTCAGTTATTTGTTCTTACTAGTTATCGCCAACAGCATTCAGTTATCAAGTCTAACATATAACTTCAATAATCATAAAACTACAATTCCCAAATTAACCTGTGCTGGTAAATTACAATGAATAGTTTAATTCCGGTGGTGGGGTGGGGGGTGGGAGGGGGCGGGGAGAGGAGATAAGGCAAAGTTACACGGCCTTTTCATCTCTGGGACTTGGGTTGGAATCCATCTCGTACTCGGGTGGTTGCTGACCATCAAGGGCTACACGTACAGTTTCAACTGAGTTCTTAATGGATATGATACACAGCAGAACATTTCCCTAACTTTGGAATTAATTGGGAATGTTATTCAAAAGTCACAGGATGCCTGCAATACAAAACAGAACATAATCCTTTGGTGCAGCAAAAGGCTATCCTTCTGAGTGAAAGGAAAATACTCTGCGCCAAGGCACACTTAACTTAAAAAGTGATTTGAGGACACTGGATATCTGAAATGAAAAAGTATTGTATTTCATTTCCCAGTCTTAACATTGCTCATTTTATGGCAATATACAAACACTCCTTTTGAAAAAAGGCCAAGTGAATGAAATACAACATTTGCCATCAACATTATAATCTTTCTATATGAAGTCCAAAGACTCACAAGATATTTTGAAAGCTCTCGCTAAAAATGTCTTCTGACTATATGACCTGTGCATTTTTTCTCTGAATAGGTCCAAGTCATTTTTGTTTACAGTCTGCTACCTATCCTCAGATGAATCTCTTCATTCACACATAAAATAATTGCAGTATTTTAACATGATTAAAAAGTACTGTTTTCTGGAAATTAACTGCCAGTTAACAATAACTAGCAACATTTAAGCTATAGCAAGGCCATCTTTATGTACTTAGGAAGAACTGTAATGCAAACCAGCTGTAATATAAATCCACCAAGAATTATTCATACTGATTTCACACTCCTGTCTGTTTAGAGAACTTAGGCAACTCATTGATATTGTAGCTTGGACCCCTCCACAACGAGCCAGAGAGATACTATAACACCGAGACTCTCACAGGTTTATTCTAAGGTGCTGGGAAGCCCCAAACAGTAACAGAAACACATGGAGAGCTGCAGGTACCTGGGCTTGCTGTCAGTGCCTGCCACTCCTCTTACAGACCTGCACACTTGTAATCTCGTTTTGTTCCCCAGTGTATCAGAAAGGATTATTCTGGCTTCACTTTCTCAATCCCATTTAAAATATTATAAAGTGTCAGCCTGGCTGATGGGATAAATTGGGTTAATGCAGCAATTTATTTTTTTAAAAGAAAAAACATGCAGGAGTCAGTTTCCAAAACAAAACAAATCCAATAACAAACAATGAAGAGGTTAAACAAACAAAATTGCCCAGTACTGCTCTTGGCAAAATCCTGAAAAAATGGCATACATTTTGGAGGGAACAAGATCCAAATTTCTTCACCTTCAGTGCTGCTATATAATGGGTCAGAGTATTATTGGTGGATACATTAATCAACACAAGAAAATATGGAATGGTAAAAATCACTCTCCCCATCAACTACATTCCTGTCACAGACAATGCCCGATTTGATGTATAGTGGACTTAAGCAAACAGGTCAGATCTCCAGAAAGATACAACTGGGATGTCAATTTTATGCAGTATCTTTTGGGTAAATCATGAATTAGACATGGTTAAAAATGTCAGGAATCATGAGATGATACTGGCACCAAATGGCCTTTAAGTTACTTTTTTTATATTCAAACACAAGAATCTTCATAGCTGAAATTGGCCAGATAAATTAAATCAGAATTGCACACATTAATTTAGAGAAAGGTGTTCAAAATCAGCATTTTTCCACCAAGTTAGTGTCTCCTGAATTTGTTTTGTCACAGATCAATATAAATCAAATAATTCACACACTTGGGACAAATGCACTAAGTCTGCAAGCAGTCATACACTGCATTGACAGGATGAAGTCCTTTCTACTTAGGCAATCCCAGTTTACATTGAAGTTCCCAATGCGGAGCAAAGGAATGACCTTCAGAGAAACATTAGTGCAATTAAAGTTCCACTGGCGAGTGGGTCGGTAACCCGAGGACACTGATTTAAAATTGTTATTAAAAGAAACAGAGGGGAGGTGAGGAGAAATGTTTTCACACAGTGAGTTGTTTGGATCTGGATTACATTGCCTGAATGGGTGGTGGAAACCGATCCAATAACAACTTTTAAGAGCGAAGTAGAGAATTATTTAGGGAGGACACGCTTGCAGGGCAATGGGGAGAGAGCAGGGGAGTGGGATTGATTTGGATAGCTCTTTAAAAGAGCTGGCAAAGACACAATGAGCCGAATGGCCTCCTTTTGTGCTGCATAATTCTATGATTCTATGAAGTGGTACAATACTGTTGCATTTTAAACAAGAAAACATGGAACAAGAAATACCCATTCAAACCATCAATTCCTTCCAGAGGCATTGCAAGAACTACTATCTATCATCATGAGCTTCATTCCATTCAGCATCTTCTTCAGAGAAACGTTCTGCGCAGAGGTCTACCTGTACATTGAATAAAATTGACCAACCAGCTGCTTTTTTTTAAAAAAACTCATTCTTCTATACAGATGCAGAACTCCAAAATCAGGAGTTTTTCTTACATTACTGGTAAAATGTGAGGTAAAGCAGGAGTTCAAACCAGGTTCCCTATGCATAATTACTGTACTCTTAGCTTCTAGCAATGTAAGCAAAGTACTAAACAGTTAATGCAAAAGAGTATCCTCAACTTTTATAAAATTGAGCTGTAAATGAATACTTCGATGCAAATGATTTTGCATATCGCAAATATTTTAAAGAGTCAGCCATTCAAATTACATGGCATCAGATAGATGACTTTCTATTGATATTTCACCAAAATTATTTAGTTAAAACTTCACTAGAAACTAGTTACTAATATCACAACCTATAATAGTACAACAACTAACATTTATATAGCACCCCTCACACCCTGAGTGCTTAAAATACACAGTGCCATATTTTCTCAATTTTGCATCAATTTGAATACACCATTAAAATCTACATAGAGCATTCATATATTCTTTTCCACATTCAATTTCTGCTGCTAATACAAGCTAATCAGAATAGACTTTCAAATAACTATACTCAAGATCCTGGGCATCTCAATTCTTCCTTATTAAATACACACATTTTATAATCCATTCTCTAAAGAATTCCAGTTTTCTCTGACTGAAATTAAATTAAGTTTTCAAGCAACCATTATTTCCTGTTGGATTAGCAATTGACAAGTTTATTTACATACTTGTAGATGTACAGAAATTCAACATTTATAAAGTATCTTCTTGATACACTTCAAAATAGTTTCCCTGAACCCCTTTCCTTAAACACGTGAAATTCACATAGAGAAACTCATCACGTTTAACGGGCTGTAAAGGTGATTACAATCCATATTCAAAGACTACACATTAAGGGCTATTGTAAATGTTTGTGACTCTTATTGTTATTATTGTATCCCATGTTACACATCATACAATTGCCCCAATCATTTGAATAATTTCCTGCTCGACTACTGAACTGGTTTTCTTTCAAGATAAAATAAGGCTATATTAAACTCAACAAGTTTAAAATATGCACATTCCAACAATAATTCACAAAATGGACAAAATTAAAGTGCTCGTTATGTAATTTATTTATTAAAAATTTAATACCCAGTTCTTACTTAAGTTATTAAATGAGGCCATCAGTAGAAAAAAACATTAAACTGTAATTTATGGATAAAGATGTACATGCTGTTCCCATTAAGAACTTTTTTCATGAATAATTGATGAACAAAATACATACCTCAAACAGAAAGAGAATGGAGTCCAGCTCCTCCCTCTGTGACTTATTCCCTATCCCCAAAGAGAAAAAAAATTATAAAATAGATAAACAAATTTCCTAATAAGAAAACAGCACCTGAAACAAAAATATCAAGATACTTTATAAAAAAAAGTCTTGACAGTAGAAATTTAAATTAAGCATGATAGTAATAATAATCCTTGCATTTGATATAGCACCTTATCATGTCTTTGAGACATATCAAAGAATATACTGTAAAGTGAATTGACTGTATATTTTGTGGGCGAAACGTAGAATCAATTGTGCACAGCAGTGCCCCACAAACAATCGTGGATTGAAGTGACCAATTTTTTTTGAAGGAATTATTATCCCTGGAAAAGCGATCTGCCAATCAACCAACAACCGGGTTCCTACATACTGCTGGGTAAACAGAGGCATGTGGAGTAAGGAAACTTGCCCAACATTTCGTCCTGCGGGAATTGAATCCAAGTCTCTCGCTTGCGAGGCAAGTGCACTAACCACTGAGCTACAGGTTTCCACGATTCTTCATGATCCTGACTCAGTGCATACCAGGCACATTTAAAAATGTGACAGAACAACGCTTTTGACCAAGCCAGGGTATTGATTTCTGTTTCAACATGTTGGCAATCCAACATATTACATCACTGTGCAAGCTAATTTAATAATGTACAAAATTATCATTTGGAAAGCTGAAATGCCAACTAAAAACAAGTAACAGTATATTCATAGTATCAAGATTTCAGGCTCTTCTATTAATAAGAAAAAGTAATTTGCAATGAAACCTTACTAGTCTATCTCTTTTTTTTGTCCTCTAAACATGCTGCTTTCCAATTCTGCTAAAATATCTTCAATTTACTACTTCATATCCTGTGTATTAATGAGCAGCAAAACATTTTGTAAAAAAAATGCCTACATTTTTCCTTTTGGAAGGTCACCGTCTTTTGAAACATCGCCTCTAGCCATCAAAGTAGGGCAGGCAAGCTTGCAGAATTCTCCAGCCATTCAGTGATCGACAAGAACCGTGTTTATTAGTGGCCTGACATTCCATGAGTTTTCCGCTATGCACCTCCAATGGAATTATCTGGACTCCATGTCTAATCTCTTGAATTTTGCTAATCTTATCCTCTAATTCTGTAATCAGTTTAATTTAAATAAACTGCTCAAATCTTCTAGAATCATGGCTATTTTCAAGATTTAGATCAAATACCCTCTCCTCTCCAATGAAAACACTCAACAGTCTCAAATCATTATTTGGATCACTAAGTCGAGAATCATTGCGACTATAAAACTGTCACAGTTTTCAGCATGTTGTTCTTAACGACCAGTGCAAAAACATCCCAAAGCTTATCAGTAATTTGTCGGATCGGTAAATTGGGATGAAAGCAAGTCCCTCATTGAAGCCAATATTTGAAGCCTCATTATTAAGAATAAGGATTCACTGAAAGTAGCCAGTTAATATGGCAGGTCAAATAATTTCATCCAAATCCTTCTCCATCTTCACTAATGGATATCTATTTCCTGTCCTTGCAGTGTTATCCCATGGTAATAAAAATATTATACACAGAATATTTTATACATATATACACACACAGTATTTATTTATTTTCTAGCAAACACCAAAAGAGAACTTTGAGAAGTTCATGAATGAGGTAGTTCCATTTCCACTGAATTGTGCGCTAATTCTGATACTTTTTCCTAAAGATTTGCAACATAATAGAAGCCCTGAAATCACAACACAATCTTTGTAAGATCTAGTGGTGTTCAGGAGACAATTTATTTATATAAACCAATCAAATGAATTTAAAGTTTAATTACTCTACATAAATATTTTTTCTACTCAAGAAGTTGGAGAATAATCAAGATTCTTACCTTTTTGCTTTAAGCTACTTTCCAGTGTGAATAGGTTTTCAAAAAAGATAAAATAAATCTGAGAGTAGTTGGTTTCAAAAAACTGCTTGAGTTCACTTCTTTCTAGAATGTCTGTAACAAATATAAAAATAAAATTTTGGTACAAGACAGGAGAGGTCTACGAGGAAATTCAAAAATGCTTAAAAAACATAATGACAAATACAGTTATGGACAATGTATTGTTTTAACTCTAAAATTAAAAAAGACATCCACAAGATCTACAAAGAGGGAAATGAGCATCAATTAGCCTTTTAAAATAAATTACATAATTTTAATAATGTTAACTTCAAACACAAATAACTATCTAAAAATATATCTTAAACTTACAAATACAACGTATTGGTTCCAACAGAAAAATATTTCCTTAAGCTTCTTTATGGTCTTACAGATACCACCTTTCACCTTTGATAGATTAATTCTGTTCTTCTTCTCCTCAACTTTCTGAGTCTCATGATCTCCTCTGACCTCAAATGGATTGCTCAAATGTGTTATTTATAATTACACAGAGCCTCAATCAATGGTGCTCCTCAACATCTCCAGTTGTGTCTTGCTCCTGCAATCTCTCTTGGCTTTTAAAACCCCAATTTGACATGCCCATATTGCTTAATATTATTGTTTCTTTGATATTCTGACGACAGTTCTCTAAAGAACCTGTAGTAGGACAATGCAATCAAAATAATACTTACATTTCATAATCCTTGCATTTGATAGAGCACGTTATCATGTCTCACTGACACCTTCCCCCTGACTGAGGCCACACCACCTGGCTATACCTTCCATCACACCCCTTGACCTAACCACCGTGTTGGTGGGGTGGCTCTCATCTCCCGGTGCCCGCTCGGCCTATCCCCGTACTCCTCTGGAATCATTCCCTTCTTTGAGCACCTTACCCTCTACCACAGGGGCGGGCAATTATTTTGGCTGGTGGGCCACTTCACGGGTTTTGGTAAGGTTCGCGGGCCACACACTTAATATAGATGCGAATGCTTAATAATAGCTCAAAATCAAGTCTTACACTTTTACATGCATAAAATGAAGTCTATATAATTGACATTCATTAAAATTAGGTTAATTAAAAGCAACTCATGGAGCGGACATTTATTTGATATTTATTCATTTATTCACATAGAGTGAATAGAGTCTATCACCTCTCCAACCTTTCCCTCAAAATTCCCCTTATCTACCGCCCCCCCCAAGCCCTCCCCCACCTTCATCCCTGACATCTGCACCCTCCTACCTTCCCTCTCATTTTGCTCTAAACACCTCCTCATCTTTGGGGATTTCAACCTTCACTTCAACCCTCTTGCTCTACCTCTGCTGACTTTTCCTCCCTTATTTCTTCCCTCAGTCTCCCCCTCCACATCCATTCTGCCACCCAACCCACCTCCATCTTATACTGCCCCTGGAATAAAAACTCCCCCCCCCCCTCCCTCTTGGCTGCCTTGGGAGTAATCTGAACTCCTTTCCCTCTGGGCATCCGCCCGAAATGACCTATCCTCCTCGGTCACCCTTTTCCACAGCTCCCTCTCGTCCACTCTCGATTCCCTCGCTCCCCTCTCTTCCTGAACTGTCTCCTACTCACGCAAATCACCTTGGTACACCTTTGCTCCCTTAAAGTCCAGGCGCATTCCATTGAGCACACCTGGCTTAAATTAAACCTAACTGTCCACCGGCAGATTTGGCTGGACCATGTCAAATCCTACCATTCCTCCCTCACCTCCGCTAAATCATTGTTCTACTCCAAGACAATCTTGGAGGTTAAGGACAACCCCAGGCTCCTTTTCTCCATCACGAACCGACTCCTCCGCCCACCTTCTCATGTCTCACCCATCCTCACCTCAACTGCCTACTACAAGGCAAGGCTGGACTTCTTCAAATCCAAAGTCGAGGGAATCTGCTCAGCTGCCTCTGCATCTGCTACCCCCTCCCATTCTCCTCCTCCCACCCCAGCTCCTACCCCTCCACACCTTTGACCCCGTCTCCCCCTCCACTCTCATCACCACCATATCCCGTATGAAACCCACCACCTGCTCCCTTGACCCCATCCCTACCCCCTCCTTACCTCCCAGCTCCACCTCCTTGTACCTCTACTCACTGACATTGTTAACCTCTCCCTGTCCTCTGGTACTATTCCCACCCCTTTAAAAAATGCTGTCATCATTCCTATCCTTACAAAACCCTCGCTGGACCCTTATCTACTCTCTAACTACCGCCCTATCTCCAAACTCCCCTTCCTCTCCAAGGTCCTGGAATGAGTTGTTGCTTCTCGGCTTCGCTCCTTCCTCTCCTGCCACTCCCTTCTCAAACCCTTCCAATCGGGCTTCCATGCCGCCCACAGCACAGAAACTGCCCTGGTCAAAGTAACAAATGACATCTGTCCATCTGCAACCAGGGCTCCGTCTGCCTCCTCGTCCTCCTTGCTGCCTTCGACACCATTGACTACTCTAACCTCATCCATCGCCTCTCCTCTCATCTCAACCTCCACAACATTTTCCTTGATTGGTTCAGATCGTATCTCTCACACTGCCTGCACTTCATCTTCTCAAACGGCTTCTCCTCCAGCCCCCGGACCGTCTCGTGCGGCAGTTCTCAGGGCTCGGTCCTTGGTCCCCTCCACTTCAACATCCATATGCTCCCTCTTGGTGACATCATGGAATTGACATGGGGTCAACTTCCACATGTATGCAGATGACACCCAACTCCACCTCTCTGCCTATAAAACACCAAATCCTGGTTGAGAGCTATCTTTCTTCAGTTGAACATCAACAAGACCGAGGCTCTCCTGATTGGCTACCATCAGCACCTCCTCACCTCAGGCGCTGACAGCATCACCATCCATGGTTGCACATTCCACCTCGCTAAGCCAGTCTGGAACCTTGGGGTCTTGTTTGACCCTCAACTATCCTTTTTACCCCACATCTGCACCATGACCCGCTCTGCCTTCCCCCACTTCCGCAACATCATCCGGCTCCGATACTCTCTCGCACCGCAGGCCGCCAAAACCCTCATACACGCGGCCATCATTACATCAAGGCTCAACTATGCAAACTCACTGCTTGTAGGTCTCCCCAACTCCTCCCTCCACAAGATGCAGATCATCCAGAACTCTGCAGCCCGTGTCCTCTCCCGCACTAGGCTCCGCTACCCTATCACCCCCATCCTTGCCCAACTCCACTGGCTTCCCATCACACAGAGGATACAGTTCAAGATCCTGGTCCTCACTTTCAAAGCCCTCCATGGTTTTGCTCCCCACTACCTCCTAAGCCCCTAGCACCCTATTCACTCCCTCCGCTCATTAAGCTACAGCCTGCTTCACGTCCCCCGCCTTGCTCACCCCACTATCAGTGGGCGGGCCTTCCGCCACTCTGCACCCACCCACTGGAACTCCATCCCGCAGTCCCTCCGTCTCGCCTCCTCCCTCGCCATCTTCAAGACCCACCTTAAGACCTTCCTCTTTGACTGTGCTTTCGATCTCCCTGCTTCCCCACCGCCCTCCCCTCTCCCCGACCCTCAACTCGGGTCCATAACTCTGTCTGTCCAGCGCCTTGGGACGTCCTCCCGCCGTGAAAGGCACTATACCAATGTAATTTTGTTATTGCTGTTGTTGTCGAGACGTCTCAAAGCGCTTCACAGGATATACTATACAATGTAGTGACTGTATTTTTGTGGGAAAATTGACACCTTATCACATCGTTGAGAACGTCTCAAAACGCTTCACAGAATATACTGTAAAATGGATTGTCTGCATTTTGTGGGCGAAAAGATTTAGTTAAATATTCAGTTGTCTGGTCAGTCTCATTTTGATTAAAAGTATTAACCAAAGAGTCAAAGAATTGGTAGGCGGTGCTTTCAAGTAAAGCAGGATAGAATCACCCATTCTGCAGCAAGTGAATTCAGTAAGAGTAGGAAATAATATGCTTGTACCAATTGTTTCTCAGAATAATGGACACTGTTTTAATGTTCTGTTACAAATGACTGAATCAAACTTAATTCTCAAAGAGGATCAGGAGGGATGGAGACTCATGTGGAGAATAAATACTGGCACAGACTAATTGGCTGAAAAATCTGTTCTACATAAGGTTTATCTATCGTAAATTCAAAGTTATACAGAAACAACGAAGCTGAATGTTGGAAATCTCCAGCAGGTCACAAGGATCTAAAGGAAAAGATGCAGGAACGTTTTAGTAAGAATCCTACATCAAAACTGCACAGATACTATATTCAAGTTGAATCGTCCTCTATGCTCCAATTCTCTAGTGCAAAACTAAGAGGGTTTTCTATATTCATTGGTCATTTAAGGTAGACATATTAATCAAAGCTGAACAGAAATATGTCACAGTACACTGTTCAGCCGTAAAATAGTTCACACAGAAGAAATGCACGAGTACCATCTAATCAAGGTTAAAAAAGTGACCCAGTTACTACTGCTGCAGTGATGAACAATGCATGTGCATTTACCAGCTGCACTGAATTAGGCATGCATTGTAAATTGATTAAATCGGTTTAATACAACTTATAGTTTGCCTGCTACTCTGATGTTGGGCAAGTCATCATAAATGTTATGGTCCCAACTGATACGACTTATGTGAGTTTTACTGTTTGAGCAAGAAACACTGATTATGTCACTTTTCAAAGGAAATGACACCAACGATGCTTCTTGAGCATGATGGAAATACAAAGTGCGTAGGAAACCACTTCTGAAGCAACCTGACAAAGGTTTTTAATCATTGGGTCATCCTCCCAACGTGAAAAGTGGTTTAAAAATGTAATTTTGTTGTTATTGCTGCAGCTTAGCTTCATCTGTGCTCTTTATTATGTTCCTGCTGCTGCTTGGTTAGGTGCGTGCTCGTGATGAACGATGCCACAGTGCCATGATCAGCCGCCAGGTGTAACTGCACGATGCCACAGAGCCACTTTGACTCGTGGTTGTAACCCGAAAAACGCAAAACTGAAATACATTTTAGGTCATAACTCATGAACAATAGGAGATGCCCGAAAATAAATATGCCCGTGTCACTCCCAGTTACGAGACCTTTCCAATGAGGTATAAATCATATCTCTGCATCAATCAG